CTTGGTCCACGATACCTGTTGTGTCCGACTCCGTGCCAATGCTGATGGAAACATTTGGTGGCAGGGTAGGTGGGTGTTGAACGCCATTCGGCGCGAGGCCAGCGCCAGCATGGGTAGTTTGGGCTGTAGAAGCTTCTGCGGCGTGGATTCGTAGGTATGCTGCTACCTCGGGAAATTCTTGCTCTGACTCGAATTTCTCCAGTGCGTCCATACCGTCCTCATTGCGCACCTGTAGGTCAACATGCAACTCCTCCACCAGACATCGTACGGCCTCACCCGTTTCGGCCACAAACACACATGTTTCCCCGTCCTCATCTTTCAAGTTGATATCCACCTTGAACTCATTGACCAAGGATCGTAGAAGGCTGACATGATTGTACGAAGCAGCAGCGTGCAGGAGAGAGTAGCCATGAGCGTCTTGCGCAGATGCCAGCTCTGGTCTGGATCGAAGCAGGGGCAGTAAGCGGGGATCTGGGTCTGGAGTATTCGCCGCAAGCAGAAATGGGTTCAGAGTGGCTTCAGCCGACATTCTGCGAAGCGAAAAAGGAGGCTGATACAGATGAGGCTTAACTGGCTGATACCGGTGACTGGGTCACGCCGTCGTAGGCCACAATTTCAACCTGCAGTACTCAAGCCCTCATGGCCCTCCAACTTGTACCAAAGTAGAGGAATATTTGAACGAGCGACTCTCTCTGACTCATGTTTCTTCCGAATTTGCGGAACCCTGACTGGTGGAGGCATGTGGCGACAAGGCTGACTCGCTGGGCTGTGTGACATCAGTAAGGCTGAGCGCTGCTCAACCGCCGTCGCACAATTGCAATTTCTATGGACGTCGTGAACCTGATCTTTCAGTCTGCGTTAGATCTAATAGTATCTGTAAGGCCGTGAGTCACTCAGGGTTGGCGCGTCTGTGGAGTCCAGTTGTTGCTTGCGCCCGATAAATTTGAGAGGGCGCCTTCCTCGCGCTCAATCAGTGACTGTCCTTAGTCTAAACTTCTCTTCTGCCTACTCTTCTACTTCAAACCCTCAATAAGCCGTTTGTTTCCCCTCAATTTGCTTCTCCTGCCCCGTCACCTGAAAAGCCAAGCAGACAGAGTATATTCCTCTCGGCCTGCTTCAGGTGCCTTTGTCCAGCTGAAAAAACAGTTTTAAAAGCTTCTCTCACGGTCCATCAAATAACATGGCCCAGGACCCTCACCAAATTGCTCAACTCATTCAGATCCTCGAAGCCTCCAAATCCAAGGGCAAACCCCAAGGCAAGAAGAGGTTCTCCTGTAAGAAGACTACGTTCGAGGTTGAAGGGACTCATGGCATCACCGTCGACTCCTGGCGTTTCCAAGAATGGGACTACAAACGAGATGACCTCCCCACCTACGCTCGCGGACTCTTCACTACCCACAGATCAGATGGTACTCCCGAGATCTGCATCCGTGGATACGACAAGTTTTTCAACATCAATGAGGTGGCCAGTACACAATGGCGCAACATTGAGCAGGAGACGGCGGGACCTTATGAGCTAAGCGTCAAGGAGAATGGATGCATTATCTTCTTCTCTGGACTTGAAGATGGCACTTTGCTGGTTTGCAGCAAGCACTCTACCGGCACGCGGTCCGATGTTAACGAGAGCCACGCAAATGTGGGCGAGAAGTGGATCAAGAGACATCTGGAAAGCGTCGGAAGGACAACAAGAGACCTGGCGAAACGGCTGCGAGAGATGAACGCCACCGCCGTTGGCGAGCTATGTGACGACCGGTTTGAAGAACACGTCCTTGAGTACCCACCAGAAGCAGCAGGGCTATATCTTCACGGCATCAACTTCAACCTCCCCGAATTTGCCACTCTATCGAGCCCAGAAGTGCACGAGTTTGCCGATGAGTGGGGTTTCAAGAAGGCACAATATGTCATGATTCAGACACTCGATGAGGTCAAGCAGTTCCTCGACAAGTGTGCCGAGACGGGTTCTTGGGACGGACGGGACACGGAAGGATTTGTGGTTCGATGCAAGAAGAGAAGTAAGGATCGGGATAGAGCGCCGGACTGGTTCTTCAAATTCAAGTTCGAGGAGCCATATCTCATGTACCGGCAATGGCGTGAGTGCACCAAAGCCGTAATCTCCGGCAAGCCTCCCAAGTACAAGAAACACCGGAAGATCACCGAGGCGTATCTGCTTTACGCGCGCCGTCAACTAGCTAAAGATCCGTCCTTGGCGAAGGCCTATCAGCAGAATCATGGCATCATCAAGATGCGAGAGGGCTTCCTAGCGGAGATTGGCAAGAAGGGGTCGGACATAATCAAGCAAGAGGAGGCGGAAGGTTATGGTGCGGGACATGGTCATGAAGTTGGCAATGTTGTCCTCGTTCCCATTGCAACAATTGGATGCGGTAAGACAACTGTTGCAACTGCGCTAGTGAAGCTTTTCGGTTTCGGACACGTTCAGAATGACAACATCCAAGGCCAGAGAGGTCGTCCAGCGCGGTTCGCCCTCGGGATAACCAACCTCATGGCCACTCACAAAGTGGTGATTGCTGATCGCAACAACCATCAACGTCGGGAACGTGCGCAGATTATGGAAGACGTTAACAAAGTCGTCCCAGATGCGAGATTCGTGGCGCTACATTACGTCCATGAGCCCAAAGCTCAAATGCTCGACGAGATTCGCAAAGTCACCCGCCAGCGTGTCCTGGACCGTGGAGACAATCATCAGACCATCCGAGCGGAGAGCAAAGGTCCGCAGGAGATTATTGGGATCATGGAAGGCTTCCTGGATCGCTTTCAGGGATGCAACACCGATGTCGAGCCTGATTCTAATTTCGAGGAAGTAATTGATTTGGATGTCTCTGCGTCATCTCTGGAGAACCTGGAGACCGTGGTGACGCACCTGTACAACGCATACCCCGGACTTCTCCCAGAAGAGATGCCCAGTGACGAGGACATGCAGGCCGCCATAGATTTCGCCCTGGGCGAACAGGTCACTACCAAACACGATCTCTCCTTCAGCAAGCCAGCATTTAGCGAGAAATCTCAAAAACAGCAGAAGCCGGCACAGAATCAGCCGCCAAAGGCTCTCACGATCGACCAGCTGATGGGTAAGCTGGAATACTTCAGCATCTCAGTTCCTGCCCCAAGGATCAACTCAATCCTGGCCTCGTTGTTCGACCATGCTCCTGCCGAGGAAGCACGTATGTACCGCATGTTGAAGCAGTCCCGACGAGTCCAGAGCGAGTTCCACGTGACCTTGATCCATCGCGCTTCGGCGACACAGAACCGGAAGTTATGGGAGACTTATACGGAGGAATACCAGAATGCAATCAACGGTACGGACCTCAAGGACAAAAGTCAAGTGGCTGTAACTCTCGGGCAAGCACGCGTCAAACTGGAGAGGGTGGTGTGGGATGATCGAGTCATGGCGTTCGTTGTGCGAATATACCCCGCTGAGAATGGAGCTTCGTGGATGAGCGCCAATCCGATCACGCACATTACGGTGGGCACAGCAGGAGCCGACATCAAGCCCGTCGAGAGCAACACTTTGCTTGCTCGGTGGGAAGCAGGAGAAACGAACGGCCGGCCAATTCACGACAAGGAAGTGCCAGGAGGGATCGTTCTCGACGGCATCGTCAAGCCAGAGTTCCAGCGAGGGTTTCTGAAATAGCCGGGACAGGAAGGGACCATTCAGTCGGAGTGGACTGTGTTGCCAAAGTAAGGTATGCCTGATGAGACACGAAGGAGTGAGAAACAGGCTTCCGCTAAGACGGTTACTTCGAGGAAGAGTGACGTCTACAGTTAGCACCATAGCATCGTCGAGTCGGTAGCATATCTTGGACGCTGTAGCATAGACGGCTCTGCGCTATGCAATTTCGACTTTGAGCATTGTTTGCCACAAGAATAGGTAGCGGAAATCCAGCAAGCATTGTACAGCAGCAAGAATTCGTCCTCAACGCGGAGTGAAGAGAGTGTGACGGGTGGTCGTTCTGCTCATTATCTGTGATTGGCTGGAAGCTGCAATGACGGTTGCCCTGGTAGCATCACGATGGAGACGCCCAAACAACGGCAGGCGCGACTTGACGTGCAGCAAGTGCAAGCCACCAAGCCGCAAGCTCCATTTGTTCCCCCATCAACAGCGTAAAAGGCTTTCTCCCGCCCTGCACCAGCTTGACCACCTCCATCCTGTATCGGTCTGACAGGCTGCTTGCGCGCTTTTCTCTGGGTTGAGTATCCATTGACTCTGCAGCAATAGATTGCTCTCATCCTCAGGTCCGGCATCACGTTCCCGTTACTTTGCTCTTAGTTTGCTCTTAGAGGGCTGCCAGGTACGTAGCTTGGACCTCCACCCCGCACCAACCACCGCACCGCGATTCCACCGCGCACCACTTGGGCTGGCCTGGCGCGCGACTCGCCTGCAGTGCAAAACTTCGGGCCGGCAGCGTTGCCAAGGAAAAACAACAGAGCTCCACGGGACTCTGCGAACATCAGCACCACGTCTTGTTTGTCCTACCACGCTTCGAAACCGCCCTCGACTTCAGCTCCGCCTTCCATCTCCTATGCCGTCTTTCGAGAACCTGTCCTCTGCCTCACGACCCGTCTTCTGTGTGTCCATCAGTCGCAGCTGACATCTCCCTCACCACCAGCTCCACGTATCGCAGCCAACCGCGTCCCATTGGGATTCACTGCAATCACCAAAACAACGCGCCCTACCAAGTCGGTGCACACTCACAGCACCACACCTGAATCGAATTCGACTTGAGCACAATCCGCTTGGGGCATAATAATATTATCCTCAGTCGTCTGCACGGCCTCTCGGTCTCGACATTGCCACACGCCCAGACACGCCTGAAGAAGCTCGTGCGTCATTCCCCAATCATACTGGATTCCTCACATATCATGCTAACTCATTCGACGATTCCAGTTTCGTGTCTTGCTCTTCGATAGAGTCGGCTTCTTTGTCTTCTTCTCGACATCGACGTGCACTTGCTCCCTCGCCACCACAGTGTTAGGAAGACGAGATGCCTGTTGTATGTCCTGTCCTAGAGCATTCAGGGCTGCACCCTTCACGCGTCTCTTGACACCAGCTAACTCTTGGACAGCCGCGTACTCGGCAACGAGTACTCAACAATGAGAACGACGAGAACTCAGTCGCGACGTCGACACGCCTGACACGTGCCAAAGCCGCTGGCCTCTCGAACGCAGATGACACTACTTCACTGGCGAAGAAGGCCCTACAGACTAAGAAGTCCACTGTTGGCACGATGAACGGGACGACGAGACGTCGCGCGTTGGGCGACGTAACCAATGCCGCAAAGGGTGCCGACGCGGTACAAGATGGGAAGAAAGCAATAGCAACCAAGGCTGGGCTGCAGTCGAAAGCCGCTCAATCTACCGCCGGCGGCGTTCAGAAGCTCTCAAGAACCAACTCGTCAAGGGCTGCTCTGGGCGTCAAAGACAACAATGTCAAATCCAAAGCCTCCTCTGCAGAAGTCAAGAAGCCCGGCAGCGGCTCCGGTGTGCTTGGAAATACCAAGAGACGGACACAAACCTCAACCTCTACAATCCCCTCGTCGAAGGACGCAACTCCCGACGTCGAAGAACGTCCACGGAAGAAGTCTATCACGCAGGAAGTGGTCGAAGAGGCTCACGCCCAGGCACATGTCGAAGTGGAAGTGGTGGACGATGTCCATGACATCGTGGCTGATTTGGATGCCGAGGACCTGGAAGACCCTTCCATGTGCGCCGAGTACGTCCGCGAGATCTTCGAGTACTACTACGCCCTGGAGGATGCCACCCAACCGAACCCCAACTACATGGATCACCAAGACGACCTCGAGTGGAAGATGAGAGGCATCCTTGTCGACTGGTTGATCGAAGTCCACACCCGATTTAGGCTTCTGCCCGAGACCTTGTTCCTGGCCGTCAACATCGTAGACCGCTTCCTTTCGCAGAAGGTTGTCCCCCTCGACAAGCTTCAGCTCGTCGGTATCACTGCGATGTTCATCGCCTCCAAGTATGAAGAAGTCTTGTCACCACACGTCGGCAATTTCGTCCATGTCGCCGATGACGGATTCACCATTGAAGAGGTCCTCAGTGCTGAGCGGTACACCTTGTCCACTCTCAAATACGACCTGAGCTATCCCAACCCAATGAACTTCTTGAGGAGAATATCAAAGGCCGACAACTACGACATTCAGACTCGTACTCTCGGGAAATACTTGATGGAAATCAGTCTTGTGGACCACCGCTTCCTGGAATACAAGCAGAGCCACATCGCCGCCGCTGCTATGTACCTCGCCCGCATGATCTTCGAGCGTGGTGGTTGGGTATGTTGTGAGGCCTCAATCTTTGACTTTGACTAAACATCGACAGGACGCCACACTGGCCAAGTTCGCTGCCTATACTGAGGACGAGATCCTGCCAGTCTTCAATCTATTAATCAGCTACCTTGAGGCGCCCGTTGCCCACGAGGCTTTGTTCAAGAAATACGCATCTAAAAAGTTCCTGAAAGGTAAGTCACACCGGAGCACGAATTATGAACCCGGGGCTAAGAGTGCATAGCATCAATCTTGGCCAGAAAGTGGGCTAAGGACTATGGAGCGAGCCGAAGAAATGCTGGCGAGGTTGCACAATAGTTTTACGAGCCATGGTCGAGGACAGTCTCTTGAATAGTCGTCGGCTTCCCAGCTTGACGCTCAGGAAAGGCAGTCCACCTTGAGTCTCGGTAAACCAACTGGACGGGCTCATGTTTCATGTCTCCGTTACTGCGACGACTGGAAATGATATTCACACATAAATCAACATCAGCATTGTTACCATCACATTGATACACCCGCCGCCAAACTTGCGACCAACGACCTCAACCACAGGCGATCTCGATCGCGGTTTCCGACACTGTACAACGCGATCTTGCTTCTCAGTTCGGGAGTTGTGGAACATCTTGGTGGATGCATCTCTTCAGCTGGTTCGACAAACATGGAATGGCGTTGGAAAAGCAAACTCGCTTATGGATTTTATCTGGGCTTACTTGACAATGCAGAAGGCGAAACACGGCGTTCTATGCGTACAGGGAAAATGGAAGCCGGGACCTTGAATTTTTGCGTCCTTGAGTGCACTGCATGGACCTGTCTGTCTTTTTCGAGAGCGACTTGCTTGCCTACAGCGAACGTTGCCTACAGCGAACCGCATATGGACATGGTGAGACTGGGGGTGCTCTTTGGATTACTGAGCGGTCTATGGCGTTTATGCCTGCAGATATCTCCATGGTCTATGGTCCATGGTCTACGGCTCAGCCTCTGCATATGTCGATAGGCATAAATCTTCCGGTGGAATTGCAATTGTATCCGCCCTGCAACCTCATCGCTGTGCGTCCTTTCATATCCCAAGAATGGTCGCGAGTCTAACTGCAAGGTGTTGTAGCAACAGCTCTACGCGTCCGCATCCTCTTCACTCTTAGTCTGTTGGCGACCCTTGACCGTGAAGGTGATGGCCTCGAACTTTAGCTTGGATTTGACCTTGAGCTTTCTCTTACCCCATCACATTCTACAGTATCTGTACTTGTGACTGTACCCACATTCCCCCTTATCTGTACTTGTACCTGGAGCTGCATCGTAGCCTGAACGGCGAGAGATACGTCCCGTCCCGTAACTCGTCGTGAACGCGCTTCCACGGTCGTTGACCCACCGCTGAGTCGCGCCGCGGTCATGCCCGGCTTGTGTCTGGCCCGGGAGATGAGTTTGATCTTGATCCTGATCTTGCGCTGGGGTGGGCGCGAGTTGATTTCCCTATCCCTATCTCTGTCTCTATCTCGATGTCGACGTCGGCGTCGACGTCGTGGCCCAGAGGGAATGGTTCCCGATCTTGGAACGATCCTGGACCGATCCTTCGGGAACGAGTGTCTGGCAGGCAGCAGTCAGTCCCTTGGGGAGTTGGCAACGGGGCAACGGGGCAAAAAAAGGAGAACGACAATCCTCGTACTGGGAGGTGGTGGACCTCGACTCCGGTTTGCCTTATTAGCTGGCGCGGGGTTTTGGACGGTTGATTTTTGACGAGGCCGGGACTTGGGGCCGGGCCATGTGCTGGTAGGTTGTGGTTCTCGCGTGGGCTGATGGATGCCTGGTCTGTTTTAGGTTGGTAATGGGCATATCTTCGCGTCGCGGAGGGCGGATAGGTAGGTAGGCAATTAAGGCTAGAGATATAGACAGGATGATGGACCTGACTAGCTGGCTGGTTGGCTGGTTGGCTGGTTGGCTGGCTGATGGACTGACTGGCTGATGGACTGGCTGATTGACTCCTCACGATGGTTATAGAGTCACTCGAGGGATCGCGGTGTGCGGCGAGGGCGTAGCCAGTGTACGGGCGTTGAAGCAGTGGAGTCCGAAATGGATATAAAGCGAGAAATGTACAACGCAGGGCGGAGAACGAGAGTCTGGAACGTATGGAACATGGGCAGCGGACAGTCAATCAATCTTTTGAGCGAGCGACAAACGGAGAGCTGGTGGTTGAGAGAGTGCGTTCGTTCATCTTTTCTCCTTTCTCCAAGGGAGTTGCCAACGGAATCTGCAGTCTCAAGCTCGGTAGGCCAGACTTGCACCGGGGAGAGACGGCAGTATGGGAGGGTGCTCGACGGGGGACGAGGGCGTGTCGGCTATCTGAGCTGGTCTCCAAATACAGGCCGTGCCAGGCTGGTCGCGCGAAGGGCGTGATAACGTCGTTGCATACATACAGCAAGTCGACATCAGATGCCCGTAGCAGCCTCTGTTGTGGTGCCACTTGCTGACATGTTTGGCCTTGCATTGTTTCTGAAACCAGGTCCTCCGCACGGCATCTGGAGCAGGAAAGAGCAGTGTGATTCCTCAGACTTTCCAGGCTCCTCTTCTGCCACTACCTCCACCATTGCCGCTGAGTTCTGTATCTCTGTCTAAAGGTTCCTTTGCGATAGTGTCTCCCGTTCCACTTGGAGTTGGAAGGCTCGCCTGCCATTCCTCCTTCAAAGCTGCTCGCATGGCGTCAACCAGTATCGACGCGTCATCATAGTCCAAATCCTCACGCATCCCACGACCGAAAAGAATGGCTGTCGCTTGACGACCTGAAGGCTGCGGATTGCGGGGATACTTTTTCTTCGAGGATGCGGGGGTGTTGTTGGTCGGATATTTGTAATTCAGGGGCGGACGCGGCACGATATGGAAATGTACATGGGGCACAACCTGTGCAGCTCCCGGCCCTGAAGGAGACAGATGATCGATTAGACTGGAGGCTCATTGGGGGATCCGGTTAGGGGAAGGTGATCGAATAGGTCTTGTCGTTAGGGTACACGTTGCGGACTCACCGTTGTTCTGCACAACGTTGTAATCGGCGTCTTCATGCGGTATGTCGGGCAATACAGCCTTGAGCACTGACCGGGCCAGAACAGGGAGAACTCGCCCGATCTGTGGATGTGTAAGTGCATGTTTCGACACCACTGTCCGGAAACGGAATGATCAATGTAGATTCGGCGTCCCGGATTGAAGTGCCTCAAGTCTTTCCGTGGCATCTCTCAAGGTTCTTCAAGGAACAGAGCAAGTAGGAGAAGCCAAGCATACCTCAGCGCCCTCGTCAGGACTCAAATCTCCAACCTTGACACGGTGCTTCCGAGGCGCCACCAATACATGCCCTCTTGTCAAGGGCATGATATCCAAAAATGCGACGACATGCTCGCTGGAGTAGAGCACGAATGAAGGCGGGTCCAGCTTTTCGGGGTCGAGCTTCGACGCCGCGTCGTCGGGTGCCGATATTGGCGAGACTGACGGGTACGTCCCTGTTATTGCGCAAAAGGGACAAGATGGAGAGAAGGCCCGGTCTGAGGGCGAAGACGACGCAGGACTGGTTTCGTGGACAAGTCGTGGCAAGTCGGACATTCTGCGGGCCGAGGGAATAGGAAGATGGTGGAAAGCGTACAAATGACTCTATAACAGAAGGGATCTAAGGTACAGGATGTTTCTATAGAGACGTAAAAAGATAGATTGCTGGGATGATCACACAGATAGATGCAAGAGGCGTGGATGAGTCGTAAGTAATTAATTACTGAGCATTAGAAGTAACGAAGTCGAAAGGCTGAGAACCTTGGAAGCCAGTTGCGTATATTCAGTACCAAGTAATTACAGGAATTACTGTGCAAGGCTACCTACCTAGTAATCCGCCCTAGGCACCGGGACGGGCATCGGGCACGCCTAGCAAAGCACCTCTGGAGCCTCCCTCAGTCGCTCCAAGGGCGGCGGCTGCATCTTCATTCTGCCTTGGCCGGTAAGCTGGGCAGAACCATGTCTCCATAATCAGTGTTCTTCAGGAAGAAGAGCAGTAACATTCGGGTAATCCCCCGCCCCTGGTCGCTATCGTGGTATGAGCTACTGGTGAAAAGTGCCGCCAAGACAGCGCTGAATCACCGAGCTACATACAGCCTTCGAGTCTGGCGAGAATTCTGCCTCGTCGCCCTCGCCCAATCGAGGAACCTCGAATCTCTATGCCAGTACCGTCGTGACTCAGACCACTGTCATCTACTTGAGACTCGGCTCACACCGCACCACGACGCCCAAGGCAGATTTCCTAGGTGCTCGCAGATGGCGCAGCTTCTACTTCTGTGCCTGAATAATGGACTCTTTGATACGGTTCGCTCAGACGCACGAATCCTTTCGATGCCCCGAGATTGAGGCACTTTCGACGCTTGCGGATCTGCCCTGCGAGATCGTGTCTTACGACGAAAAGTCCCCTTTCTGCGTGGTGAGGTTTCCGAGCCTGTATCCGTGCGAGGAAGGCGAGCGGACGTCGCATCCCAGCCCGGCGTACGACCCAGCGTCTGACACGCGGATACGAGGCTTTGAAAGCCGCTCGATTCTATCGAAATGCATCTATGAGGTTTGGGGCCAAGGGCGGGATTACGACGAGCTTCACGCAGATGTCAGGCAGAGGAGCCAACATCTATGGGAGGCCTTCCGGCAGACGTCGTTCAAGTTCTCTGTCGACTGTTTTGGCAGTACGAGGGACGTGGACCAACAGAGAGACATCATCAATTCGTTTCGATATCTCGACTTGAGGGGCAAGATCAAAATGAAGGGACCCGAGGCCGAGTTTGCGGTACTGGAAGAATGGATCCCCTGGCCACCGCAAACTGAGTCACATCAGACAGCCAGCACAGACGGACACCCTGGAGTGGCTGTTGATAACGTTGCGGGCACGCGTCTCAGGAGAGTCTTTCTAGCTCGCAAGATTGGCGATTCCCGCCGTTGGCTGAGGGACAGGCACGACCTGAAGAAGCGACCCTACATCTCGACCACCTCCATGGATGCAGAGCTGGCCTTGGTGACTGCGAATCTGGCTCTGGCGGGCCCTGGAAAGATCTTCCTAGATCCATTCGTCGGCACGGGCGGATTCATGGTAGCAGCGGCGGAACTCGGGGCCGTGGTACTAGGATCCGATATCGATGGTCGAAGTTTTCGTGGGAAAGGTTCGGGTCTAGATAAAGGAGTGGGAGCCAACCTGCGGAGATATGGTCTGACTCATCTGTTCGGCGACTGCATGACTTCAGACCTGACCAATACGCCCTTCCGGACCTCTAGAACGGGGGCTGGATCAGGGGACGGCCGATGGCTGGATGGGATCATCTGTGACCCTCCCTATGGCGTTCGCGAAGGACTCAAGGTGCTCGGAACCAAATCGAGACCAGGTCGATCCACAGGCACGGAGCTTAACGGCCTGATCTCCAACCCCTTGAAGAGCAACAGCCCATCAACTCCGACATTGATTGATGGCGTACCTGCCCACAGCCTGCCTGGGTACATCGCCCCGAAGAAGCCATACTCCTTCACCCGGATGCTGGACGACATTCTAGACTTTGCCGCCAAGACGTTGGCGGACCGCGGTCGTCTCGCCTTCTGGATGCCCAGTGCGAACGAGAATGAATTCGGCGAGGAGGAAACGACGGTCATACCGCAGCACCCGCGACTGGAGCTGAAGCACGAGTGCGTCCAGAGGTTCAACAAATGGAGTCGGAGGTTGCTCGTGTATGAACGGCTGCCAGGGATACAGGAGCCGGGGATCGACGTAGGCTTGTCAGAGGGCTTGGAGGCGGCACCCATTGCAGGTCGCACCGCCGATGAACTCAATCCGTTCCGGAAGAGATATTTTCAGTCGTTTGGACCAGATAGAAACGTGTAGCTAGCATTCGCCCAGCCCACGTCCGTCTCTCGCTCAGCCGTGTCATAAATGAAAATGGGTTTGTCGGCGACACTTGCTCCCTTAACACTTTTCTGGACCCTCAGCTCGCTCGACCGGAGCAAAAACCTAACCGTCGACTTTGAGCTTTTCCACGGCCGCGACGGCGTCCTCGCCGTCGATATCCTCCTCGTCACCCTTGCCAGCCAATCCTCTCTCCCACAGCTGCTTCCCCGTCAGCCTCTTCTCCTCGGCCTTGCCGCCTCCTCGTTTTTTCTTCTCCTCGGCCTCTTCCTCCTCCCTCGCTTTGCGTTCCTTCTCTTCCATCTCCCGGCGGAACCTCTCGCGCCACTCCAAAAACCGCTCCCTGTTCACCAGTGTCCCGTGGAACTTGCGATTCTCTTCCTCCTCCTTCTCCCGGACCAAGACCTCGCGCGCCTCCTCGGCCTGCCGTATCCGGTCGGAGATCAACACTTCGGCCGCCTCTTTCAGCGTCGTGACCAAGGTAAACACCATGGCCATGCCGAGGTTATCTTCGATCGTCGGTCCGAGCGCGTCGAGGAGTCGCGCCTTGTCCTCGCCGACGTCCAAATGTGGGTGTCTCGGCGCGTTGGGCGGGGCGCTGATGTCCAGGTGCGGACCGACGTCAGGGTAGGCGTCCGGGTACGTGACATTGAGCCAGAGGACGGGGGGCCCGCCGTTCTTGTCGTCGTCGTCGTCGTCGTGTCCGCCGTCGGGGATGTCGAGCGTGATGCTTATCCGGTACGCATTGTCCGAAGTGTCTGGCCGGAGTGGCATTTCAGCGTCAGAAACCATTTTACATTTCGTTCTGAGAGAAGGGGGATTCCCCAACCTGTGATTTCATCTGGGAAGATCGAGTCGAGGACCTCGCGCTCCTCTTTCTGCTCTTCGATGCCCATTGTGGGATTACCCTTGAACACTGGCCTCGAACAAAGCGGCGACCGCGCGCCGCAAGAACACAAGCAAACGGCTGTTGCGGGGCGTCCAGTGTGGTTGAATATGTGGCGGATGTGCCGAATATGAGCCGGACACCTACCGGGACAACCTTACAATAGATGCGAATGGAACGAGATTCGAGATACTGTATGTACTCCGTACAAAAGATTGACTCACTCGATTGTGACCATTTGATTATGTGGTCATTAAGCAATCAGGATATGATCCGCCAACTACAGTTTATAGGCACCGCCGCCTACCACACCAGCACTGGTGGCTCCTTTGCCTTTCTTCCCATCCAAGTCCTGCAGCTCGCCCTTCTTGCCCACAACCTTGACGTTGCCCTTGCGCAGCTCAGACAGGATGTCCGACTTCTCTTGCTCCTTGGTCTTGGCCTTCGCCTTCTTGGATGCTCCATTACCGACGCTGTGAGCTGGGCCCGTCCCCGGCGCACCGCCTTGGGCTTTCTTCATACGCTCTTTCTCTCTCCTCCTCCGCCGCAGTTTGTCTTCTCGTGTCATCTCTTCCTTGCTCATACTTGCGCCGCTTTTGCGGACAATCACATTACCATTCCTCTTCTCCTCACCCGGTCGATACACTTCTTGTGGTGCAAGCATACTCTCCTCAGCATTGACGCCAGCCCCAACGGGCCTCGCATCCTCCATGCTGATGGTGGGTTTGTCTTCCACAGCCTTGATCTCGGCTTCCGCCCGTTTAGGCTTGAAGTGCAGATTACTGAGGAGGTCTAGTTGACCTGATACCTCTTTCCACAACCTTGAGATTTCTTCGTGCTGCTTTTTGGTCGCGGCTGATCGTTTGTCGACGTAGCCAGGATCAGTCGCTTTCAGATGCTCCTGCTCGTAGATCCCCGCGAGACTGGACTGAGGCTTCGTGTCATCTAGGTCTATCCGGCCTCGACGAGCCTCGCCCGCGCCACTAGCGGCATCCGGGTGACGGCGAATGACCTCGTCAAACTCGCGGGCCAGGATCCGTCTCTTGATCAACTGCTCGATTTCTTCCGAGACCTCGGCGGTGATCACCGGTACAGGTTTACCGACGCGTTCGAACTCCATGTCCTCCTCAATCAGGGAGTTCGGAAGTCGATCAGCCGCACGTGCCTCGCCTGAAAGCGTCCAGTCTCTCTTTGCCACGCTGGCAGCTTCGAGGCGGCGGATTTCGGCGGCAATTGCAGCGCGCTGCTTCTCGTGTGTAGACATGTTTCTGCCTGATGATCTCATGTCGTTCGCGTCAGATCCAGAGTCAAGACCGGAGTCTTCCTCATCCGACTCGAGCAGGTCACGTCGGACATCAGCCATTGCTCGTTGAAGACTATTTTCAATGTCATCGTCTTCTGGCTGCGGTTGAGATTTGGGCTGTGTTTTCGGCAGCGCCCTCATCCGCTTGGTCTTTGACTGTTTCTTTGGTGGAGGGGCAAAGAAGTCGGCGTATCGTATTTCGTTTGTATTATCAAGACCGGGCAAGCCGTCCTCTAGAGCGCCCTCTTCTTGCTCCATCATGTCTTCGTCGCTGTCGTCTGCGTTCAGATCTGCATCTTCAAAGGTCGGGCCATCTTCCTCGTCCGACGATTCATGGCCGGCGTCCGCCTCCTTGTTCTTCTCACCAGCGTTGGCCTTCGTTCGGTGGAAAGGCATGGTCAAAGGGTCTGCATCCCAGTCAATATCGTCCTCATCGCTCGGGTTGTCGTCCTCGCCACGCGCATCTTTCTGCTCGAGAAATTGCGTTTGCCTGTTGAATTCGTCGATGGAGAAGAAGCCATCATTGAGATGGTTGGGGTCTTCGACATATGTCGCAGGGTCTTGCTCATCCGCCTCGGATCTATCAGAATCATCGTCCTCGATGTCTTCCATTTCTTCAAGATCTCGGTCGTCCTCAGCAGCCTCGTCCTCGTAAACAGCGTCGTCATTGGGTAGGCCACTTCCTAAGTCGCTGTACTCTGTGTCATCAATCTCTTCCTCGGAGAGGCTCGCGGCATCATCCTCCTGGTCGTCCGAAGCAACCTGCGCTTCTGTTTTCGTCTGACGTCGAGCTCTCTGGATGGCAATATCCCTCTCAATCTCTGTGCATGTAGCATCTAGGATTCTTCTCGCCTGCTCCCACACTTGCTTGACCCCGAGACCGTTTGTGTAGACCTGGCGTAGTTGCAGGACTCCCTCCTCCCGCTCAACATCGCCTCGTTTTCTTTTCTTCCTGCTCTCATCCCTCCGAAACGTCTGAGCAGCGGCGACATTGCTGGCCAGCGGGTCGAGGATTGATTTAAGGTAGGATAGACTGTCGAGATGAAGCGTCGACGGCGGCTGTAGAAAGTCCTGGGCTGATGTCGACAGAGTGGTCAAAAAACCACTTGATTCTGCCATCGCTGCATCTACTTTCAGATTCAATCAGTGGATGTGGCATCGACGACGCTGCCGCCGTTACGCTGCTGGTGGGTGCAATAATCTTGGCCGTCGCATCGCAACACCGACGGATCGTACAAAGTACCTACTCGTAAGTACCTAGGTATTTTTTTTTTTCTTCAGCGACGTAACAGGAAACAGAGACAACCTGCGATTAGGGTTTAGCGTGCATGTTACCCATGCGAGGGGCGCGCTCCAGGGTGGCTAGGCGGCTCCCAAGCCGCGCATTCTCCCCTCTGTCCCCTCCAGAGACTCGCACAAACCTTAGCCAGACCCTCACTAGAGATGAACGAGTGGAGCAGGACTTTGCCAGAAATTTGAAAAGCAGGACTCTGAGAGGACGTCACTGGTCGATGCGCAGCGTAACTTCGCCTTACCAGCAAAACACCATCCCTGCCTGCATTGGTGCTGGCAGACAACTGCAACTGCGAGTTTTGTGCGAAGCTTAGTCCTTGGGCCAGCTGTGCCTAGCCGGGATTTGGCCGTCCCTCTGACAACTTTAGCCGCTGGACGCCCTCAAAGGCCCAGGCCTCCTCGGCCTCGTACCTGTCGGCGGAGTAATAATGCCTTGAAAACAAACAGGAACTTTCCACAATTTGGAGATGAACCTTGCCAATCGTCATTCACCGACGACATGGACCAGCCACCTCGAGCCTAATCACATTGCGAGCTTGCGACATCGGTGGTGCTTTTCATCCGATGGGACAAGTGTAGGAACAGGGGAGCGTGGCAATTCATGCAGATTCACGCATGGGTGTACGGCGGCACATCAGGATATCCATTGCATGTGGTCTCTCGAATGTTACCGTGTGCAGGTAAACCGGCAGTGACCTGCCTGCTCGTGCTACTGTGTGGTCGGAAGAATTGGGACGAGGGGCGCCAAGTGGGCAGGTGGGGTGCGCTTCTGGCTAGTCTCGAGCTGAGTTCCATTGAGTTTGGAAAGTTATAAGCGTCCGGAGTAAATGCGCTTCGCGGGCACCTCTGCGCCGACATAGAAGATAAGATCGCCTCCAGCCCCGGCCGTGTCCGTAGCGACCCTACTTCTGCAAGACTCCGGCACCACCAGTCGCAAAGCAACGACTGCATCTCAGAAGTCCTGGGACGCGATCATGAAGTTTGGCGAGACCTTCGCGCAACGGTCGGTTCCAGAATGGGCGGCATTCAACCTCAATTACAATGGGATCAAGGATGTCATCAAACGGAACACCTCCAACAACTTAAATCATGGCGGCCCCGTCAACATCCCCCAGCAAGGCAAGAGCCGCTGGGAAGACTCGGACCAGGCAGTTTTCGACATCTTGCGAGATCAGTACGATAACATCAGTCTCTTCTTGCGCATGAAACAGGGAGAAATCGACCGCCGACTCATCGTCCTCAAGAAGCAGATTATCTCGCTCCGAACATATGCCGACGAGAGAGCTTTCGCAGGCGACGTCGTGGCATCCATGCATGGTCGCAAGCATCGGAGACTGTCCAAAGAGATCGAGGAGCTCGGAGACCTAATCCAAAAGGTTGCTCGGTTTGCATCGGCTCAGAAAATCGCCTTCAGGAAGCTTCTCAAGAAGTATACCAAATGGACGGGATGTACCTCATTGCAAACCCGCTCTGATGTCGAAGTATTCTCGTCCAACCAGCTCAAGACCGATTACTCCAATTATCTACAGGAACTGGCCAACCTTCGATCTATCCTCGCCGAAGAGCTGGCGGGGCCTATGCTTAGAAGGCAGCAGGTTGAACGACTGTCCAGACAGCAACAGGAGGATGGAACTTCCACCACGAGCACCCGGTCGCTGATCGCCCAGATCAACAACTCCATCAAAGCCGCGCCTTCAGCTTTCGATGCCGCTATTATGACAGTGCCATATGGTGAGGCTGCTGGCAGTGCCATGTACTGGATCCATCCAGATAATATCGACGAAGCACGTGCCCTTCTACACAGGAATATGAAGAGAGTCGATCCATCCTCTTCCTCGCCATCACGAGCAGCTTCACAAGAATCCCTCTTATCGGAGAATGGCCTGTCTGCGCCACTTTCGAGTGATTCAAGGACTCACATGGTCTTTTTCGACAATGCACAGAGATTTGTTGCCGACGCAAGCACTGCAAGGCCATCAAAAATAGCTTTGAGCGCCCACTGGACCCGCAATAAGAATGCAGCGGTTACCCTCGCTGGACTCTCACCAAGTTCATCCGGTGAACAAACCATCCTAGTCGATCGCGAAGACCTCCCCATCGCCTTGAATCGAGAATTAGGCCCCAAGAACGACGCCAAAGCCACAACCGTTGTTCAGCATTATCTGGTCGAGCACAGGGACGTCAAGCCCTTGGCTCAAGTCCAAGCCAATCGTACCCGCTACGTTGGAATGACCAACACCGCCGATGTCGCAAACTGGGCGACTTTGGATTCCTCAATCATGGTTGGTGCTGTAGATATGCAACAGCTTAGTAAACTACAACAGGTTTGTCAAGGGAGCGAAGCCTTCCCCTACGCCGTGTTGCATATCCGCTGGGAGTTCGCTCGAATGCCTGCTGTTGTCCGTGCATTTGATGAGTCGTACTTGGCATACAGAGTCCACGACTTCACCATCGAGGACATGGCCATCCGCAAAGTGCAAAAAGACCTTCTTCGTCCATCATGGCAACATCTTCTAGACCTCGATATCACCAAACTGCCTCTGCCGCATGCACCCAGCTTTAACCGACTCAAGACCACTACGCGGATGAAAATCAATGCAAGCGACACGAGAGGGACGTCCTCAGGCCCATCCTCAAGCGAGGGCCAGTCAGATAGTGTCTTTTCTACAGGCACCCAAGGAAATTCTTCTGCGACATCTGAAGAAACTCGGGCGCTTGCACTCAGTTCCCCAGAGGAGCCGAGCTCGAAGCCAAATCACAAAGCACGAAAGAAGCGGGCACGAATTGTCATGCTAGAGCCAGAACCCAGGTTCAGATACTGGAACGAATTCGACGACGGCGATTCAGACGTCCACCCTCAGGAGTCGTATGCCATCTACGTCGATCCTAACGAGCCTACTTTCCCAGGGCTTTCCGAAGCATGGAAATCCATCAGGACGTCATGGCCGTTGAAATGGATTATCGCCGACAAGGGATCATCGGATGAACGGACACCATTGTTGTATGGCGAAGATACCTCTTCCATCGAATCGTCCGATTCTGATTCCTTTGTTGAGGCGCAACAGCAACAGCTCCGCCGGGGGTTGGTCTGGGGTTTGGTTGGTGGAGTGGCCATCAGTTTTCTTATCGGCGTTGCAGTTTTGGCCTTTTGCATATTTGGCCTGACATGAACGCCTGCGTTCAATTGGGCTCGACCAGGTGCATGGGGTACAATAACGAATTACACGACCTGTACAACTAGGATGACCCTGGCGAACAGCGCCCTGTAGACTCAACGAAGATTGTGCTCAAGTACTCCGATTCTCCAATGCTATCTTCCCATGGGATCGCCGATTTACTTCCCGGCAGGACGGAACCCGCTGACAGACCGGGGGCACGAATGCGGACCCGGTCCAACGACAGGGCATAAACTATCGCGCTACTGAACAGGTTCTTTGCGCTCCGTGGTCGGAAGTTTCGTTCCTGCTTCACGACGTGCAGGTCCCTGCATTTGATGTCAGCCACCAGCTGCGGGGAACTGCGGCGATGATAATGTGTGAGAAGACAATACGAGTGCTGTGTCCGAGTCGATGTTCTGTGCTGAAGCTCTGAGCATCACACGACTCTTCACATTAACACTGAACTCCATCGGGGTGTCAACAGGGAGATACAGAGTACTGCGCCTCCGATGTGAGCACACGTGATTGGCCGAGGTCTGCCTCTCGGCATCAGCCACCAGCCACTAGAGACTAGCCACTAGAGACTAGCCACTTGCTGCAGCCACAATAAAGCCATGACGGAGGATTGAGGCGCCCTTATCTCCCAACGGCTGTTATCTTGCAGCATCGTTCTGCACAGATATATCAAAATCTGGGCTTATCAGTGCATTGGAATCTCGAATCCAAGTTCTGAGTGGTAGACTCAGATCTGAAGTTCCCCGGAGATGCAAATCTCGCACAACTTAAGCATGCTGGAGTTATCGGTGTTTCCTATGACGATTCCAGTCAGGAGGATAGGCGCAGAGCGTCCAAACCCTCCAAGTCCAGAGACATATCGTGATGTCTCAGCTTGAAGTTACAGTCATAGCCTCACTACATCTGCATTCCAGTTTTGCCAACAAATATGACTCAAGATGAGGAGCGGGCTAGCGAGAGCACCCGTCTTCTGCCTCACGGTAGGAGGCTGAGCTCTTTGCCAGGTGAAGGAGATGCTGCTTCGATCCTTTCTTCGCATATCAGCAAAGAAGAACAGGCACTTGGCGAAAGCGCAGTAGGAGAACGTCTCCCATACAACGACTACACGACGATCGATTGGCTGCACGACTTGGTAAGACCAGTCCACTCCACCCAACGCGCTGAAACTGAAGACCGGCAGGTCAAAGACTCGTTCAGACATCGTTCTGTCCACAGTGGGCACGGCATTCGACATGCGCTTAGAGCTTCGTTCGACTCCTGCCAAGGCTGGATAGCAGCCGCTCTGATTGGCACGCTGACAGCATGTGTCGCCTTTCTGGTGGATATTGCTGTAGCCACCGTAAGTGACTGGAAAACTGGGTATTGCAGCAGTAATCCATTCGCAAGCAAGGAACTCTGCTGTACTTCAAAGTCACGACTGTGGCCTCTTGCTGATGCTGGGGAGACATGCGCGGACTGGCGCTACTGGACGACCAACTACTGGCATGGGTTCGGCATTTATGTGGCATTTGCCCTCGCCTTCGGAATCATCAGCGGCACAATCACTTTGACCACCAAACGGGCTCTGCCGGCCACTGCCCCGGGTGCGGGAGACGTAGATCCGGTGCAGACGATGAGTGATCGAGCGAGCAACGAAATGCTGAAACCTACAGCTGCTGGCAAGTCAATCTATATGGCAGCGGGGAGTGGCATTCCTGAGATCAAGACAATTCTGTCTGGTTTCGTCATTCCTCATTTCCTGGACTTCAAGGTTCTCGTTGTGAAAGCCGTAGGCTCCACCTTTGCCGTATCGACAGGGATGTGTCTGGGGAAGGAAGGCCCGTTCGTCCACATATCGACGTGCGTTGCGTACCTCGTTGGTGTCCAATTCCCGAAATATCGGGAGAATGGGCGAAAGCTGCGAGAACTACTTGCTGCTGGGTGCTCGAGCGGGCTTGCCGTGGCGTTTGGTGCTCCGATCGGCGGGGTGCTCTTCGCATACGAGGAGATCTCGACCTATTTTCCCCGAAAGGTGCTCTGGCGGGCATTCATCTGTTCTCTGTTCGCCGCGATGACCCTCAAGGCACTCAATCCGACCGGCACCGGGAAGCTCGTGCTCTTTGAGACCAACTATGGCACGACGTACGAGCCTTACCACTACGTCGTGTTTGTCGTCCTTGGCATTGCCGGTGGCATATTCGGGGGCGTATTCTGCAAAGCAAATTTTGCTTGGTCACGCAGCTTCCGTAAGTACAGCATCATCAAGAATTACCCGGTCTTCGAGGTGGTCCTGGTCGTGCTGGCCACGGCACTCTTACAATATCCGAACCCTTTAACCCGAGAGCCGGGCGACGTCATTATCAAGAACCTCCTAGTCGACTGCACGGAAAGTCCACAGACAGCTTATGTCTGTGTGCAGGAAGGAGATGCTTCGCCCTCGCGCAGATATATAGGCTGGCTCGCGTATGGAACGCTGGTGAAACTGGTCCTCACCATCATAACGTTCGGCATCAAGGTGCCGTCGGGGATCATTATTCCTGCCCTTGATGGCGGAGCGTTCTTTGGAAGACTGGTCGGCCAACTGCCTTTCCTGGCACATACCATCTCTCCGGGCATCTTCGCGATGGTCGGGGCCGCGGCTTTCCTGGCTGGCGTCAGCCGCATGACCATCAGCCTGGCTGTGATCATGTTTGAATTGACGGGTGAATTGGAATTTATCGTGCCGAACATGATCGGGATAATGGTTGCCAAATGGGTGGCCGACGCCTTGGAGCGTGAAGGCGTCTACGATCTCGCACAAACAGTTCTGGGCCATCCGTTCCTTGACCTCGACCAGAGCACGAAGCTGGTCCAGGAGCATGCTTACCTAGTCGAGGAGCTGATCCCTCCGACCCAGACCATGCGTGAGATTACGGTCGATGTCCCTCAGAGTGGCGTCGTTCCTCGTATTCTGCTGACAGAGAAGCTGCACCAACTGCGCCGTCGGGGTCTTATGGATGCTGGTCTGGTGCTCGTTCAGCGGACGATGTTACAAGGCTACTTGGCGGAAGGAGAACTAGAGTTTGGGCTCGAAACTTTGGGCCAGAGTTTCGGCGAAGGCTGTGTGGTGCGTCTCCTCCCCGCAATAGCAGGGGTCGGCGTGCCAACGGAGCACGAAGGGGAACTCGACCTGTCCCACTTCATCGACCGCACGCCCTTGACCATATGTGCGAAGGCACCGATGGAGTATGCGGTCGAGATGTTCGGCAAGCTCGGACTAAGGCACATATGCGTGACAGAGGAAGGCAGCGGAAGACTTGTGGGGGTGATCATCAAGAAGAGGCTGGTGGTTTGGCTTGAGAGTTTGAAACACTGAGCTTCACACATACGCTCGGGCTCATTGTGTGTACAGAGTACTGTGCGAGGTACTCGAGTGTGGTTAGCCTCGTCCTTAATCAGAGTGACTTCAATGGCCTGGAGGATCTCGGCGAACACCACAGCACATTACCCCGTAGCACCACAGTAAAAACGTAGAGCAGAATCATGTCCATGCCTTTACGCTTATCAGTACGGAGTAGGGCTGGCGCTGGTCCAATGGCTCATGCAGCCTCGCTGCACGGTGCTGATCCACAACCGCTTTTCTTTCTGCATGCAGGCTTGATTCTAGTCGAGTCTGGCGTCACTCGTTGCTTCGACATTTCGCCATTTGCGTCGTCAGTAGCGGGCAAGATAACGATTTTCAGAGGCTCCTTGAGCATGGGCGGCTGCGACTATTGGCAATGAGCCCGCAACCGAGTTGCTTTAGCACTTGACGCCCGCCGTCACTGGCTTGACTTTGCCTTGATCTTTGCCTCTGTATTCGCCTTCGCCTTTGCCTTCCCGCTCCAGGCCCATCGCAGGCTGCCCCGCTTCAAGCACTGTCCGCCTCCACATGTGCGCTGCATAAACAAATACGAAAAATTTCTGCACCACGCAAGGTATCAAGTAGACGCGGCAGAGGATAGCTGGACTAACCCGGGACGCTCCAGGTTCGAGTCCACAACGGTCCGTATACGAGTTCAGGGCTCTTGTCTGCTGCGCGCCCGGATCTTGCTCACTTTGACTGCCTCTAACCCTCTCTCCTCATTTCCCGCCTATCTCGCGTCATACGGGTCCGTTCGACGAGCTTGGGCCCGCCCCGGTGGTGTGTCAGCTGGGAAGAGCCGAGAAACAGTGGAGTTTGCATGGGATGCATTGCGGGACAAGATGATATCTCTTTGAGCTGCCAAAATGTCGACAACCTTATCCTCAGGCAAGCAACATGCGCGCCATAGTTCCAGCTATGCAAAGAGTCGACCTGCCGCAATGCCGGGCTCGCCCTCAAGGAGGTCTCACAGTGAACAAGTGGTAGAAGAAAGCAGTGCTCTGCCCATATCGGAGAACGCTCAAGCTGCTCATCGTCCTCGAGCAAGCTCTACCTCCAGCCAACCTACAGCAAAGACTCCTGCGAGATCGTTCTACGTCCGCTCCTTCCATGGCCAGCTGGACCCGGCTCACTATTCCTCCTCTGCCGGCTTGAGAGACCAGACGGCTGAGTTGGCCGCGTTTGCTCTGTCCGACAACGCCTCGTTTCTAGGGAGCTCTCCACCGAGTTCAACAGCCTCCTCTGACGATGGCTACCCCGATGTCATCGAGGAGGTCTCGGAGCCTGTAACTCCAGAGGGCTCAGAACAAGATCACCCGGGTGACCCAGCTGTCTCCGGCCTCACTGCCATGATACAAGACTCAGCCAGCAAGCAAGAGGAGGAGCATACGCTGAAGACGGACGCTAGTTACAAGGGGAAACTGAACGATCCAACCTCATCGAATATGCTGGAATCTTCACACGCAGACGAGCGTACAGCCTTGCTCGCCGACCCAAAGACAGACATCAATCAGTATGGGCGTGTGACGGACATTGAATGCCAGAACCATGCAGACGAGCCGGGTGTGGGTGTCCGCCAGAAGCTGGGAACTTCTATCGACAAGTTGCGGTCGTGCGGCTACGTCCTCACACATCCCAAGACCTGGAGCGCTCGTACCATCTACCGCGAAGCCGTTGTACACCCGGTCAGCCTACTCCCCGCTGTCTTTCTGGGTTTGCTCCTCAACATTCTTGATGCCTTGTCCTACGGCATGATTCTATTCCCCCTGGGTAATGAGATATTCGACGGCCTCGGCTCCGACGGCATTGCAATGTTCTATGTCAGCACCATCGTGGCTCAGGTGGTCTACTCATCCGGGGGATCGGTCTTCCGAGGAGGCATTGGTTCCGAAATGATTGAGGTCGTCCCGTTCTTCCACAAGATGGCCTTCACCATCCTTCATAAAGTGGGGGAGGAAAATGCCAAATCTGTGCTGGCTACTACGATATTATCCTTCGCGATTAGTGCCATTCTGACTGGGGTGGTCTTCTTCCTCATGGGGGCTTGCAAGCTGGGGTTGCTTGTCAGCTTCTTTCCCCGACATATCCTGATTGGCTGCATTGGGGGTGTTGGCTGGTTTCTTATCGCTACAGGCGTCGAGGTCGCTGCTCGATTGCCGGGGAATCTGGAGTATAACCCTGCCACTCTCAAGCAACTGTTCCGCGGTGATACTGTTGCTCTCTGGACGATTCCATTGTCTCTTGCGGTCATACTACACATTGTGCAACGCTTTGTGAAGTCCAATATGTTGGTTGGCGGCTATTTTGTGGCGGTTGCTGCCGTCTTTTACTTCTTCAAGTTCGCTTTGGGCATCTCGATGGAGACGATGCATAGCGGAGGTTGGGTTTTTGATCCTCCACCTTCCGGTCATCCTTGGTATCACTTCTACACACTTTACGACTTCAAGGTGGTGAACTGGGAGGCTCTTGCAGAAACGATCCCAACCATGTTTGCCCTGACATTCTTCGGCATTTTACACGTGCCGATCAATGTGCCTGCTCTCGGTGTGTCCACTGGTGAGGACAATCTGAATGTCAACCGGGAGCTGGTGGCCCACGGCGTCTCCAACTGCGTGAGTGGTCTATTCGGGAGTGTCCAGAATTATCTTGTGTATACAAACAGCCTTCTGTTCATGGATAGCGGTGGGAATGACCGACTTGCGGGCCTTCTGCTGGCAGGTTGCACCTTCGGCCTTCTCTTAGCCGGACCGACCATCATCGGCTACATCCCCATCATGGTGGTTGGAGCTTTGATTTTCCTCCTCGGCATCGAGCTGCTCGAGGAAGCACTTGTGGGAACGTGGGGCAAAGTGCACAAGCTCGAGTATGCGACCATCGTCATCATTGTGGTCACGATGGGAGCGTGGGATTTCGTGATTGGCATCTTTGTGGGCATCGTGCTTGCTGCCCTCAGCTTCGTCCTTGAAACGTCTCGACGAACAGCGATCAGGGCCACATACTCCGGCGAGATCGCCAAGTCCCTGGTCAGGCGACCACCAGTACAGCTGAAATTCTTGAGGGAGACCGGACAACAAATCTTCCTAATCAAGCTATCCGGCTTTTTGTTCTTTGGCACGATTGTCGGTGTCGAAAACCGAATTCGAGCTCTCCTCGCCGATGATGCCTTCCGAACTAGGCCTCTAAGGTTTCTCGTGTTGGACATGGCTCAAATCAATGGGATTGACTATTCGGCCGCCGAGGCGTTCACCAGGATTGATCGCCTCCTAAAAACGCGTGGAGTGGAGCTTGTTATCTGCAGTCTCGACGTTGACGGCGAGATTGGACAAGCTCTGCGGAGCGTTGGCCTGTTTGCGGAGGATGCCGACGTTGAGATATTTCCTGATCTGAACGTTGCTCTGGAACACTGCGAAAACAAGCTGTTGACCGCCTTGTATCGCCAACAGGAGCATCGACGGACGAAGCGTATCGCGTCACACCTCGATGTGCCGCGGAGTCGGCCTCAAGAGTTGTCCTCATCGTACAAGGCAGAGTTCATGGGCAGCTCCCCCAGGCGGAATCATCTTCACCAGGTCGCGCAAACCACCCTGGATGAAGATCGATCTAGCACGGCCAAGTGGCAGACATTTAAGCAGCCCCTGCCCCTGATGTTGCAGATCTTTGCTGAGGTCTCGGATAAGAACGAGGATTTCTGGTTTCGTGCGGCGAAATATTTCGAAAGGATAGTCTACCCCAAAGGCTGCGTCTTGTTCAACGTCGGGGATCCACCCAACGGCTTTTTCCTCCTCGAAGAAGGCCTTTTACGCTGCGACTACGACTGGCCGCAGGGCAGATATACTGAATTGATTGTGGCAGGGCGACCCTGCGGTGAGCTCCCATTTTTCTCGCAGACGCCGCGCACTGCGACGATGGTTGCCGAGAAAGATAGCATTACGTGGCGGTTGGATGCAAAGAGCTGGCACGAAATGCAGGTCCACGATCCAGACGTGGCACAAGAACTGCTCGTAATCAGCCTCAGACTCACGAAAGAGCGGATGGACGCAGTCACGTCCTACATCCTGACAACGGCGGGCTAATTCGTTGTTTTGAGGGTTGGCTGTTCGAATATTTTTCATGTACAGTACGACTCCGTTGACAGTCGGGAAGAGAAAAGTTGGAAACTAATAGAACTCCTTTGGCCTCCTGGGAGTTGAGCAGGGCGCTGGCGGCACTACCGAAATTGGCTTAACACGAGCGCAAGGATAGGTAATTGATGTATTGATCAGAGTAGAAGAGGTCAAGAATGGTCGTCGACAGTCGCAGTCTGCGCTGACGAGTCTGTTGGCTGAATTGTGGTAGGTTTTGGTTGTCAGCTGAACTGGCAGTACGGAGCACTGTGTGGGAGGAATTGATCAAGCCTGCCAGCGTTCGATGACCCCCATTGTCTCTACTTTATCAACTCGACCCATCAAGACACTCTTTTCATCGAGCTGTACTGTGTTCAGTAACCCTCATGTGAGCAAGTCGGTGTCAGCAAATGGTCAGACCCTGATCTCCGAGGCCCATCGACACGCAATCGAGATGCGCAATCGGAGAGGTCAAGGAGGGCATGTGAACGGCATCGAGATCTCCGACATGGACAAGCGTGGGGCTTGAGAGGTTGAATTCTCGGTTCCTCATAGGCTCCGGCCCTTGCTCCTTGGCTGGCCCAGGATTCTTCAGGCAAGCGGCATGGCGCGAAAGGTCTTGAACCTTGCGGCCAGCGAGCCATGGTTTCAAGCTTGGACCAACGACGAGTCGACGTGCCAATTTTTCACAGGGAGTTCGGAGTTTGTCCAGACGGGAGATCATTAGCCAGTCGATGTTCTGCCTACATACCTGCCTTATCGTTAGGTTGTTCAACTGTGGGAACTGATCTCCTGTGCGAAGCAAGGGAGTCTCTCTGCTGCGTCGATCATCAACGACCTATCCGTACCGAGGGTGGGGGCGCCGCGCAGGACCTCCATTTTCTTGTCCTGCCTGTTTCAGGCTTGGGTCTGGCCGTGGCAAGAGGAGGCGGACGAGGCACGGAGAACAACCCGCGTCCTTCGCAAGGTGGAGCTCGTTTCGAAATTGCCAAACCAGCGGCTTCGTCGAGTTTCGCTGAACCCACATGATTGGGTGTTGTGAAGGATGTCGAGCGACGACACACTACCACTGTACCCAGTACTATCAGGATCGACGAAGGCCTGGATGATAACCCTTATTGCAGTACCGAGTAGTAACGTATAATCTCGCTATAACTTCGACCGGCAGCACATGCCCACACGCTTATGGAGACTGAACGGCTCGACGGCCTGGTCGCCGCATCGGCAGGACTCTTTGAGTTGCGATTACGATGCACGATTATTCAAACAGCAAGGAGGCTGAACCCGCAGGTTGCTGATCGGGAAACAAATCATGTGCCTGACAACCGACAAAATACAGACAAGCAAAGCTGACTGTCTCCTGCGCTAGGCGAGTCTACTTCTGATGTTGTGAACTGGGACGCCGTGCCAGAACACCATTCTACTAACCCGAAACTCCTTCCCTCGTTGGATGGCTCGATAGAGTTGTTTCGTAATAGCCTCGGAAGACGTTATCAAAATGTATTTGAGGACATGCGATTCGATTGCCATTCGCAGATGTTAATGGGCTGCATTGCACCCCGGCAGGCCACGGATGCGGCGGGCACGTCATTCCTGCAGGTGGTCAGTATGGTCGCATGACCAACAACTTACTCGTATTCTTGTGCCCATATCTTCCACTCAGACTCTCCTGTAGCCGGTTCTGTACAATGCTTGCTAGTCCCGTCACCGATCTCGCGCATATCACCGAAAGGATCATGCAGGGAAGTCTGCTGGAGTGGGAAGCGGTGAGGGCCGGCAGAGGTTTGTTGGAAATCGGATGACATGCGCTTCCAGCAGAGTACGATGGTCGTGCTCAGAGGATCGTTGCTGGATGCAAAGCCACGCTTGAATCGGGCCTGATCGGATGGTGGCAACATGTGCGCCCTCGAGTCCTTTGAAGGCCCGGTCATGGTCATCAGGCCGTCACAAATTGAAATAGATACCTGTTGTCAGTATGACCTGCAGCACAGCACGAGTTGTCACTGCAGGAGAGGACTTGGCGTCAGAGAGAGCGGGAGGAACATTCTCTGCTCTTAAATACTCGGGCACGATCCCAATGGCTCCCCTTTTTGCTGCTGACGGCCCGCGATCACGCTGGGCTGGACTTGAGGAGTGGAAAGGGGACAGGCCAGCGGTGAACCCCATCTTTATCGGAACAAGGTGAGCACGACCTGCTACAGCAACTATCAACATGTGAGCGGTAGCAGAAATTCGACGTTCGAACCCGCAGGGCTACTGTGAAATCTTTCACTGCTAGCGCAGAGGGTCCCGGTGGGCTGCCCCCCAAGAGTCCGGGCAATTGGGCTAGCGCTAGTTAAAGGGTGGAGCTGAATGGTGGGTAGCGCGTTGCCTAGTAGCGCCTTCAAATTTCCTCCCCGCTAAGACGCCCGTCGCGAACCAGCATGACTGGGCACGCCCAAGAGAGCGAGCCCGGTTGCCAGCCACGGCCCCAAACAAACCCAGCGCAACCCAGGCAAGACAAAAACTTGACGCATCCCATCCATCTCACACCACATCCGCCTCTTACCTGCGCTTCTCTCAATCTCGCTCCCTTCGCCTTTGCAATCACCCCCAATCCCCTTCCTGCTTCCACCCAAGATTCTTCTTAATCACTTCTTGCCCGGAACGTGACTGCCCGCGGAACGCGTAGTGGTCCCTCTTGCGATTGGTCCTTTGTCCCCTACCCTCAATCAGTCAAAGCCCACAGGACATTTCTCTTGTCCTTGAAGTACACTTCGCACTCTCTCTCTCGAATCCCCCAAACTTTCTTGCCATCTTCAACACATACCGGCAGCAGTTCCCTGCATCCTCATACACATCCACATACCATCCTAGACCAGCACCATGTCTGTCGAAGCCCCCAAGCCTGTTGAGGAGACACCTGTCGTCGAGGTCCCCAAGACTCTGCCTGAACAGCCAGAGGCCTCGACTGCTCCCGCAGATACAACTGTCCCGGCTCCCGCCGAGCCCATTGAGACTACACCCGCCGAGACAGAAGAGCCGGTCGTTGCTGCTGCTGCCGCCACCACCGAGGAGCCGAAGAAGGATGAGGCTGTTGTCGATGTTTTCCCTGCGTCAGAAGGCGTCCTGGGATACAAAGAACCCACTTTCTTCAAGTCTGTCCCAGCAACCATGTGTAGCTCTCAGACTCCTGTTGCTAACTTGTTGGATGTAGGAAATTCATTTTCACAAAACACTACTTTTGGCTCCAAGAAGAGCCGTCCACGGCCGAATCCTTGACCAACTTCTTGCGTTCCGAGAAGGCTGATACCAAACACTCCGATGCTGCGTGGGCACGTGAGACTGGAAAAGGCCTGCTCTTCTACTCCAAGCGTGTCGAAGACAAAGCTACCCCTGCTGGTATCATCAATCTGGTAAGCCGATCAACAGGCAGGCTAACAAGAAACATTACTGACAGCAACGCCAGACCGACGCTTCTACCGTCACCAAGGAAGGGTTCAACCAATTCTCATTCAAGGCTGGCGCTCACCAACACCGTTTCGAGGCTGCCACCTCCAAGGAACGTGACAGCTGGATTCTCGCCGTTGAGAAGATCATCGAGGAGACCAAAGGATTGAAGGACGAGATCACCGGGCGCGACAGCTACAAGAAGAATCTCGAGGAATTCTGTAAGCAATGCGTCATTGTTGACGGCCATCAGGTCCACTCGTGATCGTCGGCTAACGCACCTTTAGCTAAACCTGCATTGGGCTCGGCTGCAGCTGCCGTCAAAACTTCCCGCTCCAAATCCAAGGAACCCAAAAAGTCGGTTGATGCTGCGACTGCTGCAGAGGCGGCGGCTACTACCAGCGACACCGATGAAGTTGCCAAGCCCAATAATACCGAGCGATCCCAGTCCCGCAAGCGTGGTAGCATCTTTGGCAACCTTCTCGGCAAAAAGGATGAACATGCTGCCGAGAAGAAGGAAGAGAAGGCCGAGGCCAAGAAGGAGATAAAGGAAGAGAAGAAGGCCGAAGCCGCCGAGAAGAAAGAGGAGGCCAAGGAAACCAAAGAAACCGGCAAAGCTGTGGATGCTGCAGAAGCTGCCGCTGTCGCTGCTGGTAAGTCTTCTATTTCTTCCCGTGATGTTCCTTGGTGCTAACCCGAGCCAAGTCCCAGCTGCCGTGACCACCTCCGACAAGAAGGAAGAGAAGGAAGATTCCAGCCCTGTCGAGAAGAAGGGTAAGCGCGGGTCTGTCTTCGGCTCTCTGTTCAAGAACCGCATGGCCAGCCCAACTGCCGAGAAATCTGAGAAGGAAGCTGTGGCAACCAGCGATGTTCCCCCAGTCTCGGAGACCGCTCCCAAACTTGAAGAGCCCATCGAGAACAAGCCAATCGACACCGCCGCCGTAACCGCCCCGGTCGACACAGTCGCCACACCCCTTGCTGCCGAGGAGGCTGCCAAGGAGCCTACAGCGGCTGAGACAACCGCCGCCCCGAAGACCGACAAGAAGGGTGGTTTGCTAGGCTTCATCAAGAAGACCGAAGCTAAGCTCGAGGGCAAGAAGGATGTTAAGGAAGAGACCAAGGAAGACAAAGCGGGAGAGGCTATCGCTCAAGATCCTGTTGCCGCCGCCAGCGCCGATCCTGCCGAGCCCGTCAGCGCTCACCAGGCCGTCACCACCGAACCCTCGACCGAGACTTCCGCTCCTACCACCGAGGAACGTCCTGTCCGTGACAACAAGCGTCGCACTTCCCTCTTCTTCAACAAGAAGCAGCCGGAGACGACGGAGGCTGATGATACTGTCGCCGAGCCCAAGCGTGAAAAGTCTCCTCTCCCAGGAGGCAAGTTCATCGGTCAACTGGTCCGTCGCGCTAGCAAAGCGATCAAGTCTGATGGCGCTAAGGAGAAGACTCCGGCCGAGACAACTGCGCCAGCTACCGCATCAACCGAAGCCACCACCTCCACATCTGAGACCCCGGCCGCTGTTACTGACACTACCGAGCCCACACCAGCTGAGCCAGTCACTGCCGAGCCTATCCATTCGACCCCAGAACCTGTCGCGACAACGGTGCCTGAGGTCAAGGCGACAGCTTGAAGGTCCAACGAGGCCAGAGACAAGACTCCACGCACATCTCTGTCGCACCCATCTGGACTTTCTCGAGCAGCTAGCCCAGTTGAGTTCGAGAAGTGGTGGGACGAGAAGACTTACAGCACTCCTCCAGCAGTACCTCCTCGCAGCCCTTCTCGTCTCTCTGGCCTCGTGAATGCGAGGTAGCGCGATATGGTCGGATCCGGTCGGCGCCGGTCCTTCTCGGCTCTCCATCTTGATTTTGAGATACCCAGATCTCGTGCGACTCATTGACGACAAACTCGGACACCGCTCATTTTTCGTGATTGTTTTGTTTTGTTTCCAGGATACCCCACGCACTTTGCTAGATCGAAACTGTTTGTTTCGCTTTGTTTTTTGAGTTATACAGGGATTATGTTTTGGTTGCGCTTTCAAGTACAGATACCCACCTCAGCAAGTCTTGTCCTTATGAGAAGAGAGATACCCCCGACAGCGAGTTGTTAGTGGCTGGAAACGGAAAAAGAAAGCGGGCTTCGTGGAGGAATGGGACGGCTTATCAGCTTTTCTCCTGTTCCTCCCTGCGTGTGCTACACTGAGCATGGGAGTTTTCTGTGGAACATTGGTCATTTGTCCCAGCTCCTGATCTTCCGTTCCAGTTTTGAGTCGGTAATCACGTGTTTGAGAAGGAGATAAAGGCACACCATTGTGAAGCAGAAGCGTTGCAACAAAAGTACCCAGCTAGTGGACCATGCAAAGCAAAACCAGACGGATAGGATAGTAATAGCTAATAATGTGAGAAAATTGATTGCACGTATGACGCTGGTGTGGTGTTATGTACGGAGTACATCGAGAATCCGCCTTTGACACTATGCCGGAGTCCTGTACAGAATGCAGAAGTACGGGAGTATCGCTCACGTCGAAGAGTTGCGCGTTTCCTGCTTCCACCAGTTCTGACGTTGATTACTTGTGCGTTACGGGTCAGACTTTCTGCATATACTGTGTACATGCGTAATTACTCCGTATATCGAACGAGGTATATTAATTATACGTACGGAGGACTGTAGGTAATGATTAGGTACATAGCTACAGTAGCCAGGAACAAAGAAACTCGGCTCAGCCCTTGGGGCCGATTCCAGGAAGAAGGAACACGGATTCTCTCTGTCGACTCGACTCGATCCGAACTTGACTCAAACCCTTCGCGTGAACCTGCGCCAAAGACCTCTCATGCCCTTCTTCTTCTTCTTTCGGTTCGCTCGCGCCTCTTCCTCCGCCCGTTCCATTATGGCCTCGAGTCGAGCGATGCCGGTGGGTTGGCCGGGGCCTGGGCCTGGACGCGCACCGGCGCTGGCGCTGGCGCTGGCACCTACGCCTGCCACAACAGCATATGGTCTCTGTCTTCTTGGCTGAAGACCACTTCGTGACTCTTCCTCCAGAAAACGCAGCGTTGTGTCCGCGAGATGGTCTGGCATTGACATCCGTTTCGTCTTCATCTTCGTCCTCCATGATCGACTCGTCAGGGAGGATAGACGGCGTGGATCGGTTCTGGTGGACCGTGGGCTACCTCTGTCGAGCGGGTGGCGGGATATATCGGGTGGAGGGAGGGCAGCGTCGAGGTCCCAGTCCGGAACGTCGTGGTACTCTTCTTCCCCGTCTTCGTCTTGGTCTTCGTCTTCGTCCCATTGTGGCGTCCGCTCGGCGAGATCGTCTAGGTCGGCGTACGAGACAGGGAGATCGGGTTCTGACTCTATAATGTTGTCTATGGAAATGTCGTCGAACACGGTCAGGAGATTCCGACACGCTGTCGCTGGCTGGGGTGGCCTCCAGTTGGCGGTTTGAGGTCTTGGTGTCACGGACCTGGATGGCGGTCCAAATTCAGAACAAGAAAGATCTGCGTAGAACGGCGCGATCGGGAGCGTCCCCCTCTCACTGCTTTCATCTTCGCTGTCAATCCCGGCAGCCACAGCGGTAACGTCACCACTTGGATTGGCTGGGGTCGAAATACTGGCAGCCCGGGAGTGAGAGTCTCGCCACCATCTCCTGGACCACTTTACGGGGTCCTGCTTTTGCTGCGGGTTTGTCGTTTTCTGTGACGGCGGATCGTCCACGTGCTTCTGCTTCTGCTTCTGCTTCTGCTTCGGCTTCGGCTTCGGCTTCGGCTTCTTCTGGTGCGGTGACCGCACAACCGAGGGCATGCCGATGTTAGAGAGAGCGATGCTGGTTTGTGTCGCGGGTCTTGATTGCCAGCCTGTCAGCTTGTGCCGGCCTCTGTACGCAGCCGGTGATGGAATCGGTGTGGGAATCTGCATTCTCATTTCTTCTTCGGACTTGAGCTTTTGAATGTGTCTCTCACAAGCCTGCTGCGTAGATGTAGTCGAACCAGTGGGCGACAGTGGTCCCATTTCACCACCAGCACATGCACCGCATCCCACCGTTATTGTCCCATTGTGCTCACCACTCCCGACAGAGACGGTCCGTTGCCTGACTGGTGTGGATGGCCTGGAGGGTCTGTCGTTATCTCGAACCAGCTGAGGCGAAGTCGAGGGCGTAGCCTTGGGTGTGACACCGTCGCTCAAAACATCCTTGTCGAAGGGCTGATAATAGTGGTTCCTCAGGTAGATATCGGTCGGAGGGCCGTCCATCGGGTCACCCAGCTCCTCGGCGTCCAGGAAGTGAGAGAAGTCAGGCTTGACAGGCGTAGTTACTTCATGAGTGTTGGGGCTGTCCTGGTTGGATACCATTACTGCAGTGTTTTGCGGAGTTGCCATGTCATCATGTCCAACAGGGTCCACAGGTGCCAGCGAACGGGACAGAACTGCGAAAGACAACACCGGCCCTTCAGTACTATCATCGGAGCCACCGTAGTATGCTTCTTCCACAGATTCGTTCTGCTGATTCGGACTTGAGTGGGGGTTGGCGTCGTCCTGTCGCGTTGCGGGGCTAGGGACAGTAAATTGCTTGTCGTTGGTTTCGAGCGGCTCTTCTTCTGTCAAATCGAGGATGTTATGCCTCTGGGCACCAGCCTGTGGTGTCAAGGCAGAGACAGACTTCGCTTCTGCAATGGGCTCAAGATGATGTTCGTTCCAGGTATTGCCATCATCCTCATCTTCGGACATGTCAATGAAGCTGACATGGTCACGTCTGACATACGGACTGGTGGGAGATGCTGGGAGGTCCGGCGATACGAATCCAGCTCTAGATGAAGATGATGCTGTGCCCAGAATGGATGAGGAAGCTTGTTCTGTGCTGGGTGCTCCAGCTTCCTCCACCGTAACGTGTCCTCGTGGTTTGAGGTGCTGCGCTGGAAAACCTACGAACTCATGAATAGAAAGGAGTCGCTCAGGGGAATCGTCGCTCTGAGACCCTGTTGAGGTATGTGGATTAAAGCTGTGTCGTTTGGGAGATCGAGCTTGATCGCCTAGATCACTCTCTAGTTCGTACTTCTGCGGAGGCAGAGACGGGACATGCTTCCGTGCCAGTTTCGTGAGACCTATGCCAGCACCGGCAGGCCAGCCACACGCACCCGGCGAAGATTGTGGCCGCCGCATCGGACTCAAGGTTGGGGAAGCCAGGCGGAAAGGGAACGATAGACGAGCGTCCATCGGCGCACTCGCTGCTGGGGAAATCGGTGCACAAGCCAACAAATTCTGGCTCCCGGTGTCGTTCTCTACGTTGTCCTCATCGCTGTCGACAATGAGAGTACGCGGCCTAGATCTGGGAGTGAGATCGTGAGGTTCACTGAGAGTCTGAGGGCCGTCCGCTGCTCCATTTCGAAGTTGGCGACAAGCCGTTTCGCTCATTGAGGGAGTGCTGAAACGATTTCTCCATGACTTTGACGCCCTGTTCGATTCATGCGGTAACGACCAATGATTGTGAGTCGGTGGAGCCGAAGGAGCTCTTCTTCTTGCCGTGACAGCTGGTTGATGAGTTAAAGGGGTAGGCGAATCAAGCCCATGTGAGCTCAGATAATCCAGTTGTTCGTCATTTGGCGAGGCGATGATACCACGACTGGAGTATGTCGCCAGTACGACGCCGTGTGAATACTTGCTCGGCATTTCTGGCGCAGAATTCAGCAGATGCCGTGGTACTGCGATTTAAGAGCACGGTTGTGCCTGGGAACAGAACAAGGGGTGTCAACCAAATGAGCTCGCAGCCGTCCTCTTTCCATGTGGCTTGCAGCCGATGGTGGGCTGGAACTTCGGCAGGATGCAATTTTGACTTTGTCGGCTCTTCAGAGTTTGTTCATGTCGCGGGGAAGAAGGTTAGTGATCTGTCAGGGCGGGACAGCCATGCAGGGGCCATTGCGAGAGGAGGACTGTGAGTCTGTATCAACGAGCTGCCGTCCTTGAGAGTCACGAAGCAAGGCAAGGGTTGGAGCTCAACTAGAGCTCCGCGACAAGGCCCGGAATGGCCCTTGGAGACCGTGACAGAAGGGCGATCGGCCATGATCCGTCAGGGGGCGGTAGAAAGTATCCAGATGGAGAATCGACTCATCATCGAACCCTGTGGAGAAACGGGACAGCTCGCTTAGCCCCCTGCTGGGTGCACAGTATGGCTTGGAATTTGAGCCTCGAGGCGACGGCCCGAAGGCTGCACTTTGCTGAGGGAGCTGCTGGCTAAGCTTCCCACTGCTGGGACAGCTCCATCCACGAGGTACTGGCAGTCGTGAATAGGGGCTGACGGCCCCATGAAGCAAGGTGAGCATCCCGGCTGCAGCTTCAATACGACGCACGTGGCGTTCGCACCGCTCCAAGCTGCTTGGCGGCGTTGACCCGAGCAATGACTCGATCACTGCTCATGCCAAGGACGCGGTCTGCAGGTGAGCGATCTTGTGCATCAATAGTGATCGGGTTGATTGGACTTTATCCTCCAGATCGGCTTAGCCAGGTACACGGTACACAGTACAGCAATGCGCACATGCATAGACAAGCTCGTGCTGTTGTTGATGAAGTGCGAGAAACGTGCGATGATATGGAAGCATTGCGCGTGACGAAAGCAACCCCGCGTCACACGAATCGCGCATACCATTTTCTGCCTTCTGGACAACCTCACGCACAACAGTCACCAACGAGCCGCGCTACGAATGTCGACACGCCCTCGTCATCATCGAAGACTGGAAGGTGGGGAAGCGACAAAGCCGGCGGAAGTCGCGATTCACAAGCCAGAACGTGACCGTCGAGAGAGTCACTTTGATGATTCCAGGCAAGTTCTTCTTCTAATCGAGGTACGCGTCGCTGAAAACAACTCTATGGTGTGCATCTCGGATCTACGTAACGGTATGCGCTGGCCTGCCTCGAACGCGGGAGAGGCCTCTAGGAATAACTGGTATCTCACGCATACTTTTCCACACGACCCGCGATTGCATCAGCTCTGAGCATCCTGACACGGCCTACTATAACCATTCGCGACGGCGATCTGCTCCACCTGATTGGCCACTGCTTGTGTGATACCCTCTTTGTGTCCTCTCGCGAAGGCGGACTATGAAAATGTGATGATCGCACCAAGTTCAACACCACTCAAACATATTGTCGGGAACCCTTTTCCATCTGCGTCTCCACGGCCTCACTGGGCGGAGTGGGCGGCATGCTTGCGCCCATAGAGTCTTTGGCGGCGACTGGAACGGTCGATGTTGATGGCGGCGGAATGTACGCGCTCGAAAGTCGGGGGAAGCAAAAGCCAGGATGGAAGACTGTCTGCACGAGTGTGGCGATTATTACCATGCTGTGGCCGGGCAGTATGGTCAGCTTGGAACCAAACGGCCAATCAAGTCGGGCGCGGAATGCGGCTGGACTTACCATCCATCAAGAGCAATAAAGGCGGGTTCAAATTGCATCACGGGGTTCGCCCAGCCACCAGCCATCTCGACGATACGGTAGATGCATCGAACAACAATCGCCACGTACGCCAGGACAAAACCATACACAAAGAGGCGGAACTTGGTACTCCCAAGGAAATGTACGGCCTCAGGCGTGAAGGGTACATTTTGAGCTTTCCATCGTCGAAAGACATACCAGGATGCTGCGGTGCCGAAGAAGAATAACGTCACGACTTGGAAAGCAATACCGGCCATCATCAGGTTGTCACCCGTGTCCTGTTGGGATTGGTTGTCGTTGGCCGTGGCTGCCATGCCGCCTCCGATCGCCTGCAGAACCAGGGAGACCAAATCACCAGTGATGAAGATCCATGTGTACCACTTTGGGTTGATGCGGGAGAACTCTGAACCGAAGCAGAGGGTGATGTGCTTGAGGACGAGGTAGATGGCTGCCGAGTTGAATGCAGGACCCAGAATCAGACAGCAGATCTGAATCTGGAATCCGATCTCGTCGAAAGGATTGTGATGGAGAATGACGCGGCCAACATAGCCAAGCGCCTGGTCAGCGCAGGCCAGCAGCATGGCGACCAGGTATGTCCAAGTCTTGTAGCGGATGCCGAAGAGGAGTTGAAAGGCGCCGCACATGGCGAAGACTGCAACGAAAAATGCATTCGCGCCGACGCTGGGATAATATCCATAGATAGAATGCTCGACCGGACATCGTGGTGTCACTTCGGTGCAGTTGCTGAGGGGGAGGTAGAAGGTCGCATTGTTGGGTTGGGCCATCGCCGGCGTCAGTGAAATGATAGCAGAAACAGATTTATCCGCGTATGGGGCTGGGGAGGGAGGGACATCGACAACGTCGGCGTTGAATGGATTTCTATGAAGAAACCACCATCGCTCAACTGTGACACGGACACTCACCTATTTGTATTGGCAGGGACTTGTGGACAATCAGGCAGCCATTAAAACCGGAACAGTGATTCACCCGTGCCTCGACCAGACAAGGCTTTGCCTCCTCTGGAACGGTCCATTGTATGCGTATTCAGGTACCTCGTGTACCACATGCGTCGGCTGAGCAGCCCGTAACCCGGCGGTTGTAGGCAGTCTCCATGTTTCAGAGCCAGAAAAGGGCGCGCGTTGCGATGATACGGATACGTGAGGCTGAATTGGGAGAGAGGAGTCATGACGGCTAGCCGACAAATGAAAATATTCAGTCTCGAACAAACTGCCATACCGCGTCAACCAAGTGGGAACCGGCGCCTCGTGGTTTGATGCCCGCCTCGCATGAATAGCCAGAGCTTCCATGCTTGAGCGGGCCATTGGGACGGGAAGATGGAATACACCAGCTTGGTGACGGGAGTGATCTCGCAAGAACGGCCCAAAACGGGTTAACATGGGCAGGGCGATATGCCAGCGTCGTCGGGCAAGGCTGCATGTGTTGCCCATGGGATTTGCCAATCGCGATAAAGCTGCCTGTCTGTCGGGCGCGATAACCATACTCAGTATTCCGTACATGCCTTCTTGACCTGTGCCGTGTTTGTTGCTGCCGCTCGCTGCAGGCCGACCACCCCCGATGTTGTTCACCGATCACAAAAGGCGCTTGGCGGTCGGGAGAATTCACGTCCGTACCGAGGGTCCTCAAATATTCAACCTCCGTACGGATGGTCCTTGAACTGAGATCGTTGCGTCTCCTTGTTCGTCTGGTAAACTTGCTGACCGGAGTTTGTCCAGTACAACAACGGCTCCTGCTTCTCTTGCGAAAGACTGCATCTGGCAATGACGATTCGCGTACCTCGTACTCCGTACTCCGTACTGGGGAACGAGGTACGAGGTCGACTCGTACGGAGCAGCATCTGACCTGATGGTGAACATCCGTAAATCGAGACATTTAACTCTCGTGCCTCGTAGCGTCCCCTTCGAGAGCAGTCAACGAGGGCTGTCATGCCGTATCTTTCATGACATACAGGTGCTACTGAATCAACTACACGCTCTTAACCAAGCGGAACACCCGCGGCTCGATCCAAGCGAGTCTCATCCAAGCGAGTCTCATCCGAGAGATGTCGTGCGAGGTACCTGGCAATGACCGAGGAACGTGAGCTTGGCCCAAACATCGACCGCAAACTCAACTTCAGCTGGCCTTCCGAATTATGCAATTCTCAGGACCTCTGGCCACCGTGATTTACGGACGCGGCTGTCGTCACAGACGTCATTCGACGCCTAGGTGCCGTGATTTAGATGACTGCAGCAAGGACATTCAGCATTCCTGCGCGCAAGTCAGCCACGTGTCTTTATTGGGTCCGGGCCTGTTAACACATTCGCTAAAAGCTACGAGTTGCACGCTCGTCGCGAGACGCGTATTGGTGGGCCATGGCATCGAAGACGACCCAAGCATCGCTGGGCATAGCTTGGAATGCGACCCCAGCAAGGGTAGGCAAGGGTTAAGCATACTAGCCCCTCGACAACTCCCATTTCCAAAGACCAGTTTGTCGTTTACAATCAATGCTACACGCTATCTACCGCCCTTGTTTCTTGCTAACATATTGGTGTTCCAAGCCTTGTTCTAAACCAATAGATTACAATGGCGCAATACATACCTCTGGTGGACGAGAACAGCACCAGCGACGACGTGGGTACCCACACAGACGACCCTGAGCTTTCCGACATAGATCTCGAAAAGGTCCCAGAACCCGCTATACTGCCCAAGTGGTATCATATCCCCGGGTGGCGAGCGAGCCCATCAAGATGGCAACCCACTCTAAGGTGGAATCGATGGTCCAGAGAAGACATGCCGGATGCAAAGACGGCTGCCTCATGCGCCTTCGCCTATTTCGTCGCTGCTCTGCCGCGATTCCTACAACCTGGAGGACTGAAGATGAAGAGGGATTTGCACCCCACCGCTTACCTGGATGCGTTGAGAGGCTGGGCTGCTCTTCTGGTCTTCCGGTTCCACATGTACTACAACAGAACTTGGCTCTTCAACCAGTTCGTATTCAGCGGCTTTCTCAATGGACGAGCGATGGTCGAGGTCTTCTTCATCATTTCGGGCTACGTTCTCAGCTACCGCCTTCTCACGATGATTCGGAACCAGCAGCCGGGCCTTCTGAGGGCTCTGGCGTCCTCGACCTTCAGAAGATGGTTCCGCCTCTTCATCCCCACGGGCATCGGCTCATTGATCGTGGCCATCCTGTCCCATTTCCGCTGGTGTCGATGGGATTTGACCCTGGATTCGTTCCCCGCCCAAATGTGGGATTGGTTCAGGGACTTCCTCTCGGCCAGCAACCCCTTTGCTGATATCAAGGGCTGGTGGTACATGGAGGTGTTCCGCACGAAATATTTGGATCCGATGTGGACGATCCCCGTCGAGTTCAGGGGCAGCATTGTCCTCTTCTCATTCTGTGCTGTAGCCGCATACTTGTCAACCCGGGGCCGGCGGATTTGCTGCGCTGTCCTCATCCTCCTCTGCTACTACTGGGGTACTATCTACGCGGCGCTGTTCCTGATCGGCATGCTCATCGCGGATTTGCAGTTCGATCGCCATCCGGAGCGGCTGCGATCCAAGAGACAGCTTCCGCAAGAGGAACTGCACCAGCATCAACAACAACAGCAAGGGACAACCAACAACGAAGCCCCTCAATCCTCCTCTTCCTCTCCCACGAATCAGACGTTCACCCCAGGGAAGAGAAAGGATTCAGTTATCCGCAAGATCAGCTGCACCCTCCTGGTCATTGCGGCGCTCTTCCTCTTTGGCCAACCCAAGGACGGCTGGTCATACCAAGGCCCTTTCCCGTATGACTACCTCAGCCTCGCCATCCCGACATGGTACCCCGTTGACTTGGGCGAGTATTTCTGGCTCAGCATCGGGGCTACGTTGCTCGTATTTGGGCTGGATAACTGCCGCATGCTGCAGATCCCTTTTGAATGGTCGTTCTCGCAATATCTCGGCGATATCTCCTTTGGCGTGTACGTCATGCACGACATTGTGAACTGGACATTCTATGAGCAGGTGGTAGAACCTTTTCGCGTGGCTCACTTTGGCGAGGGCTACTGGTCTGGCTTGCCGGGCATGTTGGTCACCACCTTTGTTGTGCTATGGTGTGCGGACTGGTTCTCTAGGATCGACGACCGCGTTGTTTGGTTTGGGAAGTGGTTGGAGAGCAAGGCTTTTATTCAATGGGAGGAAGTGTCGTGATGAACAGTATGCTTGTTCTCCGTGTGAAAACTCGCTTGCAAGTTTTATGGCCACAAACGTCTGGACTTTGGTCTAACGAGCGGATGGGTTCTAGTTTGCGGTACCGAAGTGTCCGGTCAAAGGTCGCTGCTGGGTCCGAAGTGGTCATATTCTGTTTCCTTCACCACGAGGAGAGGAGGCGGAATGTCTTGGGATATTTATAGTCCTTCCCCAAAGATTGTGCAAACACTGAATTTTCAGAATCGTCAACCGTATAAGGACGCTGGTAGGAGACACGAATCTTTTCATATGTGCAATAAACTGTGTAAACTTAAACCTCTATCCGGGTCCTAGAGCCTGTACAGCTGCTCGTAAGCTTTGGTGGAGGGCCACCGATCTCCAAGCTCCAATCATATCTGTCTCATTATACTCACTTCAGAGATGAGAAAGAGGTTGCTCAATTCCCCGTGGCACGATTGAGAATTATCTTCAAGCAAACATACTGGCCCCTCCACTGGTCACCGCTTCAATCTCTTCTTCCGACCAGGGCGTCCGCCGGAACCGCTTGGGCAGTTCGTCCCGGTCAAAGAACTCCCCTTTCTCAGGTTCAACCGGACCCAGTGACCGGCCGGCATGGCCGCCAATGCGGCCGTATGTCATAGAGCTGGTGGTAGGTGCAGAGAAGGATGGTGTAGGACCGCCGCCTCCGTTGCCGTTACCTCCTCGCAGCGGGCCATGCTGCTGAGCTTTCGATCGGTACGATGCGAAGCTTTCGGGTAGGGAATCTGTGGGCGAGGCTGGGTGGGCGTGAGGGGTGTGGTCTACTGATTCTGCCAGAACCTTTGTCAGTAGTCGACTATATCTTAAACGGACCTGTAAACATACTGGGCGGCGTTCTCTTCCCCAGAAACTTTATGAGCGGCGTCCTTTGGTGGGCTGCCCGCAGGATGAGCGAGGGGCGCATGATGGGTGATCGTTGGGTGTGCTGGTCAAGCTCCCACGGAGGGCGGCTGAGGCAAAGGTAAACAGATCTGGAGCTCTAGCCGATGGGCGTGCGTCCAGATTTCAAGCTTCCCGGTCGAGTTGGAGGCCTTCTATGATTGTATCTGTCGAGCTAGCTCTTTGTGCGTCGGGGCGCTTTTCGCGATGAGGGCTACTGGATGCGGAGGGGCATGGGAGCTTTGCGGACACTCTTTGCAGCGCACGTACTGTGTAGAGAGGAGGACTGATCGGGTCCGAGAAAGGGGGAGAGACTGTGGCTCACGCTCGTGGAGAGAGATCGGTAGTTCAATAATAATTACGGAGTACGATAGAGGGCTTTCGATAGCTTGGACCTTTGCCGTCCATGTCGGCACAACGGAGACACGCGCAAAGCTTCACTAGCGGCGCTGCATCATTTTACCGCTTCTGGCACGACTCTCTCAACTCTCTTTCATCGAACGGTGGAGCCCAATACATGCTCTTCTCGGGTGAAAGCCCACATCCGAACGTTAGGTGACAGACACACCCTCGCGCATTGCCCCGTGACAACGAAAATGAGCTTCGGCAGAGTCCGTTAACGCGCGAGCCGCCATCCGGCAACCTCGACTTTTCGATGTTAATTATGTCCTTCGGCGAGAATCCGTCGCTCAGCTGATGTGTCTCGTGATACGCGGGGATCTAACGCACTTTTATGCCCGTTCCAACAGCGAAGATCCGAACCTCGATTGCGACATCTCAACGTGGGCAGGAATCGCCCAGGAACGTCTCCGGGTAGATTCCGAAGTCAGGTACCATGCACCAGTTGGCGCTCTACGGTCAAGTCCGGAGGGACGACCACCATCGAATGCTCCAGCAATTGGCTGGCTTCACTCGCATGCAGCCGCAAGATGTACGCGAGATCCAGCTTGTCTTCAAAGCTCGGCAACCCTTTGGACTCGACCTGGTGCAATCTATTGGTGCATCCAACCTGGCCTCGCAGCAACAGCAGGACCTTCAACGGGTCAAGCACATGCTCAATGCTGGGCTATACTATGTCCACCTCGTTGGAGAGGTGTTACCCGAGAAGAAAGCGACACGGACAGAAAATGAAGATGTGACCATGACGGACGCCGATACTAGTGCTGAGGCAAAGGTTTCGACAGTGCGGTGGTCGCTTGATTTTAGGGACACTCCTGAGCCTGGAAAGCAATCTGTGAGTTCGAGGATGGTGTCTAGGACGCCGATGGAGGAGGGCAACCTCATTCGATTTCTGGACAATTTTGGTTTCGAGTAGGCGCTCCGGGCTCTTCACCCAAGATTGACGGCTGATTATCATGGCAGATACGTGTCTCGCTACGTGGTCGTTGGCTCGAGGTTCTATGAAAACGACACCACCATCTTGGTTCACAAGGTCTTGCGCCTACCTGAAGTCGAGGCAGGAAAGGCTGTCTCCGACAACTCATTCATCTCCAACATCGACGAGCTACCTGAACTGGACCGATCCGGCAGCTACATTGTCCAGGCATCGATCGATATCACTGATGGAAATAACCCAGAGCTCAAGGACAGAGCAACCCGACAACTACTGGGTATCAAAGAGGCGTTGAAGCAGGCTGTTGATCTCACGCCGGGGGATAGGCTGGCACTGGATACTAGACTTCCTGCGGTCTCACGTAGAAACTGAAGAGAGGCAGCGTGGCCGACAAAGGGCCCGCCACGTGACTCTCGTGATTAATGAAATGACCGTCTTTTGACGCGGTTTGGCGCGTTGGAGCCTGAACTTCAGACTCCGTTGAGTCTCATCTGATGATTGATTTCGAGGAAGGAAACCTGCACACACCATCATCTAAGAAGCCTCCCTCCCTGACAATTGAATCTGGCTCCCCGTCTATGGCTCGTTACGCCAGGTCGTCTTCCGTACGCCATCCCGTCTCCCTCCCGGCTTCACCCTGATGCTTCTGTCCTCAATCTGTTCCACACTATGAAACGATCCGCGCCTCCAGCAGGTTCCATATCACCGCCTCTTGTCAAACGCAAGATCGAATCCACCACCACAAGTATGGCTGCGAGCAAGTCCATATTCTGTAACGCTAACATCTTGTAGACAGGGCGGTGGCCAGTTTCTTCAAACCGGCCTCACAAAAAGAGCCAGAGAAAATTGTTTGGCGGACTGTTGAGAACAGCCTCGTCATTGGCAGATATGACGCATCCAACCCGTCGCCTCAACAGCGTACCTTGCCTGTGAAGATCGCTGCCTTCGATCTTGATGATACGCTTATCGTTCCTAACCAGGGGAAAACATGGCACAGGTCTGCCACCAGCTGGAAATGGTGGGATGCATCTGTGCCTGGCAGACTGAAGTCTCTCCACGATGAAGGCTACCTCGTCGTTATTCTCAGCAACCAGTCTACGGTCAGCCTGAAAGACAACAAGAAATTACTGCAAAAGGACATGGCGAGCCTCACCAACTTTAAGAGCCAGCTCAGTGCTGTCCTCCACCAGCTGGACTTGCCGATCAGTGTCTATGCCGCAACGGGCCAGGACAAATATCGGAAACCGCGGATTGGTATGTGGGAGGCCGTCTTAGGGGATTACGATCTACGAGCCGAGGGGGCTGTCGATATGACGAAGTCATTCTATATCGGTGATGCTGCTGGTAGAGAGAAGACCGATAAGCGGAGAAAGGATCATGCTACGTCCGACAGGTATTCCTCGCCATCATTTCATGGCCCAGTTCGAATGCTCACCGACAGCAGAGACCTTGCGGCCAACATAGGCATCAAGTTCCAGACACCGGACGAATATTTCCTCAATGCGCCCCCGGAGCCATACGACCACGTCTTCGAGCCCAGTAGATATCTCCAGTCCATCCAAGCCGCTGAGCCCACCACAAATGGTGCAGCAGGTGCTGCTGTATCTGCACCCTTCACCAAGGACAGCAAACAAGACATGGTCATCTTTTGCGGAAGCCCTGGCGGTAAGCTTCTCCACTACCTACTGCATGCTGTTTCGTTATTAGAGAAGTTGTGCTCTTGACGTGCATGCAGGCTAACCGGGATCCACCAGCTGGGAAGAGCACATTCTTTTGGGACGTCCTCCAACCCCTCGGCTATGAGCGCGTCAACCAGGACATATTGAAGACAGTGAGTTTGCTCCCAGATAGTTGTCACACAGAGAACCCACTTCCCCGCCCTCTGCATGTGCGGACCTCCACGGAGTAAAGGTCGAAAGCTGAGACAATGCTATTTTGATCTAGCGCGACAAATGCATCAAGAGAGCGAGGGAGCTTCTGGAATCAGGGGCGTCCGTGGCAATAGGTATGTTCAATGTCCTTGTGGCCTCTGAACCCTGCGTTTCCCCAGAGAGCAACCTTTTGATTTGGATCCCCCCCCTGGCCTACTGCAGTGATACGCAGGCTACGCGAAAGTTGACACACGGACGAATGGGTCTTGATGATGTGCCATGCCTCTACACCTCTGGCACCAATGCGATGTCGCTCTTGTACAACATTACACGGTTGCTCCTTTACCGCCTTTGTTGGACTCTTTCCCCAGATTCAATCACCTCCATGTTTTGGCCCTTTCCCCGCTATCCGACGTGTCAGACCCCCTCTCGTTGTGTCTCCTTGCTCATTGCGCCTGTGCAGCCTTGAACTTGCTCACAAATTGACTCCTATGTGACAGATAATACCAACGCGAACATTGAAACCCGATCGCACTGGGTCAAACTCGCCCGCGAATTTAACGTCCCTATCCGCTGTGTGCGTTTCACAGCCTCGACACGCCTTGCGGAGCATAATGATGCCGCCAGAGCCCTGAATCCAGATATAGTAGGTACCCATTCTTCATGCTCTCAACCAACCCCAAGCCGTTACTTCATCTGTCCACCACACTCGCTGCGGCCTTGCTGCGTAGAGAAACAACATTGACTCTCTCTCCTCTGCGACCAGATGAACCCTGAGAATCGATCTCAACTTCCCGGCATCGCATTCCGCTCTTTCCTACAAAGACTCCAGGAACCTACCCTTGATGAAGGCTTCCAAGATATCTACAAGGTCGATTTTGAGGTATGTTAGATCGTCTCGTCTCTGGGCGATGTCGCCTCGTTCAGTGCACCCACGGTGCTGGCACGGTACTTGCTCACCAGATTTGGCATATAGTTTAAGGGCACCGACGAGCAAAGGAAGCTCTGGTCGAGATACTGGGTATCGAAATATTCAACGTGATTGATACTCCCAAGAAGATCGCATCGTTCCGGCTTCGACCAGTGTGAGCCGGCTGACTTTACGAAGGGGTTAGGCTGCAGACAGGCTCGCCGTGACAGCCTCCCCTATGGCCATGTGCACGAACGATAAGTATTAGTGTTAACACCTGGGCCTTTTGTCGAGGTACGACTTGGCCGGGAAAGCATCCAGGATAAAAACTTTTCACGCATGGCTGAAGGCGGAGTTCGCTTGACCTTGCGCGCTGTGCAGGGCAGCAACGCTGACTTCCAATCGTCCACTCCACGGAAGCACTTTTGACCGTGTCCTGACTACGTGGCACCCTATGGTCACTCGAGGATGTCCGCCATGGAGTGCCGCATATTGCTCGCAAGCGATTATCCTTAATCATACGCTCATTGGAGACGGCCATGCAATCCGCGCATATTGGAGCAAGGTTGGGCGAAGTAACCAGACAGGCAAAGAGGCATGGTATTGGAATGACTCACAGGACCAGCTGAATGATCATTCTGGCCAACGTTCATCCAAGTCGATTGAGTATCATTTCCGTGAGTAGCCTCGCCACTGTGCCACTCTTTCGTGCTTCGACGACAGCCACAGGCAGACACAAAATCCTCTTCTTGATCTTCGCCTCGGGCGCTAGATCCAAACAGCCCTGAGCGTGAGGGTCGGGAACGTTCCCCTCTGGACTCGCTCGGCACGGACTGATGCGTGGACACCTTCGCGGCTCAAACAAGTTGTCGGCTTGGTGGAACAACACCGATTGCAAAGTTCCCCAACTCTTTCAACAGCCGGTGTGTTTGTGAGAGCCGTGGTTGAAGGCCAATACAGGGGTTGCCGGCTGAAAGCGCCGAAAGCAGACGCATGAACAATGGACAATCTATTGACCATATGGCTAGTCGCCCGCGATCTACACAAGTAGTAGCGCCGATGGCTTGGGGATCGAATTCTACGCGAGCTATCGCCAAAATCTCCCATGCCTGGAAACTCGCTACATGTTCACCCATTTTTGAAAATCCGCACGTTCCCAGCGGATGGAGTCTCCACCACTGGCGCAGTCGTTACGATGCCGGCATTCTTCATGACGTTATGCAACCTCGCGCCACGGACTATTGTGCACGGCTCACTGCTGGGGTGTGCTTGTTCCTGAGCCGGGGGGGTATTACTCGTACCTAGAATCAGCTGCACGTCGTATAGGCTGAGAAAAGACTGCCACCCTTGACCCTTGGGAGGCCGGCTCCTAGCCGAAAGGCGTTGCCAAGTGGACAGGCGCATCCTGGTGTGAGAAGCCCCGGTCGCTCTAATCGTCCCGATTTCGCGCGGAGGGTGGCGTGGAGGAAAGAAATGGCGACAAAGCCCGCCGTCACCCACGTTTTGAACCTTGGCTGGCTTCGGCTCCTAGCATAAGTGTTTGTTGGCAGAGATTCTGCTGGGCCGAAACGGCTGAGACCAAATATTTTTATTTTCTATAGCTGTTGAATTTTCCCCCTCAAGCGTGTGATGGGGCCGAAGGAAGCGGAGACGTGGACACAAAAAAAGGTGTTGCTATGCACGCCTCTCGGAACCCATCAGAATGGTAGCTTTCGAGCACTAGGGCCGTCTTAAACATGGCAAAGTTTGCCATGTGCCGCAAGCTTTTCATCGCTACTCCGTACCGCGGGTGATGGAGCAGAGTAGCAGCGCCGGACGGGAACATGACCGCTTTGGGCAGGTCGATAAGCTGCATTCGCAGTGATGGAGGGTGACGGGGTGCGATGTTTGCTCGCCCGTGTATATCTGATACCGTTCCTGCATGGTGGTTGACTGTGGGCCTGCAGTGCCTGGCAGCACGACGAGCCTTCATGACGGGCGGAAGCAGGAAGCGGCACGGCAGACTGCACAAGCGCCATGCCAGAGCACGGACAGACAGCAGACAGGTGCGATACATACAGCGGGTCCGAACCCCCAAATGCATCTCTTCATGCTGCTGTGAGAGGCGCCACACGAATGGCCTCAGCCACTAGGACGGGGAAGAGATTGCTGTGGTAAAAGAGAATCTATGCAACAACCCGGTCATTGTACCAGGTAGGAAGCTGCCTTGGACTCCGGCAGTGCACCACCAAGGACCATTCACACTCTGACTTGTGATATTCTGTCTTGTTGACAAGGATGCTGCCACAGCAAGCAAGGGGGCCAAGCTGTGCAAAGGTAGATTTGAAGCACCGCGCAACGAGTCACAGAAAGGCTCATATGAGCTTGCAGGGCACATCCCACGCCTTGGAAAGATTTCTACTATGTAGAGATGGCACAAAAGCTCAGACATGTCGCAAAGGAAGCCAACACAGCCAGCAAAGCCAGCTCCCTTCTCAACCTTTCTCGCTTATTCTACATATGCCCCGCAAGCCGTTTTTCGAATTTCCAACAGTGATTCACCCACTTCAGTCATTGACCGAGGGAAACTGGACACGCTTCGGCAGAGGTTGGCAAACACGGCATCATTCCTCACTGGACAACCACCAACACAAGCCGCTGGGAGGAGGAAGAGTGATTGGAGAGCCAAATCAGTATCAAGACCGTTGAAAAGGTAGGCAGGTGTTATTGCGCGAAACTCTTCCGGCGTCGCTGCTTCTGTGTTTCTTAGCCATGACGCATGGGCGCTCTCCGTCGTGCCGCTGATTCGAGGCCTTTGCCCTTGGCTTGAAGCTTTCCCTGTCTTGGGGCGCTGTCAACGCGGCATCCCTGCCCGGGGGGCGTCGGTTGTTGAGTTCGCCAGGCTTGGGGAGCCCCGGAGCCAACGAGCCAGGGTCTTGAGTTAGTGGCACCCCCGCCCAAACCGACCGACCGGGCGGCGAAGGATTGGTTGAGCACAAGCGTTGCCCAAGATTTTCTTTCCAACGTCCGGCCACTCACACTCTTCTGCTCACTGTGACCTGTGTTGTGCCTGGCTGAGTTGTCGACACCTCTCTTACAGATGGCACCCGTTGACTGACTGGCAAACGAGACCAGCTGTTCTGCCTCCATCTGACCAGTCAGCCGTCACCAGCGGCCAGCACTGCCCTGGCTTCACTGTTTGGGCCGCGACACGTTTGCTGGGTCGACCTCAGCAAAAAGACATTCACGCAAGCGCACTCCACCAATCCGTCATGCGCGCAACGCTCGAGCTGTGACCGCGCTCCGGACTCCAGTCTCAGTCGTGTCTTCGATTCTTGTCATCTTCCTCGGGCATGATCCCAGGCACTCACTCGATTTCCTCTAACCGCACTTCAAGAATAATCGCGTTTCTGATCTTCGAGCCACTATGGAGCACACAGCTGTATATCCCTCTGATGCGCCCACGCGCAGCAGTCACTCTGCCGCCTCCTCAGTCAGTCAGTCCTCGCCCACTCAATCACTGTTCTCGAAAGGCCATTCTTCGCGAGGCTCCGGTTCTTCGATCGCGTCCTCGCCTGTTCCGCGAGACTCGCTCGACATGTTCGGCGCGGCGAAAAGACTGGAGGACGTCACAGAAGAGCCCCATGAGAAGGACGAGTTTGACGGCTACACCCTGGTCAATGACGGGACATGTGACTGGAGTTATTACGACAAGGCTCTCTCCAATGACTACGGTCACCCGTCCCCTACCACGACTCCTGCAGACCCGGTTTGGAGCTTGGGCGAAACCGATAACTGGTTGCTTAGCCCGGGGCGCCGTCAGCCAAAGAGAAGGAGGTCGATGGAGCAACCACTCACGAGTCACGGCAATCGCTTGGGCGGCAGGTTCAGTTCTCTGTCACGACGGTGGAAGAATCGATCTGCTGCCGGTCCTCAACTGTCGATCGTCACGCACCACAGCTCACCTGCTTCTCGCTCAGGATCCCTGGGCTCTTCACAAGTACGAAGTCCGGCTCTCAGTGCCATTTCCAAGCACGAGGGTGGACTGCCTTCATCGCCGACCTTGCCGTACGTGAATGACTGCTCATTCTCAGCTGAGGCCGCGCCTATAGACATTGTGCGAAGACCAGAGGAGGACGTGGCAGAGCCAGGGCAAGCCACAACGCCTCTGCTCCCACCTCTTCTTTCCGAGCTTGGCAAGAAAGACGAGCCCATCCATTCACCACTCCAGTCACCTGCGATTGCTCCCACCACGGCACTAGTGACCTCCCTGCCGTCTCTGGATACGCCCCTGTCATGTCTGCCGTCGCCTCCCCTGTCCACGAGACCCTCGATGGTTTCGATGCACAGCAGGTCCCGCACAAACACCCTGACGAACTCTCCCTTTTGCGACATTCCTTCGATGCAACTCCTCGAGGATGCTTCCGACCCATGGGATGCAAGACTTGGTCACGCCAACTTCACGATCCACCCGGAGCCATATGTCCCCGACGTGTTCGACCTGGACTCGTACACCGAATACCGTAAAAACTGGGATCAAGCCCGGACGAATTATGCGAAGCATATCGCCAGAACTGTCGAGCATTATGGGTCTACCTCCAAAGTCTACAAGTTGACCGAGGAAAAATGGGCTTCTATCGACAATGTCTGGCAACGGCAACATGATCTCATGAGAACTGCCATGGCTCCCGTTCTCGCTCGCTTGAGCGACGGGGACTCGGAGATGCAGGACTCGACTGCATCTAGCGCCGTCCTCGAGAAGCCATTGACCAAGCTGGTTGTTCCTCTCATTGACGACAAAAGCGGCAAATTTCCAGAGCTCGGCGACGGCGAGATCGTCGGACCTATGTCTGTTGCTCGGCCACGGATTCTCACCACTGACCACGACAAGAACCTCGGAGCAAAGAGTCCACCTCTGTCACCTCACAAGCGCAATCTGATCAGATTCCTCTCAGACATTTTTCATAACTGAGCTGAGACGCGTACCTGCTCTCTTATCAATGTACACAAGTTTCTCCTTTCGACATGTACCCCAGTTCTCTCGGACCATACAGAACGACGACCTCATCATCGCAATATTACGGCTGGAGTTGTCGAGAGATAGGCACCAACAAAACGAATCAAGATGACCTCGCGGTCCCAAAGACCTCGAGTTCGGGAGCAATCCCCCCTGCCAACAATACGTTATGTATATCTTCTCCCAGTGACACATCACCACCTACACTGAATTCGGGTATGATGTCGATTATTTCCACGACCCTTACGACCTACACTCCTTTGACGAAATGATTTTATCCGCGATTGAGCGCGCATATATGATCATGACTTGCAGACTTCAGCACAGCGAAGTAAAGCGACTCGCGAGCATACACTCGTGAGTACTCAACGTATGGTGTTCAAGGCCAGAAAATCTCCCAGGCTCGGAGCTCGGAGCCGGCCGGGACATAGTTTCTATTGCTACCACTAAATGGCGGCTTTCATACATCTGCGACCTCGCCAGAGGATTGAGATGGATGCATGTTAGCGCAGTCGGGCTTTGCTATCTTGGATGGATATAGAGGGGGTTGAGCGCAGTGAGATAGATGGCCAGGTAGATGCTGCCATTGACAAGTAGATGAGATGAGATGCAGCAGAGTGTGAAATGAGACAAAACTTGAACTAAAGAATTGCATCCACAAGGCGCGATGTCGATGAGCATCACGCATATAATTCTTACAGGCAAGCTAATTTGTACTTTAGCAGTACGGAGTAGTTGAGATGATCATTGAAGCTCTTGCCCGTGTTTTAAAAAAGGCTGTCCTTCCCAGGCTGTGGCGGGCATCACGTGCATTTCACGTGACCATAGTTCATAATTGAGTTATCCTTTCGGACACTTCATAGCTACGTACTTCAGGAGATAGAAATATACAACACACTGCACACGGTTCACTCAGCACCACGGTGCCTTGAACAATGGCAGCGCTTGGCGGGTAAATATGAGTAAAAGATGCGGACTCACCCCGACCGTGCCGCTTGCATAACGACTCTCCTCCACTCTCACCTCGCTGAACTTCTCCCTGACTGCCGCCCGACATCCGTATACGATCATGCAGGAGAGAAGATGTTCCGACCAGCCCGTTGTATCTGTGTCTTCGTATCTGCTCTTTGCCCCAACCATTTTGACTTGGCCATCTTCTTACAACGCTACACACGCAGGGTGGGTTGAGGGGACCAGAATCGGCAGCTCGGGAGCCAGCGTCGCCACCGAAACGTGCGGCCGGGCCAATTTGCCAAAGTCCAGCCTCACGTTTTGAGAGTATTGGATTTGCGTCCAGAAAAGGTCGATCGTCTTGGCGCTCAGTTGCTTTCCCGCCTGAATGTGGAATCTCGGGCCAGGGACATCGACCAGATTGTCGGTTGGCAGAAGGTCCGTGGCGTCTTTGTGGGTGTAATCACCCGGCTGGATCTCAACCTTGTGCTTCACAATCGACACCCAGTATTGGCATGTCACGTCAGTCGCATTCGCGTTCCTCTTTACCGCATCGGGGAACACTGTCATCTTGTTACCGTCTGCAAGGAAGGCAGTGTTGGACACGCCGCCGTCCCCAAGGGTTAGATGTCCAGTCTTCACAGTAAACGCCCAGTCGCCGAGAAACTTCTTTTTGGTGTTGCTGGTTTGGAGGAACCAGTTCGGATTGTTGACACCAGTCAAGGTAAGAACCCCGGTGGCTCTAAACCTTTTGAGGTTATCTGACTCCCGGATCGTCTTGTCAACAACCTTGTCTGTCATGTTCTTCGGCCCGCCGGTGGCTTTGCCGATCGTCGCAGTCCCTGGCACGCCAAACGGCACAATGTTTACATCAGAACTCACGGGCGCTGTCGGAGTCATTGCTCTGAGTCTCAACGTCTTGAGCGGTAAAGGCAGTTCCGTGTGGGATCGACGCCAGGCGGGAAATTGTGGCCGGGTTCTTAGGCCAATCCGTCGCAGGGGTTGACAAAAGCAAGCCTTGTTCAAAATGAATAGCCCCCAGGTCTCTCAGATCTGCTCTGCCGCTATCCTTGTTGAGGCGGTCAGATATTGCCTGCTGATAAGGTATTCCCGTCAGGACCACATTCGCTTGAGGCTGAAATCCCCGATTGGAAATCTTGCCAAGGACGCGGCCCTGTATGAATTGCAGCTTCTCGCTCGTCAGGTTGATCTGAAGAAGATTGTCCTTGCTCGTATCAGTGCCGAAGCCGGATGTGGGAAGGAAATCGTTTTCAAGCCTAACCTCACTGTTCGACAGCGTTAGCCACGGATCTTAGGGGTTGATGTGCCGTGTCGAGTGTGCCGCACGATCGCCTTCATCGACCACAGGAAAGAAAGGGCGCGTACTGAAAGGTACACGTCAGCTTGACCAGCATTTCGTTTTAGCACAACATACCCAAAAGTTCCCACAAACTTGTCCATCACTTTACCCAACGATGGATCGGTGTCAGGGTGAAATATGATGGATTTGGGCAGATCGACTTTCGGACCGGCGACCAGGAAACTGCCATGGTGCTCCTTGTGTTTGTGTAGCTCACCTCCACGAAGTTCACCGACCGCCTGGATGGAGAAGCCCGGCGCGACATCGAAGCTTCTGGTATCATCAGTTTTGACCTCGCTGTTGGCAGGAGACAGACGAAGCAGTCCATGGCATTCGCACGTCGACAGCACACCGCCACCATCTTGCCTGACGGTACCGTCTTGGTCACGCGAGATTCCAACGGTGCAGGTTTCAACAATGTAAGCTCCAAGGACGCTGCCCACAAAGAGAGGTGGCCTGTCCTTACACCCGGACTGTGGAACCCCAAAACGCAGGAATGCAAGAAGATGGCCCCAGAAGGATTCAATCGCTGCTACCATTCCATCACCCTGCTGCTACCAACTGGCCAGATCCTTTTCGCCTGTGGCGGCGAGCGGATCCCCGACGATACCCATCAATGTACTGGGTAATAGCCAGAAGGACACACTCACCAATGCCCAGATCTTCAACCCGCCATACCTGTTCGACGCCCAAAACCAGCCCGCTGCCCGGCTCACCGTCTCAAACGCCCCGGCCAGTGTCGACTACGGCGGCAAATCACCGTCACCCCCGGCGCCCACGATGATGTCGGTCGCGTCACCCGTGTCCACACCGGCTCGGTCACGCACTGCAACAACCATTGTCAACCCTTCCTCGACCTGACTTTCAACGACAAGAGTGTCCCCAAACTCGAAATCAAGGCTCTGGTCGGCTCCAACCTCGCTACCCCATGTCACTACATGCTCTTCGTCCTGAACGAGAAAGGTGTGCCGGCCCATAGTCCCCATCATCCGCCGCAATCCTGGCCCTGCGCGGGTGCCAAGCGCCAAAGTCCTGGTCAGACATCTCGCCGTCGAAGATCACGTTTCCCTCGATCTCAAAGCCTTCAGCGCCCCGATGGTGGCCGACCGGAAGCGTCCAGCCGTTGTCTTGGGCCTCACACCTCTGTTTCCATACGGTCTTGGGCCTCACACCTCTGTTTCCATACGGTCTTGGCCATCACACCTTTAATTCACTACGGTCTTGGCCCCTGCTGGGGCGCCACCTACGAAGCTCTGCAGCACATCTCCGACGTCGGAATTCGTCTGTCCCCTTGCCAACAAAGAAGGCTCTCTCGCCTTTGTCTACACGGAACACGACATCCTCCCGACGTCGACGTCTGGCACCGCGAGTTCAAGCAGCTCATGGGCGGCGGTTATACCTGGCGCGGCATCGAAATGATCCTGTCCGGCGTCGTCACCGCCACCGGCAAGAAGCTCACCCTCGCCGGCAACGATACCCGCTCTGACCTTCTCCTCGCGCCCTTTTTGCAATCCAGCAAGATCGAGTGGGATTTGCAAACATGCACCATGAAGCCCATGTTCGAGGCCGAGGCCGGTGCATCCGCACGCCTCGTCGCGTTCATGGTAAAAGCATATACGCTCAGAGGTCCAGTAATGAAGCATAAAGCGATCGAGTGTCGGTGTTTTTTCTTGGGTGTGGTGGGGGGGGGGGGGGGGCGGGCGATCTCCAGAGGCTGTCGACCTCTGCTTGACAAGTACTACCGCCTTAGTCCCTCCTCTTCTTCAATCTCTGGAGAGGTGGCTGCATAGCGACGGGAAGTCCCCCTGTGTTATCCTGTCCTTTGGAGGGTTCCCTGGCGTGGATGGATATTGAAGGGAAGGTGTGTGGGTGGCCTTGCAGACCGTGAAGAGCCGACTGTGAAGAGCCGACAGAGTAAGACATTGCTCTAGATGAATTGAAATATAATCTACCATCGGTCGTATCTTGCCTTGTGTGTTCTTTAGGTCATTCGTTCAGAGCCTTGTCCCTCCGCCGGACCAGTGCGCATGGGTTCTCGCTGCTGTATCAAGCTTCTCGAAGGGTATTAGCAGGTGACTGTTGGTTTGCGTGGGCGCAGGCTGTCTCTGCCGGTTTTCTGGTGCATGTCCGTGAGTGCGACGTGTTGGGATTGCTGATTGAACACTGTAGTCGTGGCCGAGAAGCGACGGTAGTTCCATCTCGGTGGCGTACAGCGTGACAGGGCGGCGTAAGGGAAGAAGGCTTTAAAGCTTTGTCAGGACCAGTGAAGACGAAGTCATAGTGACACCTGTCTGGTAGGCTGGAGAGCTAGGCTCGCCCATGCTAGAGTACGCCTTTCTCTTGGGGAACCTTCGGCCTCCCTCAGGCCTAGAGGATGCCCAGAGCCACGACATTTTAAGGGGGCACTGCTAGCCTAAGAAGAACCCAGGGGTGCCCGAAATCAACAGCTTCAGTTGAAGAATGCAGCCAAATCAGTTCGATTGGTACCATTCCTTACGACTATCACCGCGACGGCTATGTAATGCGTACAGCACTCGGTTTCACTAGCTTCGGTCGCCTAGCTACTCACGCTTCACACCACGAGAAGGTGGCTGTTCCGACTTCGCGAAGCATCCTCCTCTTACGTTGAGCTTCTCTTCTCAGCCTCTTGCCCTTTGCCTCCACGACCTATTCCTTCCTGTGGAGCTGTTGTATGTATGTACAATCGTTCTTGGGTCGTCGGCTGAGGTATCGAGATCATTGATGTGCGTTGCTTGCTACATGCTGCTGGGAAGCTTGTAGCCGTTCAAGTTGTTGTACATGTTGAAGGTAAGGACGCAAACGAAACGCTCAAAAGTTAGTCGTCATGGCGTACTGGGAACGCCTTCTATGTCGTAAGTCATTGCTCGTGGTGCTGTTGTTCCGCTTGTGGTGCAGGGTACATGCTTCGATGTGTGGCTCTGTTATTGGTGCTCAGCTATTGTGCTGGCTGTGGTTCCGGTGCTGTACAAGTGTACAATAATTACAATTCTGAATCTCTGAAGAGCGTGCTGTTGTTTCGCTCGATTGCTGTGTCGTTTGCCAAAGTGCACAATGTGCCTGCTGTCGTACACTGAGTATCTTTTTGACGAATGTGTTGCTGCTCCGTCCAGTCTGCTATGCAGTAGTTCCGGATCTTGGGACCGGAACAATACGTTCTGTAATACATTGCTGAGTTATTGATGGCCGTCGTGAAAACGCCATATGGGATGTCGTCTTGTGTGTCGCTGTTGCTCGTAGAGCGAGATGACCAAACTTCGATTGGGTCATGAAGACGTTGAGGTGTGTTGTATTTACCGTTGTTGCTGTCCGCTGCTCGGACAATGTCATTCCAGCCGAGTCAGTGCTGTGGCTGCTGGCCACGCCCATCCCCGTCAATGTTGTACGGTGTGCATACTCATGGCGATTACAGGATGGACCACGGTTCCGATCCCCACCAATGTTGTATGACTTGCATACTCACGGCGATTGCAGGATACATGGTCCCCACCGATGTTGTATGCCTCGTGGTGCCCGTTGTCGAGAGACGATGTTCCCGTGAGTGAGACTGCGTTGTTCCTGACGTCCAGAGAGGATAGACAGTATCTCAATCTTCTAAAAAGAGAGAGTAGAGGCCATATCCATCACCAGACAAGCAGGAAGTCGCCCGTCTCAAGGTCAGATGCTCGCAGACTCGGAAAGGTGCTGTCAATTGACGAGAGAAAGCAGTATCTCGACTTCCAATTGGGAATCGAGTAGAGGCCATCTCTAACGCCAAACAACAGCAGCTCAAAATTGTCGATTTCCGGTCAGCAGGCCAGCGAAACTCCAATCCCCATCTGAAGACCCCTCCGCCGATGATGTTAAGTAAACATCATGTCCGGCAGCCGTGAACGGGCTGTTGAGGGCGGCGGTGCTCCTGAATGGAGTATAGGGGGCTTCAAATGAGTTATCCCCGAAGGAATACTCCTGTGGGATGTCCTCGCCGCTGGGTAACCAGTCGGCGACCTCCCTTACAGGGAACTCGAGGTTGAAGTCGCCAGACCAGGCGCCCATCTCTAAAGAGAGAGGATCAAAAAACCCCTGTTGGGCTTGGTCGGCGCCCGTGCCATATGTAGGAATGGCAATGGCTGAGGACGCCAAAAAGTCCCCCAACAGGTCTTCTTGCTGCCGGGCAGGAGGCACATCTGCCGCAACAGGTGGGACTACCGGCAGCGAGGGCGAGACAGGGGCAGGAACGGGAGGGAGAACTGCTGCTTGGGCAGGCGCCGCCGCAGTAGCAGCCCTTGGCAACCTAGCCCGCTGAACAAAATGGGCGATCTGGTTTGGTGCGACAAAATGTTTCGTCGCCAGATGCCGCTTGAAGTTGTCAATACGTCTGTCACTGTGTCCGCACAGATGACAGGTAAATCTGTTCTGGCCGTGACTCCTCCGATGTCTCTGCCAGTTGGACCTGTCGGCGAAGTGCTTCGGCGGACTACAGGCATTGCACGACCAACGATGCCCACCGTGCGCCGCGAGTATGTGCCCGGCGAGGGTGCTCTGTGCACCGTACACGCTGGTGCAGCTCGGGCACGGGAATTGAATGTGAGGGTTGCTAGGCTGGGGAGGCATCTATCGGAGCGGTATTAGCAATATCTATCTTCCTATGAGAAGTTGCAAGTACCTTTGAAGACTGGGAGGTTATTGACTCCAAGAAGATGCGCTGTTGTGATGTTTGTTGTGTTTGGAGCTCGACGTCGAGTTGAACAGAGCTTTGGAGCTGGTATCAAGTCAAGATCGAACTGTGGGAAAATGGAGGGAGACAGAAGAACGGAGGAGGAGCTTTATACCCTATACCAGGTCAATGCCACGAAGGCCCTCTGCCTTTCAGTTCACATATTACTCAATGCACTAGGAGTACCAGACTTTGCGAAAGGCTAACACTATCAGGCGCGAAGACGGGGTGGAGCCGGGGAAAGAAGTCCGGAAAAGAACATGGATGTTGCTGTCCTTGACACCAGAGACACCGCCGGCCTCAAGGAATTGGCAGCGCTCTGCTACAGTGGCATGCTGTGAAAGAGACACGCGTCAAAGGCTATCGAGCGGTTCTTGTGGTTCCGTCCATGTGAAAACTTTGTGGTTGTCCATGGCCAGCATCCAAGGCACCAAGAGCTGTTGAGATGTTTGCCGGAGGAGTGTTCCGACTTACCAGCTGCGAGCTCTTGGCGGCATCGAACGCAGATCGGGCACATCTACTGCTGGAGCAGCGATGACCCGGGCATTCACCCTCCGCCATAGACGTCTGCAAACCCAGAAAACCTGCTCAGCGATGGTTTGGGAGCGTTAAGCTTGGTGCAATGGCGGGTGGCAGGCATCATAAACTGTGAGTGGATTTGCCCAGGAGTCCATTATCAATCGCGGACTCAATTCTTGGGCCCTGGACAGCCCTTGAGCACTCCTTCCGGTCCTACTGGAAGAATTTGCGCGAGAGCAGCTCTGTTCTTTCTGAGGCAGCGGACTTGCAGATCCGACCGTGGGCATGTTCGGTCCGTGAGGCTCCACCAAGGGCTCAGGAGCTATCCTGTGGAAAGCAGCAGTGGTCCTTCCTTTGAATTCTTGGAGCTGGAGCTGGAGCACCATCGTTAAGAGAACTTCTCACCATCTCGAGAACACCTTGCAGGGAGTCAGTATCGCCCTTGACCGACTACAACGAGCTTCAATGTCTGTGATTATCGGATTACGATGCCAGAGCAGAGCTGGAGCGACGAGGCCGCTCAGCCGTGCAGTGGTGTTTAGGTTGACAGATCAGCGAGATCTGAGATTTCGGAGAAATGGCGTGAACGCGCAAGTCAGGCGGGCGACAAAACGTTGTGGGTGGCTCCACCTCGAGCTCGCTAACGCCTCATTGGCGGGACGGGTGGGTCTTGGCGATCGCGCTCTGAACCTCGACACAGCCTCAATCCGTTTGTTCTCTCCTTCACTTGACCCCACATAAAACAGCAGTTTGGCCAGCGCGCACCTCAGCGTCTCAGAATCTGTTCGGACTCGGCTGTACTCCCTTCTCGGACCTGTAAATTGCTAATATCCATCGCGAGCTCTTTTCTTCGCGCAAGTAGACCCGTAATCCCGCCGCGATATGGGGAATCTCTGTTCCAAATCAGCGAACCAACCGGACAACTTTTCCGGCCCAGGACGACCGGTTGGCTCGAGTGGGCCTCAGACGAAGCCGGCATCGTCACCTGTGCCTGTGAAGCTCACGACAAGCACTCCTGGTCGAGCTCTTGGTGGGGGCGAGGGATCCACAGGCACGGGCGATGCCAGGAGCGCAGCAGCGAGAGCGGCTGAGGTAAGTGGCCATTACGTACTCCTGAACTGGTCATGCGCAGAAGAACTGCCAAGCAACATTGTGGGCTGCAATTACCACGTCCCTTTTTTCTGGCCATGGACCTGTTCTAACCGTATGACTTCGAACGGCAGGAGCGAGCTGCGAAGGCCAACAAGCCTGGGGGAAAGCTGGCCAGCCAACTCTCAGCACAGAAAAAGCAGACCCAGAATCAATTACTGAACTCTGGGTCCGAAGCCGAGCGGAGGGCGAGGGACGCAGACGAGGCCGCACAGAATCGAAGTTGGAATTGAGGGACCGTGCACGTTGACTTCATGCAGGTCTCGCATTGAGTTCTTTCTTTTCATGGTTCCGGAACAGAAAGAGACATGCTTTTTGCCTGATCGAAAGGCGACGAGACTTGTGGAGTCGGTCGGGGCATTCAGCCGAGCCTCGTGGTAGGCTTCGTGGCACTAGGGATGTGGACGATGATATCGCGCTGACTTAGAGAATGCCAGCGAAGGCTTTGGGGCGTCAAGAAGGAAGCCTGTACGCGGTTTGCATAGGAGAAGGCGAGCAAGAGTTCAGAAGAGAGCATGGTCACGTAGTACCATGGACAAGATTCGTCCTTGCTTGAACACAGGATTGGGACTCATAGGGAGTCAGCTTGTGAGTACTTACAGCCATTCTTAAACAAATTGGATCCACGCAGCCAAGTCACCTGCATTACATTTTTCCATGATACTTTGCTCAATGAACCCGCACGGTAGCCAGCACGGCAGGAAGATATAAGGATCACCTTGATGAAGGTGGCCTGGACTCGTATCTTTCCAGGAGCGAGTGAGTTCCTGGAAGAGGGGACTCACCGATGTGCTTGTTTTTCTGGGCGCAAAGACCGGCAGTAACGTCACAGTAACGTCAAGGCAACAGCCCCGAAGACACGCAGCTGAGAGTCCAGAAGGAGCTTCTTAGGCGGTCCCAAGTACCTAGTTACAGCGGTTAGTCGTAGCCCACAAGTGTCCGACGCAGGCTCACCAGGTGGCCAATTGCGCCTATTGAATAGGCACTCTCAACCCTTCGCATTTCTCAATCACAAACATCCGCCATCTCTTCATCTTCTTGATCACGTTTCCTGCCCATTAACTCCAACTCGCATTGCCTGCGCAAATCAACCAATTTATTTTCACCCGGCACCGCTGGCTCCCTCGTGCTCACTTTCGAGATTTGCGCAGTCACCGTCGAGTCCTCGTCGATGGATTGGATATACCGAAGCCGAACTGGAATACATCTGTGTACCTTTCTTGGCTCCAACTTCCTCCTCAAGAACCCTTTGCTGACTTGAAATGGAACAGGGCACGAAGATGAACATCTCAAGCCCGGAAAACCTCGAAGCAGTCTTATGAGAATGAAGATGTTGGACTGTCAGCGCTGTGGAAGGAGGCTCGCCAACATACACCTTCCATATAGTCGTGCTGCCACGCCCTCCAATTCACGCAAATTGCCGGTCTACCTACAAAAGAGTCAGCGGAGTGATATACAACTGCAGACAGGCTGGTAAGCTCCCAGAAATGTGATCACCTTAGGAGTCACAAGAGACATGATGCGAAACTCGAGCTCACGAGTATCTCGTGCTCCTACCCTGCGAGGAGCGTACGACACCAATCTCCAGGTCCACGATGAAATGCGCAAGAATGCCTTAGACAACAACTCTGACGCTGCGCAACATAGGGCCTGTCCACTGCGTCCGCGCTACAGGCGACGCCGCCTTCCCACCTTTTCACAAGCGACCACGATCCGCGATCCGCCAGCGACGTCGAGGCAAGGTTTGGCGAAAACCCGAGCCAAGCAGTGTCAGCCAGCCTATTCCTCACCAAACAGACTCTTGAGCGGCCGCGGGCCTTCCCTCGCGGCGACTTTGATCCCATTTGATACAGCTTCCGGTGGCTTCCGGTTGGGCGATATGGGCAACAACAGATCCGCAACCATCCACGAAAGAGAGCACCCAGCAACTGGGTGACAAAGATTGAATCGACGACAAGGCACTTAGATCGGGAAGGCAAAAGAGACGACACAGTTCCACGTGTGCCACGTTCCACGACGGTGGAAGCAAGCTACACTTAGCGATAAGGTCGAACGCATGCGCACAAACCCACGCATCCAGTCTACGTTGGTGATTAAAGAAGCTTCCCAGCACCCACATCCGAATCTCACAGAACATTTTCATGATCTGCAGCGCAAGGAGCTTTGGACACGATCGCAACGGCAACAGGAAGATGAAACGAACGACTGAGGACTAAGCTTCATGGAGAAAAACATTTTCCCTCCAGAGGAAAGCACATACGCCAAATAAGATGGCCAAGAGTTATCGCCGGACAGGCTTGGCCACATTGGCGGCTTGCCTGCCCTGGTATTTAGTGACAACAGCTACATACGGATTTTGCGGATTCTCGCTCTCAACGAATTACGAGGTAGAAGAGGAGATGTGCATGAGCACAAGTGGCTGCAAGGCTGGAATTTCAGGAGAGATCAGTGGCTTTTCATTGTCTGCACATCCCTGCCTGCAATCTCATGCACGTCATAGCATTTTAGCCCCCAGATCTATCCGGCTCTGGACCGGAGTCTCCAGTGGAGGAGTCTACGCCAGGAGTGCTGCTCCATTCGTACCGTCTTTCCAGTACGTAATGCCACTATGGGTTTTCAGCCTCTGCCGATCAAGGGCGAGATCCTGCCGGGTCATTTCTCGCTCTGACTGTGCTTTGGTCATTTCAGCTTCGTGTCAAACTCATCTCACACCAAGACCTCGATGGGCTCAACCAGCACTTTTCCAAGACTGAGACCTGCCCTCTGTTTGGCTTCCGTGGATCCGAGCCGGATTGTGGCCTCCCAGCATTGTTGATTCTTCGCAGGTAAGTCCTCTGTGCCCGGTTTCAATTCTCCAGTCGGAGCGCCTCGGCTGCATTCGAGCATCGTAGATTGTCTCCTTGGTTCGCCTGAGCACCGCAGACTATTCATTCATTCCTCGCAGAGCTGCTCTCCGTTGCTTCACCAGGCAAAAGATTTCCTCGGACAGCAAACATCTTCCCAGTCGTGCCGGCAACAAATCCATCCACTTGTCTCGCGTACTGTTCCACCTGTCGGCTGTTCAACATACTCTCCAAGCGACTCGGCTCCGTGGGCAACTTGAACAATCTCTGCCATTCGTCCTCGGGCAAAGGTGGCTGCTTCGACAACGCCCGTGCCGCGTTTTCTGCCTTTCTCTTCTGCTGCCACTGCTGAATCTTGGCTTGCTCTCTCGCCAACGCTCGAGAATAGTACGAGAAATTGTTAGCTTCGACGTGGTGGGTCTCGATGCTGTCAAGAAGGTTGTCACAGGTTTGAGAGAGGAAAGGGTCGATGGAGATTGAGAGAGATTCGAACGAGGGAGCTAGAGTGTCGTTTTTGATGATGGGGTTGTTTTCGATTTCGTCAACAGAGGCAGGAGGTTTCATGGATCCGTTTGCGAGCATGCGCGGGACTTGGTGCAGGAAGGTGTTGACGAGGTGAGAGTTATGGACGGTGATGGGAAGTTCCACGAGGATGTCCGAGTATTTGAGGCCGGATTTGAGAAGGCTGTAAGCAGGTCGTCAGTACTGAGGTCCTAGTGAGACTTGGGTGAGAATGCGTCAGTACTTCTCTGTGGTGAACTTGTTCTCCTTGTACGCGGTCATGAACTGGGGCGACAGTCTGTAGGCGCGAATGCTGAGGATGCCTTGCGACGAGCGGCTGACATCATGCACGAGCGCGACAGTCTTCTCGTTTAACTCTTTCTGGTAAAAGTACTGATTTTCGATGAAGTTCGAGTTGACGAAGTTGCCCAGGTTGGCGCTCGTGTACCAGCCCACGTTGTTTGCGTCGACATTGACCTCCCGTAGCATGCGAATCATTTCTGCCTGGTATGCGGTGTTTGCCTTGGCCCGGGGCGCTGAGGCGGCGGCGTTGAAGTGTTGCGGTTGGTTGTCGAATTGCGCCTCCGGTGGGAGGTCAACGACTGGGAAGGGAAATGTGTTGGTGATCTCGAGGGTGCCATCTTCTCTGTCCATGCCAACAAGGGAGCCGGTTGCGACGGTGGGGAAGCGGGAAGCACAGTGTTTGATCACTTTCATGACCACCTTTCGCACCTTGGTTAGCAGATTTTCCGGCGCAGAGAATAGCGAAGGCGGCTCACCAGCGCCTCCAACTGGACCGCCTGCAACGGAGTTTCCTTCCTGTACGATTGTCAGCATGTTTGCTTGGTGCCTCTCGTGTTGACCTACTCTGTAGGCGCCGCCATGTTTGGTTGCGGTTTCCAGACGTTCACAGTAGCGGACTCGGGAGTTCTCTTCCAGGGCTTCATTGTGGGGTGTGACTTTGACATATTGGCTGTAGCGAATTGGCGGAGGAAGGTTTGCCGGGATCACGTGAGGTGGTGGTGCGGAAAGGTTTTTGAAGATGTCGACAACATCGACGGTGGTGCAGCAGTCGATGTCTTGGCGCTGTGGACCACCTAATATTTCTTGATCAATGCTGGTCTCTGGCTGGGACAATATTTCAAAGAGTTTGCGACCATGTGATCCTAGAGTCCCATTTCTTACACAAGGCTGACCTTCAGCCTTGTCGGAGAGACATATCCGATAGCTAGTGGTCCTATGACGCCCATATGGAATTTCTTGTCTTCTGTACGTATCGATCGACACTTGCCGTCAACCTTTGTAACTCCAGCTGCCCACGGTAGATCCCATTTTGCGTTCCTGTACATAGATCTCCTATCGGTGCTAGAGGTGTGTGTTCAATGTCTAATAATACCGGTCTGGACATCTGGTTCGTGAGTTGTTCCACCTCGTTCCATGTGCTCTCTAACATGTGCAGGCCGGTGCATTTGCTGCATTTACAGTTGATCTGCTTGTGTACCCTCTCGACACTCTCAAGACTCGTTTGCAGTCTCAGCACTTTGAGACATTATACAAAGATGCTGCTGGCAAGACGAAGCCGTCTCTATTTCGCGGGCTCTATCAGGGTGTCGGCTCCATCATCCTTATAACCATACCGTCCTCGGGCGCATTCTTTACAACGTACGAGGCATTAAAATACAGTATCAATGAAGCCATCCCTCCGAACTCGACTATCTTTCTTCCTCAACCTGCCGTTCATGCCGTTGCCAGCGGTGGTGCCGAGCTGGTGAGCTGCGCCATCCTGACACCTGCCGAAGTAATGAAGCAGAATGCTCAGATGCTCAGTAGCAGGGGAAAGAGGAGGTCTACATCTCTGGAGGTTTTCAGACATTTCCAGAAACACCCGTCAAGATTATGGAGAGGATACACGGCGCTGGCCGCACGCAATCTGCCTTTCACGGGGCTCCAGTTCCCTGCCTTTGAATACTTGAAGGGCTATTTCCTGAAAAGACGGAGAGATCGGAATGGTGGCAAGCCCGTCGACGGAATAGGTGAGCGAGCAAGGATCACCGCCATGAGTGCTGCAATCGCAGGCAGCGGTGCCGCTTGGATTACAACCCCCATTGACGTGATAAAAACGAGAATCATGCTGGCCGCAGGCTCCGGTGATGATGGCTTCAAGAACGAACCGAAGTCGAATCCTTCCAGCTTATTGCGAGTCGGTATTCAGGGGTCGCGGAAGAGCGGTTTGGTCGTGGCTCGAGAAGTCCTCAAGTCGGAGGGTGTTCGTGGCTTGTTTCGTGGCGCCTTGCTGCGAGCAGGGTGGACTGCAATCGGAAGTGGTCTGTACCTTGGCTGCTATGAGAGTGGTCGACACTATCTCGAGAAGAACAGAAGAGATGCCAAAGAAGGCGACCACCTCATGCAGCGCGATTGGTCCAACGTGAAGGTCGGCATCGGAGGATCCAGATCCCAGGATGTTGTCAAGAAGAGTGCATGGCAGGAAGACTAAGAGTCCGACCTATGCTAACCCATCTTTTGCGGATTCCCCGTCTCTTTCGGACAATTGTCCGGTATGCCCACCTCGGTCTTGGTATGCTGGAGCCAACAAGATCCGGAGAGCAATAGAAGCTCTTGAGCGAACTTAATCAGGATCGGACGCGATGTGCATCTTCTTGCAACGATATGCCTTTCAAAATCATGAGGTACAGGCAGGCTCGAGCGATATGCCAACGACATAACTGGGAAGTCTACGGGGAATTGGAAACGGACAAACACCCACACTGGATCGGCCCCGGGGTTGGGAGCATCACCGACGCTGCATACACATCTAGATCTGGTGTCGACACCGAATACGGATTTCTCCCGGCATAACTCATCTCCTATCCCATCGACCAGTGCATCCTCTTCCTGTACCACGGTCCAATTCGGGAAAGAGACGTGACTTGGCCTGAGGATACAGTGACGGCTGTAAAATGAGTCTTCTCCAAGAAGTCCCGGTTTTCAATATAACACCTAGATGCCTGGAGCAGATGAGGTTCCTTGTTTGCACGGATTATCAATCCTTCCAGCGATATTTCTACCTAGCTGCCGTCGGTGGCTGCTGTGAGAACAGCAGTATGGTCGTTATGAAGGAATCAAATACCTGGCTGCTGCTTACGCAGCGTTTGGATCTTCCATCTGTCACCATTGCCATTCAGAAGTCATTCGGTTCCTGCTCACACTCTGACTTTCAACTACGATGTCGTATACCTCTGTGCTTCTCATTTTTGCAAGTGGTCCCCCAGGGAAGCGTCTTCTAGGGAACTTCTCCGGCAGAAAGATTGCTTCAAACGCGTCGCTGTCCTTACTACACCTGACAGGGCCTCCAAATCCAGCAGCTCCTCTGAGGTTGAGGTTGTTTTTGGATTTCTGTAGCAAGCGGGGCCAAGGAGTTGAAAGAGCAAGCAAGGGTTAACGACCAGGACTGGCTTGAAATGTGGTACACTATCAAGACATTTCTGGCAAGCGGGTATGGTGATGCAGACGGTGTGGGCGAAGTGAACAACGATTTGTTCAGCATCAAGCCCGAGACACATAGGGAGACATTTGGAAAGGTCAATCGCGCGTAGTCAAATACCGTGTAATCAGAAATGGTGATCTCGTAGGCAATGCGGCTTGCTAGTCATCGCTCTTAGGTTTGCTGTGAGATTGCATCTGTGCCACATCCTACCATTGCCGATGACCTTCCACCGCGTCTCGACTCCCGCGGGATTTCGGATATTGAGCAGTGTGGTTCGATGTCCGCCGGTTTGCAAAGGGCATTCCGGTATGTCGTCGCCATACTAGGCTAATTCCCCAATGGCCAAGCCCAGCAGTCCACTTCGCCAACCGGGGCTTGTTCAAAACCCAAACCTCCTGGCTAAGTAGGCAACTCCGACAAGTGCACGTCCAACACCGCAGCTATGTCGCTACACTCGAGTAGTGGTGGTGGCGGTAGTACCCAAGAAGAACAGGTCACTGCCAGTCTACTTCGCATTACGTTTTCAAACTTGATCCTCGCTTCCGGCCCAATCGCTCTTCTGCTCTACTTGCTGGTAAAACGTGCGGGTACAAAGCGTGTAGGCTACACGACATTGAAGCTGCCATTAGTCGCTGATGGTTGAAAAGGCCGAGGCCCGCTTCGAGCAGAGCACACGCTGTGGCAAGCCGCGTCTGCTCCGCTACAGATGGCCCCTCGCATTCGACATAATAGTGGAAGCGTTTCGCATGTTTGAAGACAACCAGATCCTACAGTGGTTCGTCGGGATCTTCGAAGAAACGGGCCCAACCTTTGAGAAGACAATTCTGGGTTCCAGGAGCATCGACACCATTGAGCCAGAGAATGTCGAGTCCATCTTATACACCAATTTCTCCGGTAGGTAGGTGTTGAGGCTTTCGCTAGGCGGCGGAGGAGCTTCTCAAGCACAGGATGCGGTACTGTATCTAACACGCAGTGACAGATTACAGCCTCGGTGCCCGTCGGGAGGTTTTTGCACCTCTTCTGGGGAATGGAATATTCACACAAGATTCTGCACAGTGGAAGCACTCTCGCGCCATGTTGCGGCCTTTGTTCTCGCTCAACCATCCAGACACCTTCACGCAGGTGGAAGAACACACAGAGCACTTGCTGAACTGCATTCCGGCGGGGAAATTTGTCGACCTCCAGCCTCTGTTTTTCCAGTTTACATTCGACACCACTACATTTCTGCTGTTTGGCACGTCAATGAACTCACTACAAGATAAGTCGGCACGAGATGGGGCCAGCAGTCGCGAAGCCGAATTTGCAGAGGCATTTCGAGTCTCGCAGGACTTTCTCTTTCGACGCGGCCGTCGAGGAGATCTGTACTGGACCGTTGATGACAAACAGTTTCGAAGGCACTGTTCGACCGTGCACAAGTTTATTGACGAAGCAGTACAAGAGGCTCTCTCGCGCGCATCCGGGCACGGCAAGTCCGGCAGTGTCCATAGCTTTCTGGATGCTCTAATTGAAGAGACGCGGGATCCCCGAGTGTTGCGAGACCAACTCTTAAATGTTATGCTTGCCGGCAGAGATACAACAGCATGCTGTTTGACATGGACTTTGTACACTCCTACCGGCTGCAACGTTCCTCCTGCTCTGCTTGCTAACTCATCTGCCAGTCGACTTCTTGCGCAACACCCAGACGTCCTTGCTAAGCTCCGATCGGAGATCGAATCTACGGTAGGCGTTGGGAAGAACTCGAGTTCGCCGGACAGGAAGATCCTAAAAAAGATGAAATATCTCAATCTGGTCCTGAGGGAGGGTATCATGCCTTGGCCCGTGGGTGAGCGAGGATGATGCTGACTGACCCCCCGCAGTACTTCGACTCTACCCTTCTGTGCCGATCAACTCTCGAACTGCGCTGAGGACGACCACCATCCCAAGGGGCGGGGGCACTGATGGCTCCGAGCCTATAATGGTCCGGAAGGGCGAAGCTGTTGGGTTTTCTATCCATGCAATGCATCGACTAAAGAGACTTTACGGTGAAGATGCCCATTCTTTCCGTCCTGATCGTTGGGACCCGGATGTGGAAAATGCAGTGGATCTCAAGAACATCGGTTGGGGCTATCTACCGTTTGGTGGAGGGCCTCGGCTCTGCCTAGGACGTAAGTCTTTTTGAGATGCGAGCTATGACCCACACACAAGTCTGACCGATGTGCGTCTAGAGGAGTTTGCATTGTTTGAGGCTGGGTATGTGACGGTGCGAGTGCTTCAGAAATTCCAAACTTTGGAGCTGGATCCTAGAGACACAAAGATCGCTCTGGGTACCGAGAAACAGGAGGTTACCCTTGTACTTGCTAGTAAAGATGGTTGCCGGTTTAAAGTGAGTGAGTGAGTGAGTGAGTGAGTGAGCGAGCTGATAGCCTGAATGCGATTGTGCGACACAGCGGCACGGAAGGCGGGCGATGCACTAGTCAAAATCTAGTGAAGCGTTGCCAAGAGCGCCAAGCTCGACGCCCGGCTTGCCGGGCACGTGGGTGACACGCAGACGTCGCCCCGCCTTCCTCTTACATCTTTCTCAAGGCAGCTGTCTTTCACCTGTCCGCCTTGTGCGCTTCCTCTTGCTCCAGTCAAGCAGATCCTCGTCTTCATACATCGATCTCAATTGCTGCAGACACATATAATGCCCTTCAGTCGGTACAGATCTTGGAATCTTTCGGCTACATTCCTCTTGCCTTTTGGTATCCAGTGTCCTCGCCCGCTCAGCGCCGAGTCTTGAGACTTGGCACTCGAGTTTCTGCCTTACTCTGTACGACTCCAACGAGGCGTGCAGAGCCGGCAGCCTACCAACACGAGTTGCGGCTGAGTGCTTCTGCATAATATGTGTGCCTACGTAATGCCAATGCAGTTAGAACGACAACTGGTTGGCCCGAACTGTCGTCGTCCGCTTCGACGCCCCGGCTGAGGTGCTGTTGGTTCTGATGGGTGCCTCACATTGCCTCGAACCCAGGTCGAGAAGATGGTAGGTCTATATAGCGCAAAGAGCTCTCACCTGTGGCTGTCAGTCGGTCACTCCTAGAACATCCCCCTTGCCGATTATCAATATGTGGCCTGCCCTGCTCCTTTTCACCCTTCTATTGGGTGTAGCTTCAGCCTTACCTTCTCCTCAAGTGCAGGATCCGGCCAAATCCATCATCACGCTTCCATTTACGCGGAAGTTGTCACACAGCCCGGCAAGGCTCAAGCGACAAGCCTTTGATTCGGAGCTTCTGCCTTTGACTGTCGCGTCGTACTATGTCGAGGTCACAGTCGGCACGCCGCCCCAACCGTTGAGCTTGGTTTTAGACACCGGGAGCAGTGACATATGGGCCTACAGCCCAGCTGCGAGGGCCTCATGCCCTGACTGTACTGATATATACTGTACGCCGGCTTTTGGCCCTTCGTTCCGGCCAGGAACAGTCCCTAATGCGCAGTAGACGACCCGGCCGACTCCTCCACCGCAAGGGAACGCCCTGATCTGGGTTTATTCAACATCACTTATGGAACCCCGAACTCTGGCGTCCTCGGTTACTATTACACCGATGTAATCAGGACCGGTGGTGTTGGCGTAAACGCCTTCCTCGGTGTGACCACCGATGCAAACGAGGGTGCCCCTCCCGGAGGCATCATGGGGATCGGGCTGTCCAAGAACGTCGCCAGCTTATATCAGAGCGGGATCAAGTATGAGGGCTATATCGATACTCTGTACGAGCAGGGTCTTATCGGATCACGGGCGTATAGCGTCTTCTTCAACGAGGCAGGTAAGCTTGGCTAGTTTTTCCCCCTTTGCAGACCTGTGTCCGCTTACCACGCCTCCAGCATCGACCGATAAAGACGAAGGCGTCATAATCTTCGGCGGCTACGACAAAACCAAGTGGATCGACGAGCTCACGCCATTCCCCATCGTCTATCCATCACCCAGAGGCGCCGCCGAGTTGAACATCGAGGGACCGGTCATCGAAATCACCGTCGGCGACGATACCTACGACCTGCCAACCCAGTCGTACACGGTCCTCCTCGACACCGGCAGCACATACACGTATCTTCCCAGACGGCAGTTCAACATCCTAGCCACGGCACTGGACGCCGAGCTCGCCTACGAGGACTATGACCTCTACGTTGTCTCGTGCGACTACAAGACGGTCGACGGTGGGCTAGATTACACATTCGACGGCCCCTCCGGCCGCGTGACGATCTCGGTACCGTGGGAGCAAGTGGTTATTGAAAACGATGCCCTCCCCGACGACGTATGCTTCCTGGGCTTCATCCCAGATCCGGACAACGAAGGGTTCTACGTCTTTGGCGAGACCTTCCTGAGATCCGCTTACCTGCTGTACAACTACGATGACTTGACGATTTCGTTGGCCCAGGCGAGTTATGATACCAGCTGCGATGATTGCGCCGAGGCCTTGGAAAAGTGATACACGGCACGGGGAGGGATGCCAAGGACGCTGTAGGGGAGATTTTTACGTTGGCTCCACAGTAATATAGGTGGTCTGGTCGCCGGCAGCTGCAGACCTTCAGATATGTTTCCCGCGCTGCTCTCCTTGCGATGGTTGCGTGTTCGCTACTTCCTTCATACACGGGGACCTTCCTCGTCGTGGAAGGTCTTTCGCAACCCTCCATTACCGGGGGTGGGTCAGGCGTGTATGCATGGCGCAATCGAGCTAAATGCGATGAGCTATAAGCAGAGGCGGAGGGACAATTAAGTGGATTTCGGGGGATCCATAGCTTTTTATAATGTCTAGTTCTAGAAGCATGGCTGTCTGCGTCTTTTCGCTGGCCGGGAGAAATGAAACAGGCTGTTTGCTTTCTGTCCAGTACCGCTGCAGCACCGTCGGACAAACCGTTTGCGAACACCCACTTCACAACAGGGGCGAAGCCTATGTCATTTCCACATCACCATCACCAGTTTTGGTGGCACCAGGCCCTGTCACATCCTCGTCCTCGATTTCGAGCTCGACATCACCATCGTCATCTTGGTCGCCGTCCTGTTCATCTACATCTTCCCAGGCGTCATCCTCGTCTTCGTCCATTTCACCTTCTGCTCCGAGCGCTTTCTTCAAACCGTCAACCAATTCGACAGCGTGGTCTTGTAGCCTCTCGTCGTCATAGCTCAGAACACGGTACAATCTCAAGCAGTTCTCCAACCACGTTCTCGCCGTCTGTTGGGCTTTCGATTTCTCCTCGGACGTGATTCCAGCCTTTTGAGAAATGAGGACATGGCACCACCCGCCCAGATACCAGCACTCCACACTCTGATCATCTTCGCGAACGAGGCCATCCAATACCGAAAGCGCAAGCGGTTCGAGTTCGACTTCCATGAGCAGGCGGGTAAGCGACACTCGCGTCGCAAAGTCGGGTTGTCGAGCGTCTTGGTCTGTGCCGTCGTCACTTTGTGTAGCGTCTTTGGCCATATCCTCGGACGACGGAGGGCCGGTCTCTTTGTGCCAGATCTCTAGACTTCTCTTCAACGCTGTTCTGGCCTCGTCGATTCGTCCCTGGCTTATGCGCACGCTCGCCAGCGTCTGCAGCACCCCCGCGGCCATGTCTTCAGGACACACAGCCACCGCGTCTGTGACCAGCGCTTCGCACCTCGCTTCGGCATCGGCCTCCCACGACAGGTCGGTCATGTACACCTCGGCCATGGCGCACAGGGCGTCCGCCAGCTTCGCCTTCTTCTCGTCGAGCACCTTCCTGGCGCCTGTCTCGCCGTCCCCGCTGACCGCCTCCTCAAGCACGTCGATCTCGTTCCTCAGCACTTCGCAGGCCTGTTCAAAGTACCGGATACTCTCCCTTCCGCCTTCTTCGCAGAGCTGGGCGAGCCAGAGCCATGGTTCCGCCGATATTAGTGCCCCGTCCTTGTCCATCTGTGTTGCTCGGGTGAAGTTCCTTCGTGCGGGGTCAACATCTCCGAGTGCCACATGTATTTCAGCGGTGAGGACTAAGGCGGTAGGTAGCGTAGGTTGTCCCTGAGCAGCCAGGGAGAGGAGCTCTTCGATGTCAGTCTCGTCTCCTTCCTGCGACGAGGGCTTTTGTCGACGGCGGTCCGCTTCGAGCCGTTGGAGCGCCTCCTCTGCAAGCGGCAGAGCGAGTTCGGGTTGTGACTGTTCGAGTAGTTCGGCGGCTTCGGTCAGGAGGTCTTCAATTGACTTTTGCGACTTCTTCGGCGGGGACTTCACAAGCGCAGCGGAGGTGGAGCGGAGGATATCCTTTTGCTGCTGGGTGTGGTTTTTCGTCTTTGTCTTCGCCATCCTGGCTACAGGTTAATTGAAAGGCTCTTTAGAACTCGGTCAGACAAGATTCTCGACGGTAAAAGTGCCACCAATATAGTTCCCGCTCGTGGTTGTCGTCGCCGCCGTTCTCTTGAATGTTTCGAAACTTTTTTGGATGTGGGGTTTCGTGGAGGGAAGGTTTACCGAGTTCGGCCTCGTCGAGTCGATCGCGAGGCTGGGGATGGACAATGGTGATGATTTGACCCTCACTTCGACGCAGCCTGACACTACACAGTCGAACGTGACAAGAGACACGGGCGATCAGTGCGATATAACAAGCAATACCGACTCTTCTGATACCTACGATATTCCTCCATGCCCACCGATCGTTGTGCAACTAAATTTCGATATTGATGCGAAATGCGCATTCTTATGGATGAAAAAGCCCTGGGGTATCCCTCCTTTTGTGAAAGTCACTGGTGCGCCGAAGTGGAAGCCTCGCGCGGCTGAGCCACGCCTCGGAACAAGTTTCCCTCATTTGGAGGACACCGTCTTTTCATTGGAAAGCCGGAGCAGAGATTCTCGGTCGGGACGGGCAATTCGTATCCACGAAGCTGACTAATTTGAGTTAGCGGCTTCTTGTGGCTTCGTTTATCGACAACGCGGCCGGGATGCCCGCTTCATACCAGTACGAGTAACAGAGTAGATCCCACATTGTGTAGATCCGGCGACTCGAGAATTCTGGAATGCGTAGCATGTATTAATCCAACCAGTACTCACGGTCCCGCTGCAATGGCGGTGCAGCTGCAACGATCTCCTCTGGTGGAATCGAAATAGAAAAGCTCACCAAAGGCTTGCAAGGTATTTCACCAACCTTACACCAGCAACCAATCGGTACCGTTGGGAGCTAGGGATGGAAACCGAAGCCGACTGGGCTCAGCTATCGTCCGACGCAAAACCAAAGCGTCGCTCGCGAGTCCGGTCTGCCTGCCAAAGATGTAGAAGGCAGAAGCTCAAGGTATTGCCAGCCTCATCCCATGTGGTCTAAGTCCTCACATATGTGGGCGGCCAGTGCGATCAAGAACGACCTTGTTCGTTATGTCTGAGGTCCGAAGTTCCATGCATTTCGGAGACACGGGAAAGGTTCGTTTAGTTTACGCAATGATCCTCGGATTTAGAGCTGAGAAATCCTTTTGTGCAAGCAGGCGCAACAAGATTCCAAGGTTACATTCGCCAGTGGCAGAGAATGATGGCAGCGGGAACCGAAGCGAACCTATACCTCCATCGGCCCTTCATATCGAGAATCACTCCCCCCAGTCCCGTTTCAGCCATGCCGAAGACCAAGAGAGCACCGATACGCCTGATCGGCGAACGAGTACACCGCAGAGGATCAAGGCACCGGTCAGCTTCGACCGGCTTTCGGCAACAGACCCCGAAGCCTTCAACCAGAGGATCTCGTCGGCAGGATTGACGCAGGAGGTAGGGCTTTCCATGACGTGGACTTTTGGTGGTTAACAGCTGCTCTAGATTATCGACAACTTCAGCCCCGAAACGATTCTTGAAAGTTCCACTTCCGCTCTTCCTGGCGGCATCGGTCACGCCCAGGGGGATCTGATCACCGTGGAGCAGCTGTTGGGCCTCGAACTCCCTTCGAAGAGAGTCGCTGACTACTTCTTGAATATCTACATAGATGTGGTCCATTGGTTCATAATGCTGTTTCATGAACCGACATTTCGCTCGAAATACGAGAAACTCATGGTCTCCAGGAGCTTTCCGCGGTGCCGCTCGAATGAGGTGATATTCATATTGCTGGTTCTGTCCATTGGTGCGCACTATGCGCCGGACGAGGAGGTCCTGCAGAAATTTCCGACATTTCAGTTGAAGACATTCCGAGCACTCTCGCTGAAGAAAATCGAAAACAGCCTGCCTTCGCTGTACGACACAGCCGAGCTGGAGTCGGTGCAAGTGTGCTGCCTCCTGGCCTCGTGGTATGTGTATCATGGCCGGCCGAACCTGGCATTTGTCATTCTCGGTGCTGGATTGAGGTGTGCTCAACTTCTTTTGCTACACCGAGAGTCAACCTGGAGAGGAGTATCGGAGATTGCGAAAGAAGAGCGGAGGCGTGTCTTCTGGGCCCTCTTCGTCTTTGATCGGTGAGCAAACTATATGCCATGTTAAACTTCTGCTAATCCCATTCCAGATTCGCGGCCACGATATTTGGGCGCCCCTGTGGCATCCCCATGGCCGAGATCGACGTCAGAATACCACAGAACGTCGGCGACACCACGGTTCAACATCCCTTCTTTCGGTCGAGCGCGACAACGCCAGACGGCACCGTCGAGCCCGTCACGGCGTTCTCATACTTCAAGTTCAAGATCAAGCTGTACCAGATCTCCTCACCCATCATAGGCGACTTGTACTTCCACCGGAGTCGCAGCGTATCAGAGCTGGCCTTCAAGGTCTACCGCATCGATAAAGAGCTGTCCGACTTCTTCAGCGCGCTTCCACCGGAATTGAAGCTCGAAGACCTCTTTCGAAACCCCGCCGAGAAAGTCACGCCGAGGACGCGGCCTTTCATGCTCCAAGCCCTCGCCCTGCAGATCGCCTACGACAACGTCCAAATCCTGCTCCACCGCCCACTGCTGTCCCAAGACCTACGCAATTACAAGACCCATGCAGACCTCTCTGACCCCGATCGCCTCGCGTATTCGCCCGACCAGAGCAATATCACTAATAGCATCCAGCTATCGTCGCAGCACGTCCACCAGATCCTGCTCGCAAGCCGTGACAAATGCTGGGAGTCGGCAATCCGATCGTCCAAGCTCGGCCAGTATAATCAATGTTTGGTCTCTGCGCGGGACAGCCACGCCGCGGCCTTCCTCGGCATCAATCTCTTCACGGCCGGCATGGTCCTGTGCGTGGTCGCTCTCTCGCGGCCTTTATCCTCCGAGGCGCAGACGGCCAAGCAGGCCGTCGCGCGGATCATGTCCTTGTCACGCTTCCTGTCGGGCAAGGCCCCACTCTCTGCACAGACGACGAAAATCCTGAAAGATCTCGTCCGTCTCGTCGGCGAGAAGGAGATCAAGGCCATGCTTGCGGAGTCGGAAATGGCGCAAAATCAGCCTTCTACCTCGACCGATCGTGCAAGAAGCAGAGATAGAGACAGGGATGGGCACAGAGACGGAGACACAGACAGAGACAGAGACAGGAATACAGAGGATACGCCGGACGTGACGTCTCGACTGCCAGCTGTTCCCGCCAGAGATGACCTGCTGCAAGTCTCAGATAATGCGCCCGAGGAAGCCGTTGCTGCGTCTGAGCCCTTGAAAGAGGAATTTGGGCTCGCAGGGATGATGGACGCGGGGCCCTCGCTAATGGACACCTTCGACTTCTCCGGGCTGGAGAACCTGGATTTCAACAACGGGCTGTCGATTGTGCAGCAAGCCATGTTCCCGGAGGTGGTGGCCCCGGACGTTGATGCATCAATGCCAAAAGACGAAGGAGAGTATAATGCGAACCAGGCCTATCTTTATCCGGCTGGTGGAAGCAGCGATGGTCTACAGACCGATGATTTCAGCATGATGAACTCTGTGGGACAGACTTGGCTCTGGGACTCCGTTTCTTGGTAGACTGAGCTGGATCCCTCATTGGTGACTCGACTTGAAAGAAAAAGGGCCACTGGCGAGGGTAGGCAAAACATACACCCCGAACCTCGAGGCGAGGGAAGTAGGTATTGGTACAAGCTGGCTTCTATGTCTACGCGTAACCTCTTCTCCGGCGACCTTGGTTCCTGGGACGCTGCGTAACAACCAAGGGGTTGATCTTGTGCTTGTCCCTCGTCTTGTATCCCGATTTAGCCTGGTGGAATGAGTCAGCTTCCAGCGATATAAAAAGATAGAAGTAGGGTGTTGGCCAAGAGAACTTACCGGAATGCCCCAAGGACTCATGGGAATGCGATTACCCTTGGATTTACCTCGACCACCACCGTGAGGATGATCTGATGCATTCATCGCCAGACCACGAACAGTGGGTCGAATATTCAGCCACCTCGACCGACCGGCTTTACCAAGCGAGGTGTACTTGAAATTGACATTGCTTGCGACGCCAATAGTCGCGACGGCGTCCTTGTCGATCAGTCGAACCTCGCCGCTGGAGAGCTTGACCGTAACATAATTGGCGGCCTTTTCGAACTTCCTCAGCTGGTCCATGGTCAAGGTCGACAGATCGAAGTTTCGGACGTCGCCAAAGATCTTGATCATTTCCTTCTGTACCGTGTCTTCTCCTTTCCCGACAACGATACCATGCGTGCCTGCGCTCCGGCATATCTTCCCGATCTCGCCTTTTGATGGAGTGATGTTGAAGATGGGCGTGCCAACAGGAATCATGCCCAGTTGTAGACAATTGCCTCTGTGCGCAGTCTTGGACGCCAGGACTCCCTGGTCTATGTGGCCGCCCATCTCATCGATCAACTCCTGTGGTAGTCCTGACCTGTAGCTCTCAACCGTGTCGCCCGCTCGTAGACCTTCAGCTGCGAGGATGTAGCTCTTCTCCCCTGTCTGCAAGCTCTTCACCAACGCGATGTGAGCAGTGCGACCTGGATCGTGCTCTATTCTCTCGACCAGATGTTTACCGCCAGCATTCCTTGCGAAGTCGACAATGCGTATCCTCCTCTTATGGCCGCCTCCTCGATGCCTCACCACAACATGGCCCGTGTGGTTTCGACCACCTTTTCCATGGCCCTTCTTTGGAAACGTGAGAGGGAAATGAGGTCGACCTTTCCATATGTGCTCGTTCAAGGGGCGGATTAAATGACGAATGCCAGGTGTTCGAGGGGTATACCGGCGTAGCCTCACATCGAACTTTGAGAGTGCATTCCGATTGTCGGCTTGGGCCAACGGCAGGTCTTCTGGAGGAGAATCTGCGACCGAAGTGCTTGGGTGCAGGGTGTCGATGGCCTGTGCATAGGAACGCCGTAATGCAGGAGCGCGATAATGACAGTTGTTGCACAGCGAGCGAAGCGGTATTCGTGGCTGCAGCATCTTGTGCAGCCGTGAGAAGGAGGAATTCAAGTTGAGCTCTGAAGACAGAAGACCATTGTCTTCTCAACACCCGCCGACTGAGCGATTGCACAGATCAATTGACTGTGTCGAGCTCCAAATTTCCGCCCAGACGCATGTAGAATGAGCCAATCGGCCAACATTCCCGCCTAATTCAGCGCTACCCAGATAGAGGCAAGCGCAGCCTCGCATTAATGCTCCCTGCCTTGCGCTTTCAAGCCTTCAGCCTCACTCGAAGACAGTTTATTTCACTTTATTTTCATTCTTCCCTCATTCATCTCCACCCACAACTTGTCGTTCGGTTGGTCATCTTGGCGTTCCATGAATACCTCAAGAATTACTGCCGGCAAGATGGAAAAGATGAAAGGGCTCAAAGGTCTGAATTGTTATTAAGACGACCCCCTTCATGCGCGGGACTAATGCCTTTCAGATCCAAATCGCCATGGCGACCACCAGCGCGCACATGGGACTGATCAATCACAGGACAAACGTGGTCTATCAGGACATCAGTCATCTTCAGTTAAGCGACACAGAGACGGACAGAATTCTCAGACTGTTGCTCCATACCCACAGCCGTCACTGCTAGCAGCAATCCGACACAAAGCATCAACTGCTCTCCAGGAAGCTTTCAAATGGCCTCAAGGACGGATGGTAAATTGGAACGTGGTCGGGAAGCCCAGGGAAGAGGAAGAGGCCACTGTTCAATCTCCATCACCGGTCTCATTGTCTACTCATTCTGAGAGCAGCGCAGGTGTGGGAACTGCAAAGGTGGTAGCAGAGAGCTCGATTTCAGGAACCCTATCTTTTCCGTCTTCGTCTTCAACCCCACCATCCAGTCCCATAAAGCAAGACACCCTTGCCGCTGGTGAGATCGCGGAAAAGAGCCAGGCAGTCGAGCCTACTGTATGCCAAACTTCACCTCTCAAAATGTCAGCTGGTCTCCCAACGGACAGCATCATTGAAACAGGAGGCGATGAAGTCAATCTCTCTGTGCTATCCAGAGGTATGTCCATTGTCCCTGGTCAATGTGAGCACTCTCAAGTCATGCAGATCCATGCGTCGGTCCATTTCCGGCGGACGACGGCCTTTCTGATGGTGAGATCGATGAGCCGGCTGTGAAGAAACCTAATGTGCAGTGGACCCCAAGTCTTCAACTCCATCGAGAAGTCCAAGAAGCTCAAACGCGAGATCGCATTCCTCCTGTCGTATCAACCCATCGGCAACCACCACGTGGACCGCGCAAAGAGCCACAGTTCAGCCTGCAACCGCCCCAGGGACCTTGGCGACAGCAGCCATCCCACCTGGTACCACCGCGGGGACCTCGGCAGCAGCATGTCACAGTCAGACCTGGGTTTGTAGAACCATCGGAGAAGCCATCTTGATGACTTTGTGGATCGCGCAGTACTAATCCGACGACAGGCCCCAAGCAAAAATGAAGATGTGTCACGCGTACAACTCCACTGGTGGTAATATTGCTTGCCCCCTCTGGATTGATTTGATGACCGAGGAGACCGCTAATTACAACCACCTAGGACAATGCCCCAAGGGCATCCAATGCCGTTACCTTCACGATCCCACCAAAGTTGCATTGTGTCTTTCGCTGTTGCAGGGCGTCCGATGTTCCCGGCTCGGTGACTGCCCATTCAGCCATGCTGCGACCTCAAAGAACATTCCAACGTGCATCCCCTTTCTGAATGGAGCATGCGCCCGTGCTGATTGCTTATACTGGCATCCTGATGGCGTGAGAGCTAACGCAGAACTGTGTTATGACTTCGCTTTTGGAGGATACTGTGAGAAAGGAGCAACATGTGGGTACCGTCACGTGCGCCAATGCTATTTCTATGCCGTGTTCGGAAGCTGCGTCAATCTCTGGTGTCAGTTGGCGCATGTTGCCAATCCTAATTGGAAGATGCACACGCCAGCGACTGTTGACAGTATGGCTTGCGCAGCATCCACTATTGTGGACCCTCCCACTGCAGATGAGGAGCGTGATCGAATGATTGCGTCTTCCGGCGCCCGGGTTTGCCGTCAAAGGGACAATGTCACGGCTAACACGAACATGACTGTTGCGGAGACGGGCGTGGTGGTCAAAGCGATGACTGACGAAAAAGCGGGCGTAGTCCACTCTGCCACGATGGACGATGAAGACATGGAGGCCGCGAGTGTTGCCGGCTCGTTCAGTCTCCAGGACGATTACATTCCTTTGTAGGTGGATCTGACCTTGTGCATGACGAGATCACATTGGGGAAACGAGCTTGGAAATTACTGAAGCGCAGCATGAACTGCAGATGGGAGAGGGAGAGGGAGATCTGCCCTGGAGATAGAAGTGCAGGTGGAGGTGAAGATGGACGAAACGGTCATTGATGAAGGCCAGAGGGACAGAAGTGGGTGAGACTCGGAGACTCGGAGACTCACAGAGATGCGACTCTCTTGGATACTACGCGTACGGGCATGTCATATCATATGGCGTGCATACTGGCAATGGGGCCAAAGTGTCATGCCAGCGGATCTTGCAGAGCTGCAGAGCACAGAATGCACAGAATGCACAACACATCATGTTTGTTCAATTCGTTCGAGATCTGCTTCCATACGTGGACTGCACGAGGACATCGTGCGTCCTGCCTGGGCTCCCGTGCAACTATATAGAACATGTCTAATTTATGATTTGAAATTGACTGACTGACTGTCTGTCTGTCTGGCCGTCTAGTCTTCTCAACTGCAGCTTGGATGGTGGGTCGTTCGGACGTGGAGACTGTTTATTGCCCGTCGTCTACGTGCATTGTCGTGACTCTTCTGGAATGGCTCTCCTTTCGCCCTCGATAATGTATGTTTGATGCCTGGCTGGCGATCCATGCGGTCTGCTGGAGACCCGAAACCCCTTTCCGGTCATGCAGCCATTCGTTGCTCTCGATCCCATCTTGACGGGTCGGCATGACTGGCCGGCTTGTTCTCGGTCGTCATGGGTCCCTCAGTTCCCCTCGGTGATTTTTTCGAAGACGGACACTCCATATCGGCCTAGCGCTGAGGCACAGGCCACCGCTTCCGCCCCGACCTTCCTCATCCGCTCCGCACCCTCTTTGTCCTCGACGCCGCCGACACCAATAATCATGATATCCTTCGTCATAGGGTCCTTGTCAAGCAGTTTTCGAAACGTGGCCACGTTTCCCAGTGCCAACGGGTGAAGGGCCGCTCCTGCCAATCCGCCAAGTCCACTACCAGATTCACTGTTCAGCACTGGTTCGAGCGATGCGTTCAGCAGAAGACTGTGGCCCAGCGTGTTGGTGCAGGTGATAAAGTCGATCACGCTACCTTCGCCAGGCTCTGAAGACTTTGCTTTCCGGAGTGAGTCGACGACCATGTCGAATTGGCCAGAGTAAGTATATGGAGGCAGCTTCAGGCCGACCTTTGGGGTGGATTCCGGTGTTGTCATGCGTCCGCGATATGTCGATTTCGAGTCGGAAATGGCTTCCAAGTACTCGTCGAGTTCTTTCTTGTCGTATGCTGGGGGTGGTGCGGACGCAATATTCGGGCATGAAAGGTTGACTTCCATAGCGAGGCGGAGGTCTTCGTCCATCTCGGCGGCGTTTGCTACGAGCGCGTAGGCCATGGCTATCTCATCCGCAGTGCCTGTCACGGAGAGAATAAAGGGTTTCTTGGTTGGTGTGTCAGTGCCGAGGTGGCGTTGGCCGACAATTTCGTTGATTATGCCGAGATATTCAGAAAGCGTGAGCGGCGAGTATCCTAAGGTGTTGAGGGTCGAGACTGGTTCTGCAGAATTTGAAGTCGAGGAGGGAGGCTTTGATTCTTCGCCCTTTGGAGCATCGCTGGGAATGGTCTTGCCTGGAGTAAAGAAGGTGTATTGATGGATTGAGTCGTCGTGGCTGAAGCCTTCGAGCAGAGATGTACGGATTGTTACCGCACCGGTGAAGGGACTGTCATAGAGGGCTTTGATGTCTTCGAGAGTCGTGGCCCATGGGCAGGCAGAGTTGAGCAGTGGTGGCTCGATCTTCAATTTGGTCGTAGCCATGGTGGAGATTGTCGTCGTCAAGGCAGAGTTCTATCGCAGAGGGGAGGAAAGGAAATATCAGGAATGGAATGTTCTGTCGCTATTGTTCGCGCAGTCCCCGTCCGTCTTGAAAGTAGTAATTTTACAGACAGGCTGTTCTTGAGTTTCACTTCTTTCGGAGATCGAAGCAGTAGCAGGTTCGTGTTTGTCAAGTGAAGGAGTTTTCAGAAGAGGCCAGAGATGTTATTCCTCCATGTTATGTAGAGAAGCTTACGATGGTAAGAACGATCGTCGTTGCAATTACGACGTACCCACTTTGCTTGTGCGTTCTACGCACCCAGACTCGCATGCTCTTTTTATAGCTATCCTGCCGTCTTCTGACGGTTATCGAGGACGACGAGTTGCTACAAATGAAGTACGTGGCTGATGCGCAAGTCCGGATCTAACAAACTTCAACAAATCATGAGCCAGCAAATGTCTCAGATGTTTGATAACGCCTTGCAGGATGGTAGACACCATACTCAAACAAGGCTGTCACGAACGCTGCTACCCAGTCTGGAAGAGCTCACCATTGCACGGTACGGTGTACTGAAGTTCTTCATCAGTCATCTTCATTTTTCGTCTATCGTGAGCGAGCAGAACAGCAGTGCCAATCTCCTAGAAGTCCACGAGTCTTGTCCTTGGTGCTTAAGCAGCCACGCAAGGCAAGGCTCAAGTCCCCCTAGACAGGTTCTAAATGGTTTGACCTGGAGACTGTATGACAGAGGCCAGAGTCATGCCGTCATCATCTGACGCAGGGCTGCCCAACATCGCCTTGCTCACAACTTCTGCATGGCCACGACGTCGGTGGACTGGACATGGTCCTCATCCTCCTCGATCAGTTGCTGCAACTCGTCCAGAGACACCTTCTCGTCTTCGACGACCAAGTTGACCTGCATCTTCTTGATACCGAACCCGACAGGGACAAGCTTGTTGGCGCCCCAGACGAGACCATCCATCTCGATCTTCAACACGTTGGCGACCAGCTCGTCCATGTTCGTCTCGTCGTCCCAAGGCTTGACATCCAAGGTGACAATGGATTTGGCGGCGGGCTTCGTCTTGCCTTCCTTCTTCTTCTTGTACTCCGCCAATCTCTTCTCTCGCTCGGCGACGACCTCGGCGTCTTCCTCCTCCTCGTCAGAGCCGAAGAGATCGACCTCGTCGTCATCCTCAGCCTCGGGCGCATCCTTGGGGTTGTGTGTTACAGCAACTTCTTCTGGGCCGTAGGTGGTGAAGGGCTTCGAAGGGTCGCCTGGCAGGGTGGAGAAGTCGGCGTCGTAGGACTTGACATGGTTGTACCAGCGGTAGGCATGGGGATATTTCTCAACCGCAGGTTGCTCCTTCAAGGCCTTGAAACTGACGACATCGGCTTGAGATGGGGAGTATCTGTAGAGAGACTGTTAGCGGAAAGGTCAGGAGGAAGTTGACTGCGATAACTAGTAGTCTCTCTTTCGGGTCAGAGGTGCAATTGCTTGCGATTGGAAGTAGTCATTCGGTGGTGTCTTAAGCCACCTCATCAACACGGACCAATTTGTTCTCATCCTAAAGACAAATGGAGCGGAATCTCTTGACAAGGAGCCACGTACCCAGAGATGTATGAGCGGGTTTGGAGCCAGTTGTTGAGGACTAGATTGAGTCAGTGCCAGTCTGTGGAGGGGCTGATATTCGACCAAACATACTTGTGAGGCCGCTGTCGGAGACGAAGTCGGTGAAACCCATCTTGAAAGAGATCTAAATACTATGAGCGAATGCGTAGACAAGCAGGCAATTCCAGTGAGGTGTGTTAGTGGAAATCGTTCTGGTCAATCTGAAATGGAAAAGAAAAAGATGCCCTTGCAAGTCATGCCAAGCCTACAGAGTGGGTCCAGTCTGTGGCGGGACGAAACAGCCACAGCACGACAGTCACTCCTTTATACCTGCACCGCTCGTTCTCACTCGTCGTCATCATTGAAGCCACAATGGTTGCAAAATCATGCTATATGGCATCCCATCAATTGTGCTGGTCCCAAAGGTCTCCAATTTTCAAGATACAATTTGTGTTGATTTCATGGGTAGTTCAGCCGCACACCCCGCCCTGGCTCTCATGCAGCACACAGAGCGCCTAGTCCAAGTATGCTACTGACGTTTTCTAGTTCAGCCGGTCTCTTTCGCTCGGCAAGTGCGCGATTCTCTCCTTGAGATAACCGATGGGAAAACCATGAGCTTGATTTGTGCTCCGGCGTCGTGTCATGCGCCTCCCCAGCGTCAAAAGGTTGCATGTTAGGGTCGTCGGCCTTATTCGTGTCTGTGTCGGCATCGGCCTTCAAGTCTCGATCACCAGCCGCTTATGACACAACCTAGACAGAGGCCGAGCTCAAGTGTCAGGTTCCCCCTCAGCTGTAAGCACATAGATGCCAATTTGCCCTATCGAACAGTCGTTGCATTGCACTCTTCCACAGCCCATGTCACTAGGCGACCTCAGGAGATTTTTTTTCGCGACTCTTCACGATTCCCAAACAGCTTGTATCTTGGAAGGTCGATGCGAGCGGGGATCCACCATGTGCATAGAGCGTCGAATGATAAGCACCCGCCCGTGCCTCTGCAGTCTTACAAGTCGAATGAGCTAAAACGGAGAGTGGTGACAACAATGTTTTCTCGAGGGAGTGTAGAATCTCGTTGCGCCTCGTGTTTAGGGCTGCTGCAAATATGGGTGTTAGGAGTGTGTACCTGACCATGTTGAACGTCACTCACTGAGCAGGTACACGGGGATCCGTGGGTGATTCATGGTCTCGGGAGCCGCCAGGAATGGTTCCTCTTGGGCGACCAGTATCTTCCAGGAGGTGCTCGAGAATAGATGTGGCGCATCAAGAAGACAGGCAACAAGAAGTACCTTGTGGAGGTCATCAACCGATGCAGAGACAGCGAGCTTCTCCAGCGGAGCTTGGACGCAGCTAGCGATAGGAGCTGTACACTGATACTTATCGTACCAGACAGCGAGATTCTCGACGAACACAATGTCGACGTTATTTGGAAGCTTGGGGTCTTGGAAGTGGACCACTTTGCTGAGGTAGACAAACACGGCAGGATCGTCGTCTGGCAGCGAGATGCTCAACGACTCACTGGCGGTCCCTCGAGATGTCAAGCTCTCCTTGAAGCCTGAAATGAACATTACTTTGAAAATTGGAGACGCCAGAGACATGACTTTGGAGGAGACTCGGATCCGTTCTTTGTCGATCTCGACGACGACATCGCCGGTGGGGTCAGCATCGGTGGTGGCCACGGTGTTCTGTGACTATTGAGATATCGCGCACGGGTGAAAGGAAGATGAGAGAGCTCAGGCGCAGGTGGGGGAAAGACGAGAAGTTCCAAGGGGCACATGAGAGAGAGATGGACACCTGAGGGCATTGCCTGACGCATCGCTGAAAGCAGCCCTAGCATATCTTTGCCGAGACGAGTGATTCTCGCAATGGCTCTGTCTTGTCTTCGACGAAAACAAGGCCTTCCAGACATTCAATGGCAAGACTATTTGATAAGTACGGGTCAACATTAGGCGAGGACAATATCACTCAGACACGTGAAAGCGGAACCGTCTGCTGGCGATGACATGGTACAGGCACTAGTTAAAGGAGTCGATGATTCTCCTGAAGCAGCCTGAACATGACTATGTGGGCAGGAGCCACAACCCAAGACCGAGGGAGGAAACAACTTACTGGAATGCTCTGAAGTCCAGGAGCACACCAAACCAAGGATCAGTATCGGGGTACTCTGGATATTGCCGGGCTATGTGGCTATGCACCGAACGCGGAGCTTGTCAAGTGGCCGCTCTGCTGCTCCAGAACTCTGCGGCTCCTACTAAGGTGTCGACACAGTATTTACTGTGTATTCAATGTGATACTTTCATTTACGGCAGCGGGAAGAAACAATCGCACTACTGTCATTAGCGTTGAAGAAGCGGCACTTGAAGCAGCTGTAAAGGGACTAGTCAGCCAGGGGCGCGAGGAGACTAATCCCGATCCAGATCATGATGTCGCTCGAGGCTTCCAGAAAATGCGGCAAGACTCGAACCACTTGCAATACGGAGTACCTTCATCCACAATTAAATCTTCAGACTTGTTGCCAGCATGTCTAACTCTATTCTTGATCACCGATAACACCTCTCCAGTCGCGTAGCATTTGCGACTCAGCAACCGAAGCATCATGAACGCCGCAAGAGCGTCGCTCGTGCGACGAGCACGACCTTCCCGAATAGCTTTGCCTTCATTGCAGCAACCGAGAGCCACACCTCTGGCAACCTCCGTTGTGAGGGCTGTTGCAGCTCCTCGCTCGATACTACCGGCATCATCTTTCATACGGACATATGCCAATGGACGGCCTCATCCTCCGGGAGGAACTCACCGCATGAACATGGGAGGCGAGCCTGAAAAGCCTGCTTTGGAAGAGTATGGAGTTGATCTCACAGCCCGGGCAAAAGATGGCAAACTCGACCCTGTCATCGGAAGAGACGCTGAGATTCACCGAACGATTCAAATCCTGTCCCGCAGAACTAAGAACAACCCGGTTCTGATCGGTGCCGCAGGGACAGGCAAAACCGCCATTCTCGAAGGACTCGCACAAAGAATAGTCAGGGGGGATGTACCTGAGAGTATCAAGAACAAGAGGGTTATTGCTCTAGACCTAGGCCAGCTGATAGCCGGAGCCAAATTCAGAGGTGACTTTGAAGAAAGGTTGAAGAAAGTCCTGAAAGAGGTTCAAGATGCTCAGGGTGGTGTGATTCTCTTCATTGATGAACTGCATACCCTGCTCGGCCTCGGCAAGGCTGAAGGCTCTATCGATGCCAGCAATCTACTCAAGCCGGCTTTGTCTCGCGGCGAACTCCAATGCTGCGGCGCAACGACGCTGAACGAATACCGCCAGATCGAGAAAGACGTTGCACTTGCACGGCGTTTCCAACCCATTCAAGTTGGCGAACCTTCGGTCCAAGACACAATCTCTATATTGCGCGGCATCAAAGACCGCTACGAGGTTCATCACGGTGTTCGCATCACAGATGGAGCTCTTGTGGCCGCTGCAACATACAGCAACCGCTACATAACTGATCGCTTCCTGCCGGACAAGGCCATTGACCTAGTCGACGAAGCCGCATCCGCTCTGAGACTACAGCAAGAGTCGAAGCCTGATGCCATTCAAACCCTGGACCGCGAAATCATGACCATCCAGATCGAGCTTGAATCCTTGCGCAAGGAAACCGATATCGCATCCAAAGAGCGGCGGCAAAAGCTGGAGGAGACTCTGGCAGAGAAGAAAAAAGAAGTCGCCCGTCTAACTGAGATATGGGATCGTGAAAAGGCCGAGATTGAAGCTATCAAGCGTACGAAAGAAGACCTCGAGAAGGCCCGACAGGAGCTGGAGCAGGCCCGGCGAGAAGGAAACTTTGGCCGCGCAGGTGAACTCCAATACGCCACCATCCCCAGACTTGAAGCGCAGCTACCTCAGGAAGGGGAGGAGGTCATGTCCACCACCAAGAATGGAGAGACTCTCATCCACGATTCAGTTACGGCCGACGACATTGCCAACGTCGTGAGTCGCACCACAGGTATTCCGGTGACCAAGCTCATGGCGGGTGAAGTCGAGAAGCTGGTCAAGATGGAAGACAAGCTGCGAGAACATGTCCGGGGCCAAGATGAAGCTCTCACTGCAGTCGCCAATGCAGTTCGAATGCAGCGGGCCGGTCTCAACGGGGAGAACCGCCCCCTGGGCAGCTTTATGTTCTTGGGACCTACCGGTGTCGGCAAGACGGAGCTCTGTAAACAAATCGCCAACTTCCTGTTCAGCACAGAAACCGCCGTGGTCAGGTTCGATATGTCGGAATTTCAGGAGAAGCACACCGTTTCCCGGTTGATTGGTGCGACGGCTGGCTACATTGGCTATGAAGACGCAGGACAGCTCACAGAAGCCGTTCGCCGAAAGCCGTATGCCGTTCTCCTCTTTGACGAATTCGAAAAGGCACATCGCGACATCTCGAGTCTACTGCTGCAGGTGCTGGACGAAGGCTTCTTGACTGACGCGCAAGGCCACAAGGTGGACTTCCGAAACACTCTCATTGTATTGACGAGCAATCTCGGCGCCGAGATTCTGATTGGCAGTGGTGCCGATGTGGAGTCTGTGACACCTGAGCAAAAGAAGGCCGTCATGGAAGTCGTCCAAGCCTCGTACCCGCCAGAGTTCCTCAACAGAATTGACGAATTCATCATCTTCAACAAATTGTCCAGGTCGGCGTTGAGGGACATTGTGGACATCCGAATCCGCGAACTTCAGGGACGTTTGGACGATCGCAGAATGACACTCGACGTCTCGCCCGAGGTCAAAGACTGGCTCTGCGAGAAGGGCTATGATCCTCGGTATGGTGCCCGGCCGCTAAACAGGCTGATCCAGCACGAAATCGGAAGGAAGCTCGCCGACAGGATAATCCGAGGAGAGTTGAAGATGGGAGATAGCGCCAAGGTCATTGTGAGCAACGAGGGAGAGGCCTTGGATTTGCAGGTGCAAGCCAAAGCATAGTTTGGCGTGGGAGGTACTATGGCTTGTATACTTCGACCGTTGTCGGGTCGAGGTCTGGTCCATTTTAGCGGCATGTACTGGCGTTGGCATGGAAGATACCCCCTTGAAATAACGAATGCATAAGACTAGGATGGATTTCTTGGGACATGTACAGCAAGAAAGCCAGGGGCACGCGGCATTGTATAGTACTGTGTATATATGACCAATAAAAGAGGATCCCAGCTCCATGATTGCGTCGTCCCTGGTGTGCATTTTCTGCTTTAAGAAAGGTACAGTACACGTCGGGTATACAGTACAAGCGCGGCATTGGCAGATTTGTCCCCTTTACAGCCCCAGCGAATGGCGTGATCGGTGCGCAGCGCTCAGACTCAGAAATACAACTACCAGTCCGTCCGGCAAGCAATAATGACATAGCAAAAATTGACCGCCTCTGACATGTTATCTTCGCTGGTCCGAAACGTGCTGAGTGCGCGACGATCACTTGAACGGCGTCTACGAGCTCGCTGGCCCCAGACCCAAGACAAGGCATGGGAAACACTGCAGAAGAATGGCCTCCTGGGATTCATATGCTTCGGGGGCCCGCCCGTTCACTTTCAGATTGTGAGTGTCTCGTACAACTGTATCTGGCACTGGCGACATCCACGGCAGCAGCACTCCCGTCTACATTGGTTTCCCGCCACGTTCTGACTTCGCGTCGTGACCAAGCAGCTCCACCAACGCTTCGTCGAGAAGTACCAATGGCTGGAGGAGCCGATGTTCCAGGAGCTGTTCGCCGTGACGCAGGCTCTTTCCGGCCCCGCGAGCACCAAGATGCTGTATTGCATCAACCTGAACCGGAATGGCTTCCTGTCCGCGCTGCTGGCGTTCCTGCTGTGGTCGTGAGTGCTACCCTTCCTTTTCGGTCCTGAATCTCCTGCTATGCTGTGCCTCCGAGATTGGATCATCATGTTTGACCGTGGCATGCCATGCCATGCCGTGCTAGACTCCCCGGCGCGGTCGGAATGTACGCCCTCTCGCTCGGCATCTCCAACGTGGGAGACACCCTCCCGGCCCCGGCATATGCCCTGCTCTCTGGCCTCAACGCGGCGACGGTCGGCGTGATTGCCCTGGCGGCCGTGCAGTTGTCGCAGAAGGCCATCACCGACCAGGTGACGCGGGGGCTGGTGTTTCTGGGCGCCACTGCAGGCATGCTTTACAACGCGCTGTGGTATTTCCCCGTGTTGATCTTCTTGGCCGGACCCGTGACCATCATCTGGGATTCTCGATGGTTTCACAATCTGACCAGGTGGACTTCGGCACTGGTCAGCGGCGGAAGACAACCCACGGCGGCGGCCCAAAGCCAGGAGGACATTGAGATGAGAAGCACCGACCGACCAGACATGGCTACAGTCGCGGAACGTGAGTCCCCAAGTCATCGACACAGAGGTGACGTGCTCGGCTGACGGAAGCATGAACCAGACAATACCACCGACAATGACACCGACACTGTCATCCACGCCCTGCCCTCTTCCCAGCCCAGAGTTTCTACGGCGCCAAAGCAGCGTGCAGAGGACTCACAACACCGCGATCCGACCGACGAGGGCCGAAGCAACATGGTGGCCGGCCCTTCAGAGGCAAGAATCATCCCCCGAGACCGAGAACTCAAAGTATCCTGGAAATTCGGGTCGCTTTTAATCGCAGGCTTCCTCCTCAGCTTCGTCACCGTCATGGTCGTGCGCGGCGTCATCAAAGACAGACCTTTACTGTTCAGCCTCTTTTCGAACCTCTACCTTGCCGGGACGATCATTTTCGGCGGCGGGCCTGTGGTGATCCCTCTTCTTCGCCAGTGAGTACAGTATTCCATACAGTAATACACGCATCCACACAACGAATGATGATGGTCACGTCACCTCTTGTCTCTTGAACACAATCACGACTCATCTGGTCGGTCGACAAGTCGAACCAACTGGTGGACTCATGACTCATTGATATTGATAAAATTAGAAAGAATACTACTAACCTGCCCTTCCACCCAGATACATCGTCGCCGAAGGATGGGTCTCGCCCCGCGACTTCCTCCTCGGCCTCGCCCTGATCCAGTCGTTCCCTGGGCCAAACTTCAACTGTAAGTATATACTACGCGTAGTGTAGAGTCTTTGCGTTGCACACACACACACAAAGCTAACGCAATTAATGACGTTCCCCCCCGCGCGTAGTCGCAGTATACCTAGGCTCCCTGACGGCCGTCAACGCATCGTACCCCAGCTTCACCGGCGCCCTCGTCAGCTTCATCGCCATCTTCGCCCCGGGCCTCATCCTCGTGCACGGCACCATGGGGATCTGGACGGCGCTGCGCACGCGCCGGTCGGTGCGGGCCGGGTTGCGCGGCGTCAACGCCGCCGCTGTGGGACTCATCTACACGGCCGTCTACCGGCTGTGGGAGATCGGGTACATCGACGAGAGGTTCACGAGCGGGTCCAGTCTGGGGAGGGATCCGTGGTGGGTCGTCGTCACGGCGACGAGTTATGTCGGTGTCTCTTGGTATAGGCTTCCCGTGCCGGCGGCTATCTTGCTGGGCGGGTCTATGGGGTTGATTTGGTATGGTGTCGTCTCGAGATAACGAGGTGACAAGGTAAGGAGGTAACTATGGAACCCATGGAACTCGTGCCATGGCTGTCCTGCGCCGTGGAAGCGGCTTTCGTCCCCGCTTCACATTGCTTGGAGCGCTATTAGTGACAAAGCCTACAGCGCTGTACGTCTCCAGCTTCACGCAGGTCTCCACTCGTAATGATGGGCCCCCTTCTTGGCCTTTCCAGGATCTTCACCCTTGACGTGAGGTCGATCGTACGCGTGGGCTCCAAAGAAATCCATCTCAGCTTCCATGAACTGCGTGGGCAGGGCCGTACTTCCGTCATATTTGAGGTACTCGAGCGAGGCCGACAGACTGGGTATCATGGCATCCCACTCTGTCCCCTTGAGAACAACCTTCTTCAGGGCTGGATAGTTTTCCTGCAGGGCCTGGGCGACTGGTTTCAACAATTTGATATCCGATGTTTCTTTTCCCTGCTTGGCCGCCAACGCTGCCTCCAGCATGTCGGCGATCTGGCTCGATTGGATGATGCAACCCTCGCGCCAAATGCGGATGCAGGTTGCGAGATCGACATTCCATTCCTCGGCGCGAGAGGCTTTGCTGATCAGTTCGAGGCCCTGGCAGAAGGAACACACAAAGGATGCGTAGACGGCTTTCCGGAGCTCTTCGATAAACGCTTCCTTGTCTTGCCCTTCTTCCGCCTGCTTTGGTGGTGGCGTCTGAAGTTCCTTGGCCACCTCTAGCCGTTCTGCCCTCTCTCCACTGGCATAGCGAAGGAACTGACCAGCTGCAATGGTGGGTGCAGTCACACGACGATACGCCGCCTCCATGACTGACCAGAAGCCGGTGCCTTCGCTGCTGTCATCGTCCTGCACTACCTTGTCGAGAACATCATCGAGGACGTAACCGCCTTCTCCTCTCCCTTCTCCCTCCCCGTCCCCTTTCGGTGACTTCTTCCTCTGACAGATCTCCGCCCCGATCTGGACCAAGAACGTCGACCTAAGAGACCCTTGCGAGTTCCAGCGGTCAAGAACCTTGCCGATCTCTCCGTTCGACATGCCGAGACAATACTTCATGATTCCCCACGCTTCGCACAGCGTGGACAGCATGCCATTTTCGATCCCATTGTGCATCATCTTGACGTAGTGACCCGAGCCACCGGGTCCGATATAGGCCACGCAGGGAGATTGTTTCGTATCCTCCGGCGAGGATGCCTTTGCGGCGAACTTTTCAAGGATAGGCAACACCTTTTGAACAGCCGCCTTATCACCACCAGGGGACATGCTCGGGCCTCGCCTCGCAGATTGATATCCTCCCGAGACGCCCATGCCTATCCACGCGACGCCCTTTTCGGACAGCTCGTGCTGCCGCCTCTCCGTGTTGCGATAATGCTCGTTTCCGCCATCGAGGACGATGAAGCCTTTGCCTAAATGGTTGCCCATCTTCGCAATGACCTCGTCGGCCGCATTGCCATGCGTGATACTGAAGATCAGGACTTTCACTTCCTCGCTGGAAAGGCTGTCAACGAATTCTGCAATGTCGGTGTATCCGTCGATTTTCCCATTCTTGCCATCTTTGCCCCCTTCGGGTTTCCGGGAGAGTGCCTCTTTCACATTGTCGGGCGAGATGTCCCAGATGGAGATGTCGAAGCCGAGTTCTGCGATCCCCAGGGCCATCATGCTGCCCATAGAGCCGGCGCCTACAATGCCGATGCGTTTGACGGGTGATTCGTCGTTGGGAGCCATGGTGATGTTATGGCCAGTCGGCCTGTCTGTAAGAGAAGGAGGAACGTAGGTAGTCAGGTGCAAACGTAAGCTGTCGGCTGCTTCACTCGCTTGTCCAGTGGTCCGAATTGAAGTTGAGGTGGAATCGAAGGTGAAGGTGAAGGTCAGTGAAGTCAAAGACAAAGAAGGGATTGATTCCTTCAACACCGAGGTCTGGAAGGAAGATTGCCTTCCGTCGTGCTTGCCCTGTACAATGGACTGTAGATAGACTGATGCGCTGATCGTGTATTCATTTCATCATGCACTGTGTAGGTATGCATGTGATGACAAGCCTTTTGGACGCGGATTTCAGTTCCAGCCACATTACAAAGACCCGCCCGCGAGCCAACACGGTGTCCTTCAGGTCACCTTAAAGCATCGAGTGTGCGAGGATTAGTGAGTGCTTGATTCGAAATAGAAACCCGACTACGTCACTCTCGACGAGGCCGGATGGTAACTTCCGTGCAGGTGCGGACTTTGTAGCGACACTTTTACATGGAGGCTGCGAGGACAGGCACACGAAATGGGTGCGAGACAAATCGCCAACACAGTGACTTGATTGACTTGCGTGGCTCGTTATGTCAAAATGACCTCATACCACGGTAGGTTGAAGACAGGTCAGATCAATATCGCTACACCGGCGATACGGAGCGGATACTTGTACATCTTGCGCTCCACTTGCCATGCCGAATGAGGCGAGCGAGCAAGTAATAAGCAAGCCTGACGTGGAAAGCTTGATCCGAGGAATTATGTACAAGTGCGCTGGACGCTTCGAAGATCAGTAACTCCACTCGGACTTACCCCGCTGTCTCATACATGATTATAAGGGTTGATATCACAACACCCGTGCATTGCACCTGTCCCATAAAGTGAAACCAGTAGCTGCTTGGGCTTGTACACGAGTTTGTCTCTTACTAGTCACGATACACACTCCTGACGCCGTGTACACGATACAGCGCGGCAATCAAGCTCGATGCACAACCATCGCCCACAATTCCAGTTCCTTGGGCGTGCATCATCCTCCATCGGCTACCATCTTGAAACGGTCCTACGGGACCCTATGCAGTGACACCGGTATTACCCGCGGCCGACGGAGCGACGTCACGGGCAGCCTTCTCCTTCGCCCGTGAGGCACGATCCTCTCCATAGTTGATGGCAAGGCCCAAACGCGCGGGATCAATGTTCCAGTGCCCGGCAATTAAGGCGACACTAAACACCGGCTTGGCCAGGAAGTCGAGAACCCCGTAGAAGACGGCCTCGGAGTCTGGGGCAATGATGTTGGCCCCTTCGGAAACGCCCCACGCGATGGGATAGCAGAGCCAGACGAACAAGGTCAGAACGCCGCAGAGCATGTAGGTGCGGTAAATGTCCTGACCAAGCCGTTTGGCGCGCTTGCGACCCACGCCTGCGAGATTCCAGAACACGTAGAACATGGCGACGGTGCCGAACGCCCACCAGCCTGGAGAAACCGACCTGTCAGCTCTGTGGCGGGAATTGTCTCGGACTGAGAGTTCCAAAGCGAAGATTCACTCACCCCACTTCCAGCGGGTAGGAGTCAGAGCTCCAATAAGCCCAGTGATGATCATGATCCAGTCGATGAAGACGGTCCACACAATGGTTGGCCAGGGCAAGCCGGCAGTGAGCATGAGATCCAAGAGAAGCAGAGGAGTCGTGATAAACCTGGCGTGGGAGATGCATGTCAGTTCGTCCTTCAGCACCTTCGTCATGGACAAGCCGCAAGACTCACCAGTCGATATATCGGGCGTAGTAGATTTCACGGTTGATGCCCGCGACCTTGGGCCAGCTACGCTGATACTCAACATTGATAGGTGCCCATCCTTGGTGCGAGCCCATGGCGTAGTAAGCAAGCATGGCGGTTAAATTGATGGCTCCTGTGATGTAGTAAAAGATGCGGTGCCTCTGCGGCTTCATATGGCCGGCGATGATGACACCCAACCCGACCACGCCCATGACGGACATGATGGCGTAGTAGAAGTCGGAGCCATGGCTGGTGATGGCAATCGCGGCGCTTTTGCCATTCTGTGTCGGATTTGACGAGACGGCGTTGTTTCGCTTGAATAGCGGATGTAGCTGATTAGATTCCATGTTGTGGTCACAGAAGATGAAGGCCTGCACAAGAAATCGACGTCTCGGAAGTGGAAGTCGCAGTTGAGTTGCCACTACTGACAAGGTGTCTTCTCACTTATACCCACAGCAGTCGTCTCAGGTGGAAGTACCCCTTGGGCAGACTCGGTGCAGGCCGACACGAATTATATAATGATGATAGGTGTGCCTGCGGTATTTCGTCTCCAGCTGATTGCATCTTGGGCGACAGTGACTCGTACACTGCAAGAATGTGTGACGGTTGCGTCACGCCCCGGAAGAGCAGGATACAAAGGCCCAGTGTTGGGTATATCTTGTACCGCTTAATCTAGTCATGAGCTCATCATGAATTGGAAAAGACTCCATGCCGGCTGTGGGACCACCAGAAACACCTTGATCTCAGATATCGGATGCGTCAGGCTGCTGTTGACGGTCATTTGTTCAACACATGCATGGAAGCAAGGAATGAGCGGCAGCCACGGCTCTGATGTTGCGTGCTGTTCTGTTCATAGATACCCTCACATTGGTGCTTTTCGTCCATCATCTCTTTGAACTCCCCGATCATGGCGAACTTTAAGCGTGAAGTAGACTGTTGTTAAGACCGCGACTAAGGAAGCTTGTTCAGTGGAGGGCTATTGTGCATCGGCTGTTATGGGTTGCGGAAAAGTTAGCATAGAAGAGCTGTTTACCTTGCAGCGGTTCTACTATGCGGCGGTTGTATGGATCGTGCATTTCGAAGCTGATCGGAGGCAGGGCGATAGAAGGAGACGTCGTGATTGATGGCAGTCTGCTGGTTGAGTCCATTACATCAAGAAGCCTTGCGGGATCGACGCTAGCGCACGATCAATGTTGCCGCACCAATAGATATCTATCTATTTTGTATGACCTCCTCGTGGGGAAGCCCAAACAAGGAATGCTTTCTTGAGCCGAGAATCAGTGCCGGCCTACTATTCACAAGCAGCAGCGGTTGCGTTCCGTCGCTGCTGCGGAACCAGGATGGTGCTGAAAAACTGCTCGACCTCTCCTACCTCCTGTAGCCCGCACACAAGGGATACGTGCTGGTCGGGCCGGATGACTACGAGGCAACCCTCATCTTTGTCGACTCCCCATTTCGCATATGCATCGTCAAAGTCTCCTTCGTCTCCTGCGTTATTGTTCGCAAAGCATTTCCAATAGTCGTATCCAAGCTTTGGGTCGAAAGGGCGCAGGAGCTCGGGTAGGCTGAATAACTCGACCTTGTGCCGGGGAGCGGCGTGTATGGTCAAGACCTCGATGACCGAGTCGACCTTGTCGCCTGCTGGTGTGTACGTCCGGAGAAACGATGAAGGTGCATCCATGCGCTCACACAGAGTCCGTAAGCGTGCCATCTGTGAGGCTTTGCTTATATCGCCCGCGAGCACTAACAGACGCCAGCGGCCATCGGCTGGCAGCATCGAGTGGACATGGACTATATTAGCTTCCGCATGATTCAGTACCAGAAAAGAGGGTAGTCGCTGTCCAATGGGTATCTTGCTCGCTAATGACCGCCTCGAGAGCCCTCGAGTTTGTCTTGAATTGTCGAGATCGGGACAAGATTTGGAATCTCTTGACTCGTCTTCGCGTGCTGGTACAACCAAGGCATTGGGGCCATATTCCACACCAACTCCACTGAGAAACGTTCGAAACCGCTCATAGAACTCGTCGTAGTTGTGTGCATCCGAGCCCGCCCCTTTCTCATAGAAATCGCACATTTCTCGATCCATCTCTATCAGGGTTTGTGCGACCGATTGTCGTTCGGCGTTGTACGTGTCGAGAATGTCAGGCTTTGCGATACCTTTGATGACTTGGCCGAGCTTCCATACCAGGTTGTAAGAGTCTTGCATGGACACATTCATTCCTGCACCCATTGTGGGGGAATGCGTATGGACTGCGTCGCCGACCAGGAAGACCCGACCGTCTTTGCTGAAACTGGGAGCACACTGCTGACCCACGGTATATACCGACCACCAATTGCAGTGTTTGTATGACAGCTTGTACGGACTCAATATCTTGGAGGCCTTTTCTGTAATCATTTCCGGAGTGACCTTGCTTGTGTCAAAGTCATCGCCTTCGCTGCCTGTCTCGGCCAGTTGAACATAGAATCTAACGAGCCGATCTTCGCGGGGAAATGTCATCGTGCTGCCGGTCTTCGTGGAGTGAATGGAGCATGAGATGCGTATATCGGCTGTAAGAGGCGTTAGCGCTTCTTCAACAGCAATGTCGGAGGTTCATGCTTACGGAAGTCGGTGATAGGGACAATGTCCACGACCCCAAAGTGCACTTTCGTCTTGCCACCTTCTAGCCTGAGGCCAACCTGATCACGAGTCCAGCTGTGCCCGCCATCTGCACCTACCAGGTATCGAGCTTTTATGATCTCTTCCTGCGGTGGTCGCCCTATGCTTGTCAGCCGTGTAGTCAAGCACTCTTGGTATTTGAAGGTCCTTACAGCCTTGATCTGCTGTGTCTCTATTCGTTGCGACCGTGCTTCGTCCGATCCGTAGACAGATCGGATAAGCGGCATGGTCGGTCGTCAGAGCTTCATCTAGTTGAAGGGATTTAGTCGTCGTATTTCTCTCGACATTCAAACGACCTTCTCTTCGCAGGAAATCAATGAAATTCTGCTCAATGAAACCTTGATGGATGCCCAGTTGACAGAACCGGCCATGCTCTTCTTCCTTGGCCCGAACCCGCTCCGTTCGTTTGATTTTGCTTTCGTCTTCGGGATCCGGATTCTTGTCACAGTCAGCATAGCCAGCGCGAAGAGGCAGCCGTGCCGCACGTACCCAGGAGCAGATCTCTCGCAGTTGATAGGCCTTTTCATTGATTGCATTCGCCAGCCCAAAGCTGTCGAGTATCTCCAAAGTACGCACATGGAGACCGTCCGCCCGACCGGTTTGTACCCTGTCAACTTTATCATCGAGGATCCGCGCGTTGAATCCCAGACGACTTGCCCAAGCAGCCGCCATGAGCCCGGCCGGACCAGCACCGATGATGACGAGATCACTGTATGTTACTTTAGGAACCATGGTAAACCGGGCGCCCTCCGCCTCTTCGTGATAACAGTATCGTGCAAGAGGCTTGCACTTGTGTCTGAGCAACCTCGCGGGCAGGAGATCCTGCCTTTTGCACTAAGCGGCCTTGCCGGGGTTAATCTAGCAGCCTACAAGGGCAAAGAATTATGCGAGCCTGGTAGAGCACCTATGCTTGTGTCGTAGTGGAGACAGTTGGCAGATCCGAGCGCTTGAAGCCGAGGAGGAGATCGTTCTCAGGCAGATTCCAGTTTGAGCTTGTGCTACGAGTACGTACGGTGTACGGAGTACCTCGTACTTACCTCGAACGTTTTGCTGCGTCCCAGGTTCGGTACACTTCGAAAGGCTGTTAAGATGGGCGGATCTACAACCAGATCGGTGAATGATCCTGTTTCGTAGTGATGACCCATCTAATACTGAGACTTGGTCACGTGCTCCGGATATCCTATCCTGTAATGATCTCATTGAGAATGGCACGGAATAGTGGCACGGCAAAGTGAGGATGTCCCCGGCTGATGGGTGAATGATGGGTGACTGACACCCAACTGACGGAAGGGTGAGAGATGACGCTGGTTGTCGGCCGGGAGCCGGAGTGTTATGCCACCATCACCTTTCGATCCAGATGCATCGACCACGCGTTTCTGGCAAGTTTGTTTCGTCCAGCCGCGGGGCATCAATTCAGGTACTGGTGCGACGTGTTGAAGCACCAGCCAGGAACAGTTAGCGCCACTTCCAATGCCGACTGACGTCACTGGGCTTGGCACACACGCGGTGTCCCACGCCATGCTGTTTGTGCCATACATTGCGCTTCCTCTGTGTTTCGTACTCTTACGGGTATCTACAATGTACTTGTAACGTGGCTGAGCCGCGGGCAATCAATCTCCCGTGACACAATTCGTCGTGTCCTGACCTTGGGTGGCGTCATGTCAGGAACGCGCAGGATTTCTTGTCCAACGGAAGTAATTGCCAGCAGATCAGATTGACGCGGAAATTGTTTCCAGCCCTCGTCTCCCACCTCTGATAGCCACTCAGTGCAGGGCTCGTGGTGTAGCGAGCCGGAATGAGCTCTGCAGACATGTCGTGATCGCAGAGCCATCTGACTCCGGTCCACACAAGCATCACGGCACTTCTTCGATCTCCACACACGGATCGGCGTGCTGGCCATCTCAAGAGCTCGTTGGTCGGTACCTATCCCCCGCGCTGAGATCGCGCATGTGTCGGTTTTCAGATGTTGATCAGCTTATAACCTGCTAGATCCGCCTGAGTTTTTCCAATGGCCGGCTCTGTCTCAAGCAGGGAAATCTGTCCTCACCACACAACAGGACGCCATTATGGGATCCTACGAGGAACCGACCCCGGATATCATTGACATCCAGTCGGACGCCGAGAAAATCGAACTTTCCAAGGACACTGCCGAGTGTTTGAAGACTGAGCCCTCCAGCTTCTCGTCGTTGCTGCTTTGGAATGAACATGGCTTGAAACGCTTCGAGGCTGTCACCTACGCCCGAGAATATTACCTGACCAACTCCGAAATCGAGCTGCTCAAAGCACACAGTCACAAGATAGCTGACAGAATTGAACCCGGTTCCATTGTTGTCGAGTTGGGCAGTGGATGCTTGCGGAAAACGAAGATACTGCTGCAAGCACTCGACAACGCGAAAAAGCCGGTGGATTACTTCGCGCTCGATCTCTCACGTGCAGAGCTTGAGCGGACGCTGAAAGACGTGTCTCTTGGCACCTTCGAGCACGTTCGCTGTCATGGTCTGCTAGGGACTTACGATGACGGCCTAGTGTGGTTGCAACAGTACACTATTGCTTCGAGGCCGAGAGTTGTGCTCTCACTCGGATCGACCCTGGGCAGCTTCACACGACCCGAAGCGGCCAAATTTCTGCGAGGCTTCGCTGCTGCTATCGATCATGCTGTGAATGGGGCGATCAGGAGTGAACCTTTGATGGTGATCGGAGTGGACGGCTGTAAGAAGGCCGAGCAGGTCTGGCCTGCTTACAACGACGCCGAAGCTAGAAACGACGAATTCATCAAAAACGCGCTCGATCATGCAAACCAAATCCTTGGAAAAGACATTTTTCATCAGGACGAATGGGACCGCCATGGCCAATGGAACGACGAGCTTGGACGCCACGAACAGTACCTGGTGCCACGGAAGGATATCTGGTTCGAGGATCGCTGTTTGACAGCTGGTGAAAAGATCTTCATTGTTGCAAGCCACAAGTACGACGATAAAGATCGAGAAGAACTCTGGAAAGGTGCGGGCCTTAAGTTGGTCGATGGATGGCAGGTGCCAGAGACAAACTATGGTAGGTCACGTCCACCCGCTCCGTGCCGAGATACTGATATCAGAGCAGGGCTATATCTCCTGTCGGCGCGAGGGGCCAACACTGCCTGAAGGGTGAATCGATGAACGCCAAAAGTCGGCCTGGCCGGAACCCATGCTTACGTTGTGTTGCACATAATGGGTATACCCACGACTTGAAGGTTCTTAAAGGCAGAGCGCATCCGCATTGTTTAGCTTTCGCCTGAAGACTCTCTCCGGCTATCTTCAGCCGCTATGGGTACAAGGCTTCATTCTGCAATGGCCGTGCCTTGATCATAACATTCTACATCTGCTATTAGTTGCCTCCGCAACATTCTCATCCCTCGCTTCATACCATGCCGATTCCGTTCCTAACACCTCTCTGTTTCAAGCTCGCCGCCGCCAGGACCACGGTTTCCAAAGTTGAACGATGCTGGTCGATTCGGGTTCTTAAATCAGTCGTCGACTTCAAGGACCGTCAAAGGCTTGGTTTCGCGCGATTAAGACGAGCCTAATTTACCTCTCTTGGCCATTGGGACATTCACATTGTTAGTATAATGGGACGGTACCTGGCTTGGTCGGAACTCCGGACGAGTTCCATCTCGAGCCTTTCTTGCACGGTGTCCAGTACGCTGGATCATCTGTCCCAAGACTCTTCTTATCTGGCTTCATATCGAACGAACCATATGCTGTTGGATGGTTTTGGTGGGAACCTCCGGTGGGCCTCCCAGCTCAGTTTGGGACTTTCGTCCTGATGCCCCCTGCTAGATGGAGCTTGAGACCATAAGCACGAGTTCCCGGGGCTCCCTGCTCTACATGTCGAGGGTTAATGCGCTCGCCAGGCCGTCGGACAGTTGCCAGGAACAGTCAGGATAGATAATAGCAGAGAATCTAGTCATGTCGAATCCTGCAGAGTAGTGATTGATCTTAACATTGCGAAACGTTGCGGACCTTTATAAAATTCGGACTATTTCTTCCCGGGCTGCTATCGTACGTCGGTGGTCCCTTAGCAAAGTCTTCGGCCGGCGAGTCTTGAGACAGCTCTGAACGGCCACATTGCACTTATGAGTGTCAACCCGAGGGGATGCGTCGCAGCTGGCTGAAGACACCCCGACAGTTGTGCAAATGCTCTCTCCAAGGCGTGGGAACTTACATACAGTTTGATCCACAGTCCATGTAGGCAGACACGTCGGGATGGTGGAATATTTCCGGTTCTTGGTGCTCGTTGTCAAGAGAATCTTACGGCGCATAGTTTCTCTACGGGCGGAAAGAGACCGTCACAGGTATTTCGTTGTATGACCATGATTCCCTATGGACACAACTGCCTAGCTCGCTCTGTAAGGAGCCGACATGTTGATTAAATGCCACCCTTCGATTCGCAGACGTCGAACGCCGCTACACGACCCGTTACGAGTAATTATGAAGAGAAAGCGCTGCATAGCCGCCAGGCCAGCCCGAGCAAATCGACCGTCTCACCTCGCCCGCGGCTCCATCAAGCATTAAGCGCCTCTCCCAAGATAATTCTGTCGGCAACGTACCCCGTCACGGCCGCGAACACGGCCTTGTGCAGCAAGTCGATGATCTGTTCGCTGACAGGCCAGGTCCTATTGCATTGTCATAACGTCAGCCACCAAGAACGGTATCAACACGACGGGAGGGACGGTCCCAACTCATCGACTTACCAAGGCAGAGCGCCGACGCCGGTCCAGTTCTCCAACGTCTGGTCAACCAGCAACCGTACGCCCATGAAGATGTAGCTTCCAAACGGCCCGACAATGCCGTAGTAGCTCATAGCGCCGCGAACGCCGGCCGCGAGCATGCCCTGGCCCCAGTGCATCGCGTGGTTGATCCTCTCCGGCTGGGCGTGGAAGTCGAGGTTGAACAGCCGAGCGAGCGTCTTGCCGGGGACGTAGGAATTTGGCCGGTGAGTGAGTGCCTGCTCGGTCTTCTCGCCTAGTGTCATTCTGGGATATAGATATTAGTCTTCATCCGCACATTACAGCTCCTCTCACGTTGAGCGATGTTGACGAGGGGTGACTACATACGCAGCGACACCGACGGCGCCGGCTCCGATACCAATGGCTATGCATTCGATCAGCGAGAAGCGGATCTTCGGACGCGCGGGGTTCATGTAATTTTCCGGCATGGTTACTGTCTGGTTCGAGATGGTTGACTTCTGCTACTCGGGACGTGATCTAGTCAAGAAGAACCATGTCGGAGAGAGTGGTCAAAGGCTTTATCCGCGACGTGTAGAACATGACGTTTGTGGGTATCGGAAACGAAGTCCGGACGGCGGCTCTCGCTCTTTTCAGCCTCGTGAAATCAACGGCTTGCTGTACGATGGAGAGGAGCGCGACATGTGAAAGAAAGTCAGAGTCAATTCTTGTCCAAAGGACTACAATCTACCTACGTAAAACACTGCAGCTCGAGGAGGGGTCTTCATGATTGCAAGGACACCTAAACGCCATCCTTTTTAACTCGCCTCGACGTTGCTCGTCGCCGCAACACGCCGCTCATGCACTGCTGCCTCCTTGAGGAGGGCTCTAGCTATCTATAGCTATCAAAGCCACGTCTGAGACGCCGCAATTATCCCTCCACCCAGGGTTTTCCAGTGTATGCTACCGCAACCGTCCGAAAATGGCATATCGATATGCGCCCGGGCTACGAATCTCGATGGCCGACGCGATATCCCGCTTCTATCCTCTCCTCGCCTTCAGTTCGTTATGATAGTGACCCGACCTCTCAGCCTGGGCAACCCAGGCGGCCCAGATCGGTGGGAATGCCCGGTTTATAGTCTCGTCGCAGTCTTTCGCTTCCTTCTCATTCAAATACAGTATCTCCAGGTCCGTGTCACTCCGAAGGGACATGGCCATTGACTGGATGACGGCCGCTCGGCTCACGTGAATAGCCCTGTATACTGCATCCTCGAGGCGTCGGGCCCAGGTGACAAATCCGTTGCCTCGTTGAAAGACGACACTGTGGCCGGGTAAAGAAGCCATCCCGTCCATGTCGTCGCCGCCGGTAAATGACCTTGCCAGAGCATCACCAAGGTGTTTGTGATTGATCAGGAAGTTGTGTGGATGGGTGGGAGGCAGGGCAGAGTAATGGTCGGCGGGATTGAATATGGGACTTTGAGAGCCGACAAAGCCTGCCATATGATAGCTGGGCTGCAGGAGACTTCCGTGGCTGTTGCACAGCCCGTACACAATGGCATTGAGGTTGTGTGCATGGACAATGCTCTGCACCCCGGGGTAATACTCGTAGATGCAACTGTGGATGTAGTGCTCGGTGGTTTGGGGCACGACGTGAACGGTTTGACACCCACTGTAGGGGACGGCGACCGGAGACCCGTCAACATTCCATTGCGTGAGGTCGCCCTTGGATGAGACCAGAATGGCCGGCACGTTGCTGGTGAAGAAGGTGGAGGGGTTGTAGGGATTCCGAATCGAGATGTGACCGTGCTCGTCTAGTACTCCATGCTGGTGGAGGATGTGGAACGCCGTGATGAGACGCGACAACGTCTCGTCCAGGTATGTTTCCATGACGAAAGACCCCTGTAGCCAATGTATGCGTTGGGAGATGTATGTACGTCGAATCTGGATTGGTGTAGAGTGTCAAGGGCGTGGCATTCTCGCATACTTCGTTGTTCGATTTGCGGGCAACGATAAGCACGGCTTATTTGTAGGAACGGTGGGGACGGACGGGTGCACGCCGCAGAGCCCTTCTCTACCATGACGCTTGGTTCTGCAGTCCTGTGGGAGTACTATCTCTGCAAGTCAGCGGGCTGTCCCAATCCGCAGCACGCGACTTGTGCCGGCACTTTGCGCTTCTCATGAATCTCGGATGTTCTAGGCTCGCATTACCAGGTCGAGAAGATGGGATTGTAACATGCGCTGCTGAGGGATCTCGCCAGCCCTCGAATCAATCTCGGCATTGATCATGGTGAATGGCCACTGACTTTTCGTCCAGACACCTGGACTGCGGGGCGGAAGGAAAAAGGATCCCAAGAGCCACACTCATTGGTGTGCACGTCGCCACGCGCAGACACCAGCAGAGGCCTCGAGGCCGGAGAGAATCTCCAGCCTTCACCCAGGCTAATACACTTCTGGTAAAGTGCGGCCAAGCCTCGCTCCTGCCCCGGGGGACCAGCCAATCGCATGCGGGGTGCCCAACAAATCTCTGGACCTCACTTCCGGCGAGCGTCGATGATCGAGGGAGCTTTTCTTTGCCTGTCTCCTCCAGTCCCCTCGTACGGAAAAGAAGCCATACATACGCAGTAAGCGAACGCTCGGTACCCAGGACGAGTTCGACTTGCTGGGTAAATGCCTGTCACTGTCACGTGCCCGGTCCCCGCAACACGTACCCTTGTGTTCTTCTTTGCCCGACACATATCAGCCACGCCCACCCTCACGCCGGTATTGTCGACTCGGACCGTTAGAACAACGGACTACCTCAGAATCACCGGTCAATGGCATTCCCCTGGGATGCACCACCGGCGAGTCTGTCGAAACGTCGAGGAAGTCTATTAGCCAGTACTACGCCCTCTCGATCTGGTCCGTCTGTGCCTCAATCTCCGGCTTCGTCACGCAGAGGGTCAATCAGGGTTCGAGTCTCCCACGCGTGCGACCGATGCCGTCTCATGCGCACCAAATGCTCAGGGGGGAGTCCTTGCGAGAAATGCAGCAAGGATGGGGCAGCCTGCGTCTTCGGCGATCGGAAGAGAGAAAGAAACAAAAAGTATGGCTCGCGCGTCCGACCGACAGAATGAGCGTTTCACTGACACACGAGGTAGGGATCTCGCCGAAAGTCTCCTCCAAATTGAGGAATTAAAGACCAAAAACAGCATGCTCCTCGACGCTCTGAAGACCATCGCCGCCAGTCCGAATTTGGATTCAACCGAGACCGGCAACATTCGAGAAATGATACTCAACGTTTGTCCATAGACTCCTATGAAAGCATGACTGATTGGCGGATCTAGTGTGAACTGGAGGTACAGGGCACGCCTTCAATGACTCCAAGCACGCGAACCGGCGACAGCTCTCGGTTCCCTCCCAGCGTGGAGAGCACTCCTGAAGACGAGCAGTATACCGACGCTAGCTTAGGGTCGCCCGTGGGCCAGGACGTGCTAACCCATAGCATTGACGTGGGCCGCGGCAGGGGCGCTGTCGGGTTCATAGGGAAGATCTCCGAAGTGTCCTGGATTGCACGGGCGTACTCCTACCTCATCACTCCTGCCACCGAGGACTTCGCCATGCCAGAGAAGATCTCCAATCACATACCTGCAACACAGTTCAACTACTTCATGGACGATGAGGACCTCTTGAGCCTGGACGAGGACTACGTCGATGCACTTCATTGGCCGGGAGATCTGACGGCTCGGATCCTATGCGAGGCATTCTTTCACGCACTTCATGGTAGTTTTAACTGTCTTGCCAGAGGGCGTGTTCTCGAAGAGCTGAACAAGTTTCCACACAACCGCATGCAACTCTCATGGGACCAACGCAGGTGGCTTGCAGTTGCCAATCTGATGTGGGCCATCGGGTCGAAGTGGTTGCACCACGCCATGCTGGATGATGAACCGGGCATGGAATCCCATTTGGTATATTATGCTCGGGCTCGAGCACTGGGTCTAGACCATAGGGTCATGCTTGACAATCCGGGTCTGCATGGCATAAACGCCTTGGGACTGCTCTCCTTCTACCTGTTTACAAACGGCTCGGTCTCGAGGTATGTCTGGTATTCACAGAGCTATACGAACAACAGCTGACCGTTCTAGAGCATGGGCGTTGATAGGCTTGGCAATCAGGAACGCCACGTGTCTTGGTCTGCATCTCAGGGCTGTCGACAGTGCCTTGAGTCAGGTACAGCTTGAAGAGAGAGCTCGCTTGTGGTTTTCTCTCTACAGCCTCGAAGTGGCCATGTCAGAGGTCTTGGGAAAACCGCCGCTAACCTCTCTCGAATATACAACAGTTCCTGTTGAACTCCTCAAGAGCGCTTCTGTCAAGGATTCCCCCAGTGACACGGAAACCGATGACACGAGGAGGCTCTGGTTAGATTTCCTTCGCCGCAGGAGAGACACCAGCCAGACGATGCGCGGAGGCCAGGTACCCTGGCAAAACTTTCAATTCATTGGGTACGGCCCGCCTCTACAGCATATCTCTTCGCGGGCGCGCCTCTCGATCATCAGCAACCGTGTTATGACGCAACTCTACATGCCCAAATTGTCGCATTCATGGTCCTCGATGCAGAAGATAATCACCGGCCTCAGTATTCAACTGGTTGGCTGGGAGAATAGTCTGCCAGAAGAGCTAAATCTGAAGAGTACGATAGCCATGGGCACCGACCCACGTGCGAAGATTGATCTGGCATTATACCACCAAAGCATCAGGATGATCTTATACAGGCCTTGCTTGTGCCACATTCGCATTCCCAACGAATCGGACTACTCTAGAGACTTCAACCTCAGCGGCGCGAGGAGTTGTGTCCGCGCAGGAGTCACGCTGGTCGACATTCTCCCGGAGGATGCGTCTGCTCATGAAGCGTACCAGCTGCTCCCTTGGTGGAATCTGCTGCACTACCTCGGCCAAGCTCTCGGGGTCTTCATCCTGGAGCTCTGCCTGGACATGGAGCACTTTGACGGCGTAGCCGCCCACTTGACCCCTCAGGTGAGGAAGGCCATGTCGTATCTCTGGTGTCTCACCGCGGGCTCTTTGTCAGCGTACAAGGCGTGGCGGATATTTCGACATATGCTTTGGATTCTCAGCCTCCGAGTCGATAGTTTTGACGTCGTCGACATTCTGCTGGAGGCGCACATTCCAACAGGCTGGACGGTGAACGACGAGGCACTCCTGATGAACACTCTCCGACCGATCGGGGACGAGCCAATGATGTCGATGTGATATAGTCTCTCGCTGAGACGGAGACCGCGCGGTCAAAGTCAAAACATGTATGAAAGGGGGCACTATTATGATGAAAGTGACGAACCTGGCGGTGCCTGTTGTGTCACGCGCAGCTGTCTGGCAGGGCAGCCTTTTCCACCTAAAACGACCGGACGACGGATACCACAGACCACGGACTGCGAAATCGTCAAACTGAAAACGGTCATACTGCAACCACCTTGCCCGGACCAGAAAGCACGGCACCCCGTCGCAAGCGTGTTTTGGGAACCCAGGCATTTCTCTGCGGTACGGCTAATGGGGCTATCACAAACAACATTACCTCCTGCCGTGGCTGGGAATTACCAAGGACAATAACGTCACGGCAGCTCGCAACACGGACAGCCCACACTAAACAGAGAAACTGTGGCCGCCCCCTTGGTAGGGTTGCACAGCGGCCGCGAGTCGCTGCGCATACCGAGATCGGAAGTCGGTGCCGCTCGAAACGAAGGAGGAGATGAGCAACATGAGGCTTGTTCATATGGACACAAGTGTGCTATGCAATCCCTGCTGCATGTTCGCATGAGGAGGTGGAGATGAAATATTGGCCTCGGCCTTGTCTCCACAATCACATGTGCCCCCAACATACCGTCATGCGTGATCATTGCTCAACATGAGCCTGATGCGGCTCGGCCACCATCCTTGCGTGATAGGCACAGCCATAGAAAATAAACCCAAACTCCAGCTGCTTGTGGACGAATTCAAGGCTCAGAGGAGATCTCCTGTCTTGCTTTCGCACTATCGTCAAATGGCTTCAATGCTGTCTTCGCGGGGCCGCAGAGCTGGAGACCTTCCGGACTGAATCGACTGCCATGGATAGGGCAATCCCAGGATTTCTCGTCATTATTCCAACACACCACTCCGTGCAGGTGGGGACAAAGCGCGCTCATGCGGTGAATCTGGCCGTTCTTGTCTTTGTACACGGCTTGTGGGCCTTTGGCAGTCGGGTTGAGCACACCACCTTGATCGAGACCTAGATCCTCAACGTCTTTGATGTCCGAGTGTGCAAGGCGCTTGTACTGTGTGTTGATCTGGACGTCGTGCTCAACCATGCTTGGCAGTTTTGAGAGGATAGAGCTTTTACGCTTCGGGTCATAGGCCTTCGACCAAGGGTTGTCGATCCCTTGAATTTGATCCGCGATGAGTCGCCCAGCAAGCACGCCGTGGGTGAGCCCATTTCCAGAGTCGCCGGTGATGACGTAGATGCGATTGTTGCCCGAGTTCTTGCCGATGAATGCGTTGTAGTCGACCGGGTCAAAGATCTGGCCAGACCACTTGTAGTCGACGCTGCCTGCCTGTGTGAAGCGCTCGCGAGTCCAAGTTTCCAACTCCTTGTATCGCTCCTCCCATTCGCCTTCCTGTCCCACCTTGTGATCACAACCACCAACGACCATGTAATCGTCTTTGTCGTCGCAAACCGTCATGCGGATGTATTTGTACGGATCGGCCGTATCGTAGATGAGGCAATCTTCGACGCTGCCTTTGGGTATTCTGATCGCAATGCAATATGTCCGATGGTACTCCAGCTCGGCAACGACACTCAACATCTGGAGAGGTATGACAGTCGCCTCGACCGCGTGGTGGCACGTGATCACATGGCCGTCGACAGTTGTGACTGTAACATGCTTTGGACCCAGGTGCAGATCGACGAGCGGGACGTGTATACCACTCTCATTTATCCTCAAGGCACGGGTATGTGTGTAGCATTGGAAGTTGGGTTGCTTCTTGAGCCAGTTCAGTACTCCCACGAGGTACTTGGTGGGGTGGAAGGTCGCTTGACGCCCAACAATGTTGCCACCTCGCTGGTCTGGTTTCCCGTCCCACCCTTTGATTTTGAGATTTTCATCGTGTGCGAAATCGAGGCCGAGCTGGGAGGCAAGCTCGGCTTCCTCCTTCAGCTCCTTCATGTCCTCGTCATGTTCCTTGGTGCCCACGGAGTACTGGGACACATCATACGCCTTCAGCATACGATATTCGCAGTCGATCCCGAGCTCCTTTGCAACGTCCCCAACATGCTTGATCGCCCAGTCGTGTGACTCTGCCGCGGCTCGTGCTCCCTCTCTTCCGAAGACCTTCTGTATTGCTATGTACCCATCATCAAGATCCGACGCCAGATGACCCGATGTTCGACCGGTCTCTCCTGCACGACCCGTTAGCTTGATTGTTCCCGTCCAGAAGCAGACGCCCACCTGAAAGTATGTCTCTGGCTTCGATCATAACAACATTGAGTCCTCTCCTCACACATTGCTCTGCGACAGAGATGCCAGAGATGCCAGACCCGATGACGCAGACATCAGTCTCGATGTCTTTCTCCAGTTTGGGGAACTGGGGTCGGTGGGAATATGGTTCCAGATGGACCCAGACTGAATCATTGGCTCCTGAGGTCCTCATGAACTGGTTTGGATCTGAGGATTTAGGCATCTTGGCTGATGAAGCTAGACCACGGACAAGTCTATGGGGATAATTCCTGGGGATTCGTGAGCAAGCAACGTAACCCGGAGAAAGTGTCGAGGATCGCGAGATCTGTTGCACGCGGATAGCTCTTGCTGAGAGTGAGCGTGAAGCCGATGACAAGAGAAATAGCTCTGAAGCAAACCGCATGGCTCACACCCCGCCCTTAGAGATCCTGGGAGACGTCCTGCATCAAGCAAAGAATCATCTGTCCTGCAGGTGAGGCAAGTCCAATAAGTTGACTCGCTGGCGTGCAAGGCAAAGTTGATGACAAGCACGATTTAGTCGAGACGTCAAAGGCTCGCTTGTCACTTCCGCTTCGAATCAGATGCCCGCATTCTCACTTCACGTTGCTCAATCGAGGATTGTATCGCATAGTTCCGGATGTCTCATGATCAATATGGCGGACGAACAAGTACTCCATGACCCTTCGCTCCTCCCCTCAGCGTCAGTCACAAAAGCCACTACACGTCCTCGTACGAATACTTCACAGGGCTGAAGCTCATACGAAACTGAGTGCGGGGAGCTGCCGTCAACCTAGAACGATCCCGACTATACGAGGTACGTGGATGCCAGAGCCGTGGAGGCCACAGAAGGAGGCGGGACGATCCGACGTCATCGGGCGTGGTGGAAGCTGAATCCGGTGACAATGACTTCATAGCGACGTAACTCATTTGCAGCTCAAGGAGGCTCTCCGGAAATATAACCCGAGATTGTCACCCAGGCAATTGCGCGATTCGTGCGATCGCGTTGCGGGAGCTTTCTGTGGAAGTGGAAACAATTGCGCCAAGGACCACTTCCAAGCCAACAGTTCAGCAAGACGGGGGGATGTTAGAACTCGACTGGCAGAGTAAGTAAGTGACCAGACTCATTAAGTTCGGAGATTTAGAACTGGACTCCCCATGTCAGTTAGATCGTACGGCAGCTCGGCAGCTTGGTCGAAGCCCGCGTTCTAAGCACACAGTACATCGCTTTGCCTGTTACTGGGACTGTTGGATTGGCTGTCGTGCACGAGGTTTGAAGTGTTGAGTGCGCCCCAACCCCAAATCTTTGCTTTGGGATCCGCACGTACCGCAAGAACGTACGAGTACGAGGAACACGGTAGCACAATTCCCGGTTTCTCATCTCATTTCAGTCCCCGGCCATCGCCATCAAACACTGCCAACCCGTCCAGTGCGCCCGAGGCATGTGTCAGCCTCAAATGCTGGTGTCTACCCAGTCCTGTAGACGGCGTGACCCACACCATATGCTTCCATGCGTCAGTCGACTGGCACATGCTACGATGTCGATGCTCGCCTGCAGCTTGACCACTACTTGCTCGCCAGACCGCGCGCGCGCGCGTGGAAGAGGCTGCTTAGGTAGATCCCCCGCACCTGCCTTTGCATTGTGCATCCATATTCAGATCACAGCACGATGTACTCCGTAGTTGGCAGACGCCCGACAGTGTGTCCCCAACCTCTTATCGTGACGTACGGCACAGAGGAGAACACAGTGCGTCCTATCTGTGGCTGAACACGTGCCAGCGATCTCCAGCTTCCGGCAAGCTCTCCCTTGACCAAGGCCGACGGCACGACTCGAGTTAGGCATGGTATCATTGCCCTCTATTGTAGCCGGTATCGTAGATCCTAATAGTTCGGTTTGGCTGCTTGATAGCCGGGGTTGAAGGGCGGGCCTTTTCAATGTGCACTCCCCACGATTCCGAAAAGGCATGATCAGGTACGGGTCCGAATACATGGGGCAGGATCGTTCAGGGCCATCGAGAAGCGAAAGCAGAGCCTTCGGGAGCAACATTTCCGGTGCCTTTGATTGGCGAGAGCTGGGATCCTTCTCCCGCAAATAGTCGTGACGCGGTGACGGCAAATGTTTGATCGATCTTTCGTCATAAGACACACACCACGCAGCCACCTACACAGTAGGTGGGAGCATCTGACCTTTTGGGTTCATCCGTGGCAAGACGAGTTCCTGCACTGTCCAAAGCATGCACTAGGCTCCGCACCGTCTATACCACACAGCATTGTCTGCTTGTTTTCAGATTTTATGGCAGCCTCTACTCCACAAGAACTGGCTCCGTTTGTGGATGTGGATGAGGATCTTGACACGCAGCCACATTCGCGGGAGTTTGCCTCGCGCAAGAAGGTGAGCCTTGCATGTCTCGCCTGCAGGAGACGCCGGACCAAGGTATGTTGCTCCCTCCAGTCCTGTCGTCCGGCCAGGCTGACCCACTAAGTGCGATGGCGGTGTTCCCTGCGCCTCATGTCTTTCTCGCAACACCGAATGCGTCAAGGACGTGAACGATGATGGTCGGCGCAAGCTGGTTGTGAAGCGCAGGTTGGAAATACTGGAAAAAGACCGCGGTCTCCTGGATGATCTGCTCAGGGCGCTTCGAGTGGCAGGGCCCAACCAGTTGAACGCCCTCATTAGTATGATACGGGCCGACGCTGGCGCGCAAGAGATCAAAGCGTTTTTAAAGGATGGATTCAGCAACGTTGGCGCCGATGATGACCACCAGAACCATCGCCAACAATCATACAGGAGACATCGCCACATGCTGGGACGGATACAAGATTTTGTCAACCCTCCCCTACAAGTCCCAGCAAGACCGTGGACGACCGTGACTGACGACGATGATCTCGTCTCGCACCTCATGTCTCTCTGGTTCACTTGGGCACATCCTTGGTGGCATTGGGTAGACGAAAAAGAATTCATCAAGGCGATGCAAGCAGGGGACATTTCAAGTCTGATATGCACGCCTTACCTGGTGAACATGATTCTGGCAGACGCCTGTGTGAGTAAAGCTTCATTGGCACTTGGTCGGACGCTAGATTTGACTGACCGGATGGCCGCTAGTTGCTTGATACCCTGGCGAATGATGGCTCGGAGCCGAACTTGGAGCTACGACAGCAATTCTACAACGAAGGGAAAAGGGGACTCGATGATGAAGAAGGCCATGTCTCACTGGCGTATGTAGCCACTCTGGGTGTGCAATGGACTTAGTATGTCATCACCTCCCACGCCTTCATCATTGCTGACGAGATTGTGTGCGAACAGCCTCAACACAAATGGTCAAGACCAACTGGGCAATATGATATTGTATCAGCAAGCTATGCTGGACAAAAGCCTCGCCAAGTGGCGCGCAAAAATCGAAAAGAACCCCAACGTGACACCGGATCGTCTCCATGCCGTCGATCAGTCGCTCGGCCGCCTCGAGTGGACGTTATACTGCCTCAACTTATTCGTTGGGCTCGCGCTGGAGCAGGTTCGAATATTTGAAAGGCCGTCTCGAGAGATACCCGTGGATGACCAAGACCGTCGAAATCCCTGTAACGAGCACGGTGAATGGAGGCCATACCCCGTTCCGCATACACCCATCGAATGGCACCCCAACTGCCACTACCTGGCATACGTGTCACTCGCGGCCGTGATCACGGCCGATGAAGCGCTGTACGAAGAGCAGCGACAATCGGACCCTCAGAAAATGATGTACAAGTTCGAACGGCTCTTTAGAAAGGTGAAGTCTTGGCCAGAGACTATTCCAGCGTGCATGAAAATGCACGAGCGCGCAATGCCACATATCATTGCGTTACAGTGAGTGATTGATCCTGCTCCTCGATGGCTTGTTCTTCCCCCCTCCTGGTCCCTCTTCTATGGTTACGAAAGGGACTCTCTTCCGACGCTGACATCTTCCCCGTTCATCGGATTTAAAGTGCACTCCACAGCTGGGTTATCATTACCATGTCCAAACAGACCGCCTCCCTCGAGGGACACACGGAAAAGCCTTCCCTGTTGTCAACGCCCGAGTCACCTGAGAAAGAACGGTGGAAAGACATCTGCATTGCCGAATCGATCCGCATCAGTGGACTACTGGAGATGATGCGCCAAAAATGGGGTGCCGACCACTTTCCCGTCATCATCATTCAACCCGCCACCATAGCGGCCTTCGCTCTGCTCGAAGACCTGGAGTCGCGGCCTGACTCCCAGCAGGCCTTTTACAACCTCTGCATGATCCTTCGCGCGGCAAGCCGCAGGTTCCGGGTTTGTAAGGGAGTTCTTCGTCTCTTGGAAAAAACATCGAAAGAAAGCAACCTCACTCTCCCCGATGGATGCGGCGACTTGCTTGCCGAAACCACCAACGCCATGCAGCTGGACGACGTGCCGACGAGGGTCGACGATCTCGGGTTGGATTATCTGCTCGAGAAGTGGGACGACCTGGATCTCGACGAGGCGTTTTGACGTCCTGGACGCCTATGTCTTCCTGAGGAGCCCCTGCCGCAATCTCCGAGGAGTATTAGATTTGGGGGAGCGGAGTTGCGAACTCGAGCAGCCCGCAGGACCATGGCTGAGGTCGGAATCCGGGTAAAGGTGTTCTCGGCTCTGGTTTCAAAAATGCTGCGTCGTCGCAGATATGCTGTTAATGTTTTAGTATAGCCATGGTGGAGCAGGCTGTCTTCTCTCGTCCTCCTGTACTCAGATACCATAAGACGTGTACTGCGAATGAAATTGATTTTCTTTAATAGATTGAGTGCTTGACGGGTGGCGCGTGGGCTCAAATGCACCGACGAACGCTCACAACCTGTCGATTATCCTTCCCATGAGCAGTCTGACTTGGGCCGTGTCTGTCGCGCAGAGGTAGTTGTCCGGGTATCTCGTCTGGCCCATGGAGATGAACCTGTTGGCGATGTACTCGCGGGCCGCTGCGTAATCGGCGCCGCCTGATTCGGGAACGGTCAGCATAAATCGAGTGTGAAACTCGTCTCTCGGAACAACTGCCTCACCTTGGAAATCTGGAAAGTAGGCCTCCAAGGGCGAATGCTTCAGCTTCTCCCGGAACAGATCCGTCTTGTTGAAGACCAGCTGGACGGCCGTGCGCCGGAACCACTGCGACTGGCAGATGCTGTGGAACAGATCGAGGGCCTCCTGCAACCGGTTGACCGACCCGTCCTCGTACAGGGCCTGGTCGTACTCGGACAGGGCCACCAGGAAGAGCACGAGATCGACGTCCTCGAAATGGTGCATCCATTTCTTGCGTTCGGATCGCTGCCCGCCCACGTCGATGATGCGGTACACCGTGTCCGTGGACGACGTCGAGGTGGCTGTGAAGGAGAACTCGGCCACGCCCGTGGTTTTCTGCCTCGAGCGAAGGATGTCCTGGTCGTTGGGGACGAAACTGTCGGCGGCGATCCGGTCGATTTGGTCAAAGTAGCTGTGCAAAGGAGTGCGTTAGTTGTCAGTGTCGGCGGGAATGTCACCGTCAGCGGGTGGTGGCGGCAACGTACTATTGCGCCGAGTCACAGACTTGGAACTCGCTGCACCGCGAAAAGCAGGCCCTGACGCCAGCGTCGTCCCACAGCGTCTTCACAGCACCGTACACGGCGGGCGACAGCTCTCGGGCCGTGATTTGTTGCCGGTGCGAAAAGATCAGGCTCGCGTGTGGATTCGCGGTGGCGGGACTGGCGAAGGGGATGCCGAACACGTCCATGGCCTCGAGGACGGCCTGCATCGACTGGACGATGTTGGTGCAGATGACGCCTTTGAAGAAGGTAAGTTCTTCGTCCGAGTAGCCTCCGCCGTTGATGAGCTTGAGCTGCTTGAGCACCGTAGACTTGCCGCTGTCGCCGGTGCCTGTGGTGGGGATGCCAATGTCAGGGAATGCTTCCCAGACGTCCAGACGAGGCGTACGTACCGAGCATGAGGATCTTGATCTCCCGCGTCCGCGACATATGGTCCAATTTCAGCTCCTTCTCGATCTGGTTGTGCTCGGCTCGCCCGTCATCGTCCTCCTTTGTGAACGTGCAGCCCATGGTGTTTTGCTTCGGTGCAGGAGGACGGTACTGGGGCACAGAGCACGAGGATTCAAGTCAGGATTGCATGCAAGGCTAGTATGAATACTGGAATGTGTCGGCAATCACCGAGGAATCAGTTGACGTAGAGCGGGTGCGGGTGTTGGGTCTCACAGATTTCAGAGGTTGATGTGAGAGAAATTCCAGAATCGAACTTAATAGTTCTTACCTTTCGCACCCTCAACGCGTGCCCCTCTCGCACACGATGTAGCACCCATGTTTGCTGCCCTCGGCAACTTTGTCTCCAGGGGGCACGTTGTTGGTGGAGATGCTGGCGGTGCTGGAGATGCTGGGTACTGGAAAATGCACTAATTGCTTGCCCATGCGCCGGTGACCGCGTTTCCCGTGCGAGCGGCGCGTCTTGAACCTTCTCTGGACTGCGGAATCCCAAGTGATTACTTTCGCTTAACACATGGAGTGCATCATGACGTTCGGCGTTTCCATCTAGATCTCTTCACCCATGCAGTTAACTAGGGCAAAGCCCCTCTTCGCCCGATCTCTTTGACTCCGTACCCACGCGGCTTGCCAACTTCCTGGGCTCGACTCTATTGGTTTGGGCGCTGGAGCTAATGCAGGACGGCTGGGAAACGACCCTGGCGTGACATTTCAGCTCGCAGATACTTGGGTCTGGGCGAGTCAGGGATGCGGAGCAGGAAGAGGCGGAGGCTTTTTCCGAAGCTGGACGAGCTCTTCTGATCGGTCGGCTGCCTTGAGCTCGGGCGGGATACAGGTCCGTGGGCGAATCATACAGTACTGAGTACAGGTTGGCCAGATTGGCACGGAGTACGAGGGTAATACGACACAAGTTCGTGCGGGAAGCACGCTTCTTTGCACCCCCAAGGACGTGCAAGGCTAGCCAGACAGCCGCGACCAGTGACACAGACGATCTCGTGTCCGAACCCGGAAGGCTGCTCATGCCCCTGGCGATGACCGAAGGATCGAGCAGATCTTCAGAGCTTGCTCGAGGACGTGCATCGGCCCAGTCCACCTCCGGACGCTGCGTTCTCCCCTGCTTGAGGAAAGCTGCTTTTAAATCGCCGGGCATCTATTCGTGCGCGACCACGCTCATTGCTGAATGCGTTGATCTCTAGCGCTGGTCAAGATTCCTGCTCCCTGCCAAGCACACCGCCGAACTGTTGATATTGTCTGCCCCGATGCAGGCCTTCTGCGCCTCCCTCAGTGAGGACCCGAGTCCAGTCGAACTTTCGCCACACCTTTCTGAACCCATCGACTCTCTTGTCGGTAGCTCGGTGCCAGCGACCTTGCTTCTTGATCACATCCGGCTCAAGCCCAAGCATGCCTCCAATGATTTCTCGCGCAAACAGATCCCCCCTGGGCCACCGCTCCTGGTCCTCGACAATGTGCCCAAGCCCACCATCCAACTCGAACCACACGTGAAAATAAGGCGCCTCTTTGACGAGAGTCCTGCGGAAGGCCAGCTTTCCCAATCCCCCTGACTTCGACTTCGCAAGGGTATCAATTATCTTTTTATGTTGCGACCATTCGTCCTCTGTGCTGAGAAAAGCTTCCTTGAAGAATGCTGGTGCGGTCTCACCGAGGCTGTAGGGTAAGGGAATCACTGTGAGAGCGGCGTGCGGTTTCCGATGTGGAAACGCGGCGTTTTCGTAGAAGATGACATCGCGGCCTTGGTCGTGGAACAAGCGCGTCAGTGACTTCATGAAGTTGCGGATCTCTTCCCACTCGTCTTCATCACACTCGAGTAAATTCGTGCGGTGTTGAATTGGGACAATCATCGCGGACTGTGGTGAGAGTTCTGGTTCGGTCGGTAGTGTAAGATAGGTTCTTGTCGCAAGAGAGACGACTGGAGCGATGGGCGGGGTATCGGTGTCTTCATGATGGCACAACGGGCAGTTTTCAAGGATCTTGTTGAGCTTCTGGTATTCACCGATGGCCATATTGCGGAGGTTCATGTCGGACTTGTGGACACGCTTTGCCAGCTTGGTCGCATTCTCGTCCATGTACTCGAGATCGTTGTCAAATTTTGCATCTTTGGCTATCCGTTCCGCAAGGCGAAGCCCATCACCGCCCGGCTGGCCACGAGTTCGGCGTTCTTCGCGGACCATATCCTCAATGCTCATGTCTTCGTTCTCTTCCACTTGACCACGATCGGCTCCTCGTCGATTTTGGACAGCTTTAACTTCATTCCGTGGTGCAGATGACAGCATCCGGTTATCCATGGCGGACAGAGTTATGACGGCCGGGTCCTGTGACTCCAAGGCTATCAACGCATCGTTGTACTCTTTCTCCAGTTCGGCCGCTTTAGGGTCTTTTCGCATTTGAGCTTTCATGAGTTGTGCCTTGAGTTTGTTGAGAGCTGTTTGATCGACTCTCTGAGAAACGGTATGGGTGGCTGGTACAGGCAGCTGCTCAAGTACGCTATCCGGGCTGGTCTCCGTTTCTCGACGGTGAGGCCGCCTGACCCCGGCGTCGAGCTTTCGCTCCTGAAACAGATCGCCACTGGGTTTGTTCTTCCCCACATAGTCGTCTCCATATGCCTTTCGTCGATCGAGTTCGATCTCTTCCTCTCGCGCATCGTCGAATTCCCGCAGGCTGTCATACCGCTCTAGGGCGACATCTTCCACCTTACGGCCGGTTTCTTGAGCTTGTCGATATATCGCTTTCAACTTGGTCATGCGCCACTGAGATCCAGCATCTCCGAATGTGTAATCAACTTCATGCGCAGCAGGTTGGCTTTCGAGATCATCAACGGCTGTACCATTCTTCAAGTCCTGTAGGTGGTGGTTCAGTTCCTTCTCATGTATTTTTAACTCGAAATCTGCGCCTAGATTGTTTGGTTTCGGGGGAGAAGGCTCCGGCCTCTTCCTCTGTACGTAGTCGATATCCAATGCCGAAGGCGCCTCCATCCATGAATCACGCTCCAATTCGCCCAGATCGGGCCTCTTTGACGGCGGCTGTGGCTCCTCTTCGTCGCCGTCCTTTCCTCCTCTGCTGTGGCGGTGGTGCCTGTGCCTATGTCTGCTCTCCAACTCATGATCATCCCTTGAGCGCTTCGATCTCTTTGAGCGATGGCCGTCCTCGTCATGGTAGTGTGAGTCGTGGTGTCTCGAACTCCGATGGTGGTGTCGATGGCGGTGCTCGGATCTGTCGTGCTCCTTGCGCTTTTCTCGACCTCTCTCCGACTCTTTCTGCTCCGCCAACTCTCTCTCAAAGTCTTCTAGGGCCATTCGGTGGCGTCTCGAGCGTTTGCAACGGATGGGGGAAGTTCTATTGATTGAAGGTGATGAGACTGATTTTGCGCGGGGATTCATGGAGATACCTTACCGGGAAATGACATCCTGGCACGGATCATCACATGTCTTTTAGCGCGTAGCAAAAGTCATTACGAAGGCATTTCAACGATTTTCTGTAATTTTTCCCGCTGATAGGTCACTGCGATCTCCAAAACTTCCCAGGTCTGTCAACTCTTGCTTCACTCGACGACACAGTGACCACGAAACTTGTGTGTAGACAACATCATGGCGACTCAACCTGTTGCTGTAGTCTGTATCGGCATGGCCGGTGAGATGATCCGACTTCCCGTTGTACTGCAGGTTCTGACTGTGTGAAACAGGTTCAGGCAAGACAACGTTCATGCAGAGAATCAACAACTATCTGCATGTGAACAAGAAGAAACCATATGTCTTGAATTTGGACCCTGCAGTCCTCAACGTCCCATTCCAGCCGAACATCGACATTCGCGATAGCATAAATTATAAAGAGGTTATGAAGCAGTACAACCTGGGGCCTAATGGCGGCATCCTCACTTCGCTCAACCTATTTGCGACCAAGATTGATCAAATCATTACCCTGTTGGAAAAGCGAGCGAATCCTCCGCCGGACAGCAAGGTACCGGCCCCGAAACATTTCCTGGTCGACACACCAGGGCAGATTGAGGTTTTCGTTTGGTCGGCGTCGGGCAGTATTCTTCTCGAGTCTTTGGCATCGTCGTTTCCAACTGTCATCGCCTATATCATTGACACGCCGCGCACCTCCTCTACGTCCACGTTCATGTCCAACATGCTCTACGCCTGCTCGATCCTGTACAAAACCAAGCTTCCCATGATCCTCGTCTTCAATAAGACGGATGTTCAGGACGCGGACTTCGCAAAAGAATGGATGACGGATTTTGACAAGTTCCAAGAAGCCTTGGATGAGGAGCAGCAGAAAGGTGTCTTCGGTGGCGAAGGATTTGGAGGTGGGAGTGGTTACATGGCCAGTCTGCTGAACAGCATGAGTCTCATGTTGGAGGAGTTCTATTCACATCTCAACATGGTGGCTGTGTCCAGCATGACTGGTGAAGGGGTTGATGAATTCTTCGAAGCTGTCGAGGAAAAGCGGAAGGAGTTTGAACGTGATTACAGACCAGAACTGGAGAAGCGAAGGAAAGAGCGCGAAAACGAAGGTGCTATCAAGCGCGAAAATGATCTTACGAAGGTTATGAAAGACATGAAAATGGACCCCAAAGCCGAGCCCAAGGAAGCGGGGGCGGAGGACTCCGACGAAGACGACAGTGATGAAGAAGACGAGGCAGCTGATCCGGATGATTTCCCTGACGCGACACGCGATGACGACGAGGAGGGTTTGAAGCGAAGGTATAGAAATGCCCTCCGAGAACAAGGCATCCAGGTGGATGATGATGACCCAACGGTTGCGCGGATGCTGGCAGAGACGAAGCGAGGAGGATGAGTTCCGACGAGTGCATCAAGCACCTTTTGTAAAGAATTCGACCTTTAGCATGAGATACCCAGGAGCGGCGTTAACGAGAGTGCCTTTGAACTTCAATTTATTTCGGTTCCTCAACCGTGATGACTACCCATGGCGTGTCCATGTCCAAAGCAACATTCAAAGTAAAATCTGTACATATCATGTTTTCGTTGGACTTAAACAAGAGCGGTGCACAAAGCACTCATGGTATCGAAAGCCCATTTCAGAGTGAAGGGGAAATGCCAAGACTCAAAGGGGACCCACAGCCCACAAATCCTGTGGTAGGTGCGATTTTCGATATCGGAACTTCAAGTCGACCTTGCAACCGCGCCAACTTTCGACAATTCCTCCATCGCACACCGCACACCACTGCTCAAGATGAAGTACATCTTCTCCCAAGAGCAGCTGGTCATCCCAGACAATGTCAAGATCCACATCCGCTCGCGCATCGTCACTGTCGAGGGGCCCCGAGGTACGACCACTACCGACACTGAGGAGTGTCCACGAAATAATTGAGAAACACGGAGAAGCTTGGAGCTGACACTCTCGCTTTTCCTAGGCAAACTGACCAAGGATCTTTCTCACATCGCCGTCACTTTCACCGTTGGAAAGGACAAGGCCGGAAAACAACTGGTCCAGATTGAGATCCACCACGGCTCGAGAAAGAATGTCGCTACCCTCCGAACTGTCAAGTCACTCATCCAGAACCTCGTGATCGGCGTCACAAAGGGCTACAAATACAAGATGCGATATGTCTATGCTCATTTCCCCATCAACGTCAACATTGAAAAGAACCCCGAGGGATTGTATCAGTTGGAGGTCAGGTAAGCGCAGGCGCTCGCATGGCTTTATCTTCTACCTGCACCCACCTGCCGGGAAACAAGGAAACCCTATTTCCCAGATCGAGCCATGATGGAGGACGAACGACTAACAACTCGATTCTCATAGAAACTTCTTGGGCGAGAAGATCGTTCGAAACGTCACCATGCACGAAGGAGTTACCGTGGAAGCCTCAAAGGGTGTCAAGGACCAAATCGAACTCACCGGCAACAGCCTGGAGAACGTATCACAGTCAGCTGCCGACCTGCAGCAAATCTGCAGAGTGAGGAACAAGGATATCCGGAAGTTCTTGGACGGTCTGTACGTGAGCGAGCGGGGAAACATCGTCGAGGAGTAGATGATCTGGACACATACGGGTGGTTGTGCTATCGATTACCTATGGATCTGTGAAAGAAGGTCCCGAGGCGCAATGCATCGGTGGACAACAGCGCCATGCTTGGCCCCTATGTGCCAGCATGGCTTCGGTCCCTGAAGCAGGAACTCGATGGTCTTTCGACCGGTCAAGGCCTGACCAAGGGGTAGATGAGACAAGAAACATTTTCCAAGTTCAGCGAAACAGCGAAGGTCTTGAACAGACTCTATCTTGGTCACATCCTGTGGTTCTCATGCTAGCGATCCCTTGCTGCGTGGACTCGAAGGCCCGTCATCAACATCCCTCCAGCCAACTCCCCAGCCCTAGACCGTACTTATACTGGTCTTCGCTTGTTTCCCCAGCAGGGCTTCGACCTTTGATATCTGAACCGACCCGATTGGAGCTACTACTCTCGCTCGTGGCTGCAGGTAGGCGTGGCCCGTTGGATGCGTGTACTTGTCCCGGTTCATTTATTAATAGAAGTCCTCGACTCTCGCCCAATTGTATACATCCGTGGCGGTGAGCAGCATCGTGACTTTTCTGCAGGCTTCGTAGCCCTCAAAACCCCCGTGTGGTCCTGGGACAGGCATCCAGGCGACGACGAGTGACTGACGTGCGTGCCCATCCGCTTCAGATATGCTACGAGAAAATATCTAGTCCTCTCGTCCACCCCGTCAGAGGCCAGCGTTCCATTGGCGGAAGCTTTCCTCGTCTGGTACGAGTATATTGATGACTTTCTACGGAAGCCAGACTGAACCGCAAATTGTCTCCGGGTAGAGTGCAGCCAGCGCAGCCCATTCGAGATGGAACATGCCGATCAAGGATCAAGCCGTTTCCTTCCACCCTGTTACTCGGACTTGAAGCACCCATAACTTCTTTGCGCAATGCTTTGATGATGATCTTTCCTATGCTGGGGCTGCAGAAAGAGGCTGATGCAAGTTTTCGCGCCATCATACTCGCACTGCCATCTGCACATTTGCGAGTGAGCACGCGGAAGGAACTTTCCCAACAGGCCAGTGATTAGCGCGGCCGCGCTTGCAATTCCGGAGGCTACAGCCGTCACACCGGAGGTAATGGGACTTGGATAAAACATCCGGCACAAAGGCCAAAGTGACAGACAGCGATGATCAAAGCCAACAGAACGCGTGGTCCGCTTCTCACTACCACTACGAGTCCTGTAACTTGGTTGGTTGCTTCTTTCTGATGGATAGGACCATACATATAAGCCCAATTCTCCCCCGGTCTCGAGGCTCGCGCCTTTTTCTCGTCCGCCTTGATCCTGCTGCTACCCCCCGGCAATGATTTCAGATTCAGGATTGACAATGCCTCGTTGCCTGAGGAACTCGTCAAGGTCAGCCTTCGACATGGGAATCGTCTCTTGCTCGACTTCGTGCACGAAGCCTCGCAATTCAGGAAACACGTCCGCAAATCTTTGGCTAATTGACCAATTGGACAGGTCGCACACGTGCTGCGCGAAGCTTTCCGACACAGTCATGGCCCCGGTTTCCGAATCCATGTCGATTGCGCCGTCCAGCCGGTGCTCCCAGTTGACGCTCGTCCCCAGCGTTTGCGTCGCTACAATATAGTCACGCATGTCCTGGATGAGGCCGTCGCGCAGCTCGGGACTAGGGTCGGTACTTTTTTAGAAAGGAAGACGTCGTTGATGGGTGGACGATGCACTTACAAGATTGGCAGGTCAACTCCTGGATGGTGTCTGACTAGCCTTTGCATTGGGGTTGGCCTCATTGCCTGTGGAAGCAACGCGTACGTCTCGGCGGACGGTGCGATCACCCACTAGTGTTTGCCTGTCAGCTGGATCTCGCGTTCGCTGACCACGGTACTAACACGCATGAAACGGGCGTAACTGAAAATGTAGGCCAGTGCTACATAGGTGTCAAAGTCCTTCAAGAGACGCATGAACTCGCACGCCCAAGTCGCCGGCGTGTGCGGATCACCAGGCTGGCGCTCACGAAAATACAGTGCCAGGTCGACCTTCGGAGATCCTAGGACAGATTCCAGCGGTTTTCCCTCGGCAATCTGCCGTCGACCATAGTCGCGAAAATCGGTGTACACGGCCGCCATCGGGCATCGTTCCTCGTCAAACAGCAGTGGCTGTATAAGGTACTCCGGGACTCGAAGATTCAGGACCTGCTGTTGACGCAGTGTGACGTATCCATATTCCGTCTTGATCTCCGCTGGTGGAAAGGGTATGTCGCCGAAAATGCTAATGGTCTCGATGGTGGGAGCCGTATGGTCTCCCGAACAAAAGACCCGGAAGTGGTTCCTAGCATCCGATACAGCAGGACTTCGCATATTCATATCGGAGAATGGCACCGGAGTCGACTGGTCGCTCGAACCCGTTCGACTATGCATCGCGGTTGACGACTCTGACTCCATTCTGCCTTCTTCACCGGCTCCCCGGGACGCCGCATGCCGCCTCTGGAGCTGTGCCCTCTGGCTCACATCGTCCTCGACCTGTCCGCGACTTGTGTCTCGGGCATAGGGCCAGCTTCGGTTTTGCAATCTTTCAATATACTCGGGCACTTCCATGCCGAGCCTCTGCGCAAGCTCTTGACTGCGAGCGTCTTGACGCAGCATCCTGTGCACTTCGCCATCACCAGCGCGGATCAGCTCGAACAGGCGATGCAGAAGTTCTCTCTGGAGTGTGGCTTCCGTTTCGGCGCGCTCCCAATGGATCTTACGTCTCTTGTCTTGCGTCGCATCATATACGCATTCGACGTCTAGTCGAATGCAACTACTGCAAGGGTTACCCCCAGAACACTGTAGTATGGAAGCGGCCAAGTCAGTGACTTATCCCCTGCTACCGGAAACTCCTGTTACCTTAGACCTTCGAGCCTTACAACTCAGACACGCTGTTGAGGCTTTACTACGCCGAGGCGGTTCGAAGCCACCGCCAGTATGGGACGGCTCCATTTTCGTAAGTGGTTTGGCCATCGGCGACGACATGTGCGCACGCGGTGTGCTTGCCTCGATTGCACTGGAACGGGTGGCGTTGTTAACGTCCCAGCGATCATCTCCGAGATGGTGTCAAGAGGGCTCTTGATTTCGAGAGGGTAGGGGAAAGGTCAGTGGATGATTGATTGGGATCGAGGGTGCAAAATCCTGTTAGCTATGTCAGTATTTTGAATGACCTTCGGCACTATGTTTGTTGCCACCTCCTGCGCTCTGAGGAGCACTGTGCAATGTTAGATCTGGAACCATCCTCGCCTGCACATCTGCTTTCATCACGTGTCGACAGTTTGCGCCGCGCAGTCACGTGATGTGCGCCAATGTGGCCGCTCCGGGGCCTTGAAAGGTTTTCTGCGAAGACCTGCGTAGGCATGTAACCCAGTGGGAGGCGGGGACTAGGGTGGGGAGTCGCGCAACTACCGTACGAGGTTGAGCTCCTGATAGTGAGGGCACGGGGAACTTGAAGCCACATGTGCTAATTGTGCGTTTACCCTCAACTCGTACACTGGGGTGCGATATGGATACTTGGAAGGTCTATTAAGCGCATGTATGCTCCCTATACTCAACGTTGACGGTTACCTTGGCCATAACGCTTGATCACTCGGGACTCTGCTCGACGTGCTGCGCTAAGTAGGTACAGAGCTTTCGCGCGCCCTGGTCAACACACGGAGCTTGCACCATGCCGTGTACCTTCACGACCGTCTACTGATATAGTCACCAAACCGCAATCTGACCAATTTGTATTTGTTCTTGGTCATTGTGAAGATAGGCCCGGATTGGTGCTTGAGCAGGCTCATGAGATATCGTCGTCAAGCAGAGTGAAGCTGCACCTACCACGCTATTAGTTCTACCCCAAGTCACGTAGAGCAGATGAGCTGTTAAGACCGCGACCATATTGAGGATTGTGTGTTTATCTTTGTCTGAGATACTCAGCTGAGTATTCGAGGGGTCATGCTGCCACCAAGTGCCTGGCAGCCAGTCACCTCGCCGTTTGAGCAATCCACATACTGTACGTGCATGAGCGACTGGGGCTGGGAACGAAATCGGTTTGCTTGTGAGCGAACGGGTCAGCATCGACTGGAAACAGCCAACTGTACGGACTAGAAGTCCTGATTACGATGTCTGCCCTCGACCCATCCGTGGCATGCCTACCTAGGTAGCTAAGTTGGCTTCCGCGATAGTAGTGAGTACTCCGTACTGTATGTGCTGTACTCGTCCAAGTCCGTAGGGTTGGCGCTGGCATGCGGACCACTCCGCTTTCGAGGCCTGCGAACGCAGCCCAGGGCGTGTGTCTCCACATTTCAGGCGTGAGATGCATCGCCACGGGCAGTGGCTTCTGGTGCCGGCGGCCCCCCCGACCGCGAGCTAAGCCCCCATCCACAAAACGTTCGACAGTGACTGGGCAGTGAGCAGGTGCAAAGTGGCATGCGCATCTCTGCTTGCTGCAACCTGCAGTGCGTCAACGACTCTGTCGGACCCTTCCTCGTCTCTTGTTCGATCTGAACTTCCCATCTCGACTATCTCGACCATCTCGACCGCATCTCTTGCTGGCAGATCTGCTCAACATCTCCCTACTTTTACCGGCCCATTCATTATTACTATCCTTTTTTACCTACGAACGCTCCCTCCTAGTCACACGAATCTTCTCCGGACACTCGTCTCGGTCACGGTCATTCTTATATCCAAACCTGTGCTATACAAAGTACCCCGAACGGTCGCTGTTGTTTACCGGCTCCACCACCCGCTCCACCAGCCGTGTGCGACGCCCTACCAGCACCAGCACATTTCAGTGCAATTTATAAGCCACGACGTCAACTACAATGCCTCTCTGCGGCGGCAAGAAGGTGGTGCAGCGCAAGCTCGTCCTGCTGGGCGACGGCGCATGCGGCAAGACTAGTCTTCTGAACGTCTTCACCCGCGGATTCTTCCCGGTTCGTCTGATGCCCCGCTCACCGCCGGATCTTCTAATGTTTCATGAGCCTGGATGAGTGCCTGTACTGACGATGTCTGCTCTCTTAGACCGTGTACGAGCCGACAGTATTCGAGAACTACGTCCACGATATCTTCGTCGACGGGATTCACATGGAGCTGTCGTTGTGGGACACGGCGGGACAAGAAGAATTTGATCGATTACGGTCGCTCTCCTACGATGACACACAGGCCATTATGCTGTGCTTCAGTGTCGACAACCCCGGATCTCTTGAGAATGTGTCGACGAAATGGATAGCTGAAATCCACGAACACTGTCCCGGCGTCAAGATCGTCTTATGTGCTCTGAAATGCGATCTTCGGGAAGAACACGAAAAAGAGGATGAAGAGGAGAACAACGCGCCTCCACGACCGATGATCAAGTATAACGAGGGGTTGGAGGTTGCGAGACGTATCGGCGCTTTGAGATATCTCGGTACAGTCCATTGTGGATCGCAAACGTGATACAAGGCTAACGGGCGGTACAGAGTGCTCAGCAATGCGAAACCGAGGCGTCAACGAAGCATTCACAGAAGCCGCACGAGTCGCGCTACAGGTCAAGCCGGCTCGATCAAAAGAGGAGTCCAAATGCTCGGTCATGTGAACGACGTTAACCCCTTCATCTACCCAGCCCTTACGATTTCCACCCGACCTCTCCGTGTCTGCTTATTCGTTTCCTCCGGGAGTTCTCAGTCTCCAAGTTCCTGCGCGACACCTGCACACCACCTTTCATGTACATACTCTCACTTGTGGGCCCCTTTGAAATTCGGTTCGGAGAGCAACGATTTTGCTTTGATTTTTAGCGTTTCTCGTTTGGGATGTCGTCTGTGAAAGGGAAGCGCGGAGACTATGCGATTGGCGTTCTTTGGTGGCTGAGATCTAGACTTTTGATATTGACAATGCTTATGGATCGAGTTGGCAGTGAGTGCCCACGGTAGAAGTGCAGTGGAGTGTGGGACGAGATCACTCGCTCAGCGAGTAACACTGTGTTCTGCTGCACACTAGACGCAGACCTGGTGTGGAAAAGTTTTGGAATATTCAAGAAGTAACACCGTTGACCGAGGGTTGCCCATTACTTCGTCCTCTTTCACCGCCGCCTTCGCTGGAGGCCGACGGAGCAGCTTCCTCGACCAACACCCAATCCTTGACGCCTCCTTTCCAATCTGCTGTTCTGCCTTCACGGACGGGGACAACGACCACCCTGACATCATCTCCTTCAATGTAACAACTGCTGTTCTCGGTCTCTGGATTTTGTGGCGGTGCACCGAAGAACCCGGCCTCCTGCCTGACTTGCTCCCCGAAAGTGTTGTTTGCCAGATGAGCCGCTTTGCACCATTTTTCCTCTTCGCTTCCCTGCTCTAGAAATCTGGCTTCACCCGCGATGGTGGTTGATATCGAACTCAGAGCCGAAGTATTCAGGTTCAGCAACAGACTGGCGAGGCTGGACCTCGTTGCTGCGGCCGGTGGAGAGCCTGCGCGTTCACCACTTACCGAAGAAGCCGTGGGCGGTCTATGTGACACCCAATCGTGGACGAGTATCGACACTTTCGGGTTGTGCCGCAGATTTTGCGTCTTCATAGACTGAGCATTTGTGGTCATGATGATGACGGGCCCGTGGTCGTTATATGAAGGCAGGAAAGTATAGTTCATAAGAGAGATGTGGGGTGTTGCAGGAGATGTCTCCGTTGCGCTGATGGTCGCGAGATGGAGGAAACGGGCGTTCTTCAGGCATTGGGATACTTCGGGTGGGAGGGTCGTTGCGACTTGCGGGTTCGTCGTCGTGCTGGAGGCTTCGTAGTTGAGAGGCGGGTTGTGAGCGTCGGCCATGGCTGGCAAGGAACAATATCAACGCACTCCTTGTTTCACGGGAGATGCAATAGGGCGGTCGAATAGATGACTGCGCAGTTCTGAGAGTGATGCATGTGAGAATTCCAAGGTGGACTGAGACGCTGCCAGAGTCGAATCACCACAAAGCCTATCGAAGTTTGATGAATCGGGCGGCACCCCGCAAAACCCATGTGGGCATAGCTTCGTTTAGATCCAGCGCGCTCCGGCCTCAGGCTTGCACCACTCGAAGCTTCCCCAGTGACGTAAAGTCTTACTCCCTGTTGGTGCTGCCCTGTCCACAACAACCGGCCTGGACAATTCTCACTCCCCGATCACCTGCAGCAGCTGCCATACGAGTACCACCCCAAGCCGCCACCTACCAACGCCTACACAGCGTTTCCCCGCGTTCTGCTCTCCCAGGCACGCTGAACCCCAGTCTTCATCATCTACGCCTAAACGTTCGGCAACTGGTTTCCTCCTTCGACCTCGACCACTGGGCTTTTCTCCGGCACAACACCTTCATCCCTCCCACTGGCCGTTGCCTCGAGACCCTGTTCATCGTTCAAGCTTGAAGATACACGTTTGTGGAAATCTACAGGGACAGTATCACCTGGAAGAGCTTCACCTCTATCTATCTCCCTCAACGGTCACACACTTTGTGCCTTTTCCCTAAAACACGAGCAGCATGTCGCCCACCATGCTCGCCCGCCGTCTGCTACCACATTCTCCCTCGTCTCAGACCTCCATGGTTCGCGCCTTCACCTCGTCCGCCCTGCTTCGAGAGCCACGACGTAGTCCCGCAATGAGCGACATCACTCCCGACTCAGCAGAGATCTTCAACCAGAAGCAAAAGGAATTCCGAGATGGACTTGAAGCGGCCCGCAAGAGAAAAGAACAAGCTGATAGTCAGTCACCTGCTGCCTCTACGTCTAAATCTTCTCCATCTGCCAGTAATGCTGCGTCTCGTTTGTCTGAAACCCTGGGCCTGGGCTCACTGTCTACCGCTGCGCCTACAGAAGAAGCACGACAAGCCGAAACGGATACGTCCACGAAGCGATCAGGGGCCCTATCGAGCTTGATTTACGGCACGCCCGAGGGTCGGAACCTAGATAAAGAGATGGAGCGCTCCTTCTCTCAAGTGCTAGCCCGCGGCAAATATGTCCATTCGATCGTTTTCCACGACGTGAAGCCAGATAAAGTCGATGAATATGTGGAGCTGGTGGGTAATTGGTATCCCAGAATGGCGAATGACCCGGAGAAGAAGGTGCATCTAGTGGGCAGCTGGAGAACAGAAGTCGGGGACTGCGAAACTTTCGGTATACTCGCTCCCACTTGAAGGTGTCCAAGCTAACCAACATCTCGCAGTTCACATCTGGGAGTACCAACGGTACACCGGTTACCACGGATCACTGCACAGCATCCAGCACCACCCTGAGTTTCCGGTCTTTGAGAAGAAGTTGAACACCCTGATCACTTCCAAGAAAATCGACCTAATGCAGGAGTTCTCGTTCTGGCCCACTACACCACCTCGGAAGCTCGGCGGTCTATTCGAGTTGCGATCATACACCTTGCATCCAGGCAATCTGTTAGAGTGGGAGACGCACTGGCGGAAAGGACTCAAGGCGCGCCGGGAGGTCATGGAAGGCGTCGGAGCTTGGTTCGTCCAGATTGGAGATCTGAATACCGTCCATCATCTCTGGCAGTTTGCTGATTTGGAGGAACGGAAGCTGAGGCGAGAGATGTCGTGGGGTATCGAAGGGTGGGGCGACACTGTGCACAAAACGGTGCCACTCATTCAGACCATGAAGAGCAAGATCCTGATTCCTATGCCCTGGAGTCCTGTCGGCTAAGCACGCGTCGGGTAAGAATGCGGCGCCGCGTCTATGCATTGAGGACAGTTGGCTTCGTTTGTGGTCGGTCTCATCTGAAAGGGGATATTGTTCACCTCGGCGAAAGGAGAAAGCAGCCAGGCACAAGCAGTCTCCCAACCCGGCTTTGTTCTCGCAGCTCGGCCGTGGTTCGGCGGACCGAGTTGAGGCAAATGAGCATGGGCAGCCGGCGTTGTAGCGTAGGGGAGCCAGCAATCTCAAGCTGCAGCAGTCTTAGGACACAGGAAATACATTTTCTCAAAACTAATCCGACGCCCAATCTTCATAGGTCGAGTGGGCCCTATAGCAAGTCTTTCGGAGAAGGACTCCAGAGTTGCTGTGAGACGAAACTTGGAAACTTTCCTTCTTCGGTAGGTATGTTGCCATATCGAGAATGTCGAGGGGCTTCAGACATCCGACGCCGCCTCTTACCTGAAGCACAGCGGAAAAACGTACCTGATACTAGTGTGACCACTGTCGGCAAGTCCCAGAGTCCACCGAGCCTCGCCAGTGTTTGTGGCAGACCGGCAGTTTTTCCCGGCCTGCTGACTTAGTCATCATCTAACAGCAATGAGCCTGGGAGGCTGGTGACTGGACAACGGAGAATACACCCAACTCCTTTTCCACCGCAGCTCGTTGTCTTTCTCGTTGCAGGGAACTACTTCCACTCAGCGTTCGCTTTGGAGACGTCAACGTCAATATGTCTGCCCATCCGCGAACAATATTGGTCGTTCTTGTCTCAGACGTCTCCCGTACACCAACTGGTATATCTTGATACTCGCCGCCATCACCACGGGGCAACACACACAACACCAGAAGCATGGGTGTGCTTGCGTCGATTGTGGTTCCCCATACAATCAAGCCTTTGAAGCCAGGGCCGCCGGACGAGAGACGATGCTTCGAGGCGAGTATCGTGACTCTTTGATTCCGTAGCCTCCTTACTCTGCATACCCGTGGCCGATGCAGCAGAAATTGGCTATGCCGGCAAAGACATCTCCGTCCGTGATCTGCTCTGTGGCGCCTTTGGGCCTGAGCTCGACGGATGTGGCATCGAAGCTGTACGACCCCTCCCGCCAGCTGAATTCGGGCATCAGCCTGCATTTTGGCGGCGACATCGTTTTTCTGTTTTGACTTTTTATCGCCTTCTTTGTCGCTGGGAGCAGTGGTTGGCCCTCCGTTGGTGGGAAGCTACTGTAGGAATGCACCATGTGACGAGAAGAGCGGTCATGTCACAAGCAATACAATGACACGCACCAACTGAGTGTTGAATTGCGGCATTTGAACGCGCATAAAGGGCCATGGGCTTCACGGTAGAATCAGCTCATCTCCGCCCACCACTGTGGGATTACTCTTCAGCTATGTCTGAGACGGCTACACCGCAGCTGATAAGCTTGCCACAGCACTGGCTGCCAGGTTCGTCGATTAACAAGCAGCCACCGCAGTACATATCCGTGGGCGGATAGATGACTAGATCTCGGATAGCATGGTCGTGGTCATGTCCGTTTGTTGTCCTTTTGCATCCCAGTGACTGTTATGCGCGATGTGTAGATTCATTACATCGTGGCCATGGAGACGTGTTGTGATCGTGGGCCTCAATCCAACGCAAGGCTTCGTTGGCTTTGGTGATTTATCACCACAGTACGGAGTATGTTGTATCCAAGCAACACGCCGACAAGGCTGCGGTCGATGGGTTCGTGTGGCGAGGCTGGCCACGCAAACCGCGGAAAAACCTCGGCTGTCAAAAAAGTTGATGCACTCGCTCTTTGAAACCGTGGAACTCTTCAGGAACGAATGCTACCACTACCAAATGCAGAATAATGCTTTCCCGTGCACGTTCTTCGAGACTGTGTCATGGCTGTCGACAAGATTTCCAGACCTTTTTTGACAAAGGTTTCTGCGGACCGCCGGTCGCATTGAAGAATGGCCCGGCGCGCCTGCCCCTGCAATGGGGAAGACCGGCCGGTCGACAGCACCGCCAACTGAGACACCTCAGCGGAAATGCTGCCTCCTTTCAGCAGCAGACTTCTTCAAGCCATCGGAGTGGACAGCCTCAGCCTGATGACGAACAACTCGGAGAAAATGTCGATACAGAACAGCTGCAAGTGCTGCAAGAGTTGGAGACTGCATTGGGACGGCCGGTCGAAGAAGCCATCGAGGCAGACCGCGCTGCTAGCACAAGCATACAAGATCTCTTCCCGGACAGTCAACTGTATCAGGATGAGGAGATTGACGATGTCTTGCGAGGGACGAACGACCCCCTGGCTGCTCTGCGTGCGTCTGGGGCATCACACGAGGATCTTGTGCGAGAGGCAAGGCAGGTCTATGGTGATGGTTTACCCCAGAATGCACTGGACGAGGAAGAGCTGAAGATTTACAAACGACTATATGGCGAGCCTAGGTCCTTGTCCTTTGAGGAATTTCTTGACGAGGAGGAAGCCAGCGCGGTGGAGGAGGTCGCGCCTCACCAGCTGATGGACCAGGACGGCGAGCTCGTTGATTACGACGCATCTCCTGCTGTTACAAGGAAGGACGAAGCCGCGGAAGTAGAGGACATGTCACAAAACGGCACACCCCAGGCTGCGGTGGGCGGGGTTGGTCTTGAGCCGGGCGTCGACGATAATTTCTCGCCCTTTGCGCCGCCCGATGTCCGCGCACAGGAAATCGCGCGCATGCTGAACGGCCAAGTCCTCGAAGAGGGTGATCGGGAAGAGGAAGATGAAGCTGATGAGGAGTACGATGAAGAGGTAGACCCAAGCATGAGGGAGCACCCTTTCACCCGGCTCGGGAAGTTCGCCACCACTCCCCGCAGCATCTTCCTCTCCCAAGACAACTTTGTTGAACCCGTGCAGAGGATCATGAGCAACTTTTCGAACAAGCATCTCAAGGAAATGTGCGAGAAGACCTTTGGTGGACCTGGCTTCCCTGATTCACCCTTGACACCGCGATCCGGTCGATCCAGGCGACAGGTTCCCATCCCTCTCGGGGCCTCCCAGCACCTCATGGGAGAAATGGAAGCGAACGCCTACATCACCACGATTATGCCGCCTACCTACGCAGCCATCATGTGTGTTCTAGTAGAGACTCGCAAACGGCTCGGTACCACTTGGTTGAATAAGCTCCTAGCGAAAGAGGGCGGAGCGCGAGTTCTCGATGCTGGGGCTGGGGGGGCAGGTATCCTCGCCTGGCGTGAGATCGTTCAAGCGCATTGGGATAGTCTGCACTCGTCCGACAAAGACCCGGTTCCTCCTCCGCCACCAACGAAGTCGGTAGTCCTCACCGGCTCGGATACTCTAAGGCATCGAGCCGCCAAATTGTTGGAGAATACCACTTTCATCCCACGCTTACCTGATTATGTGCACACGCGTGACGCACCGACGTTGGAAGACGATCGACCGGCACAGCAAAGAAAGCAGTTCGATGTGATCGTAGCGCCGCATACTTTGTTCCCGCTACACGAAGAGTACATGAGGAAGAATCATGTGCAAAATCTCTGGTCCATGCTTTCCTCGGAAGGTGGCGTGCTGATATTGATTGAGAAAGGCATCCCCCGAGGGTTTGAGGCGATCGGTGCTGCTAGAGAATTGCTCCTGGAGAGACATATCGCCATTCCCGAGGGAGCAACAACAGAGTACAGTTCCCTGCACAATGATCCAGACGATGTTCATTCTAGAAGCACAGGGATGATCGTCGCACCTTGCACTAACCATGAGAGATGTCCGATGTACAAGACTCCAGGCCTCTCCAAGGGGCGGAAGGACTTCTGTTCCTTCCAACAACGGTATATCCGGCCGAGTTACCTCCAACGCGCACTCGGCGCCAAAGACCGCAATCACGATGATGTCGACTTCTCCTACATCTCCGTGATGAAAGGGGAAGACCTCCGTCAACGACAAGTTCAGTCCTGGTCCAGCCTCGAAGACTCTTTCTCCGCACCTGTTCATCCCAGCCCCCAGGTCGCCACGGAAGAGTACAAATCCTGGACAGAACTGTCCGCCAAGGGCTTCGAAGAGGTCCACCCAGAAAGCAACCTCACCAACATCCATGCCTTATTCGCCGACGGCGATAAACCTCCCTCCACCCTCCCGTCCGCCCATACGCTGCCTCGTCTCGTCTACGCGCCCATGAAAAGGCGCGGCCATGTAATCCTCGACGTCTGCACACCTCACGGCACCATCGAACGCTGGACCGTGCCCAGGTCCTTTGGGCGTCAAGCGTACCGTGACGCTAGAAAGTCCCAATGGGGTGATCTCTGGGCCCTGGGCGCAAAGACCCGAATACCCAGAAATCTACGACTAGGCGGATTGAACACCAAGGAAGCGAACAAAGCGCGAGGCCGAAACGAAAGATTGAAGCAGCAAGCGCAGGACTTGTTGGAGAAGATGCACGAGGAGAAGCTCGACGAGATGGACGAGATGCAGGAGATGGAGAGAGAGTTCAGGGAGGGAAGGTTCTTGGACGAAGGAGAAAGAGCGAAGAAGTCGAGGCCCGGCAAGATCAAGCGGGAGCACTCGAATGAAGGAGTCGAAGCCTTCACGATGGACGATTTCGACATGAATGAGCTGAACCCGCCATTGATTTCAAACAAAAAGCAGCCGCAGAGTCAGAACCAGGTCCCTTCACACCTCGGACGACAAGCGTCGAGGCGAACAGAGCCATCCATGCCATCAGCTGCACCAGCAGGGGAAGACGATCTCACGCCCGAAGAAATGCAGACTCTCGGCGAGTGGGACGACATCCTCGCGGGAGGACCGGGCATTCCCGTCAAGGGCGCCCGATCCATGAGGCAGTATTCCAAGTTCGCACCCAAGGGGAGGAAGAGCGAGACGAGGAAAAGCGGGAAGGTTCGATAGAGGAGAAGGGTGAGGATGAAGATTGAACACGAATGTTCACTACTGTATCTGACCTTGCCGTGGAGTTATCGACCGTGGACAATACCCAGGAGAGGGTAGAATGTAGAACATATGACGAGTACGGGCATGGCACGGCACGGCACACATGTAGAATAAATCTACTCCTCCCTTCTCTCTCTACCTTGCATGCCGGGCGGAAATGTGTATTTAATATCACGCCAACACGGTTGCCAAACCGTAGTATGAAGTGTAAAGACGACCAGCCTCTATCAACGGCGGGGGAACATGGACGAGAACATGGACAAGAACGCAAACACAAAGACAAGACGCATAAAGACACTTGACATGCACGGATATAGAAATACTGTAGAAATATGATATGTATATATCGACACAGATCCATTCACGCCAACGCCATGGCCCGGAGCATGCGACTCTGTCTAAAATCCCACCACTCCCTGAAATCACCGTCCCCCGAGAAGGGAGTGTCGACGACGAAACAATCGCTCCAACTGGTTCCCCCCACGGAGGTGGCCGTGCCCGGGACGGGAACGTCCAGCGAGCCCGACGAATCCCTGTAGAAGAGGCGGATGGGCCGTGTCTCGTCGAGGACGTGCACCACGATGGTCACGGCGGCGAACATCAACAGCGCGATGAAGGCCAGGACGGTCATGCCGATGGCCCGACCGGGCAGTTTGTGGGTCTTGACCTTCTCCGGTAGCGAGAGGCTGGCGTACTCGCGGTCGCGGCGGTGGGTTTTGGCGTCCATTAGCGTCAAGGCGTGCAGGAGCTGGGACGGGTGCTTGATCGCGTCGGGGATCCAGCGCGAGGCGAAGAGCAGGACGATCAGACCGTACAGGAGGCCGACGCCGCCGACGACGATCTCCGCCAGAACCATGTACGTCATCAGATTGGGGTCGAGGTCCGTCGTGTCGTTCTCGTCGGACAGGAGGCATGACTTTGGGTAGGTCATTGTGTCGTTCGGGCCGTAGGGTTCGTAGGCGCGGTCGCATCCGACAAGTTCGGGGAGGTTGTCGGCAAACTTGGCGCACGAGTTCATGTTCCGGCCCGTCTTGAAGCCGAGGAGGCACGGGCAGGTGCCGCCTTGGACGGTGAATTCTTGGTACGATGTCTCCTTGTGCTTGACAAAGGAGAGCAGCGCGAGGATGATGCACGCGTAGATGACGCACAGGTCGACGATGATCAGCAGGTACAGGATGCGCGGCATGGCGCGGCTGCCCAGGTACGTTTGGACCGAGGTGAACATGATGACCACGCTGATCACGCCGGGGTATGTGTGGCGTGTGTCGCCTCTTGTGATCGCGATCAAAATCACCACCAACGCAATGGCACGGATGGTGGACCAGCCTATGCCGATGATCGATGTTACCAGGGCAAACCTCCCGAGGCCGCCGTACCTGTTACTTTCGCCGTATGAGGAGAACGAGGTCACGCTGGCGTCGCTCGGATTCCGTTGGTGCACGGGATAGTAGGCTCTGGGGTCCGGTGGGAAGGGGTGACGGAGCCCATTCTCGATATTGGCACCGCGTTGGTGCTTCGGCTCCCAGGACTTGTAAGAGGCTTGGACTCCTAGAAACCCGAGTATGATTGATAGACTGACGCTCGCGAGCACCCATGGCCACGGTGTCGGTCGGTGGACCCAGTCTGCGTAAAGGCTCGAGACGTGGGTCGGATCAAGGGAGCCGTGAAGGAGGGATGTAGAGCTGCTGGGTGTGCGGGACATCTTGCTCGATAACTGGCGGCGGGTGATGAAGAAATGTGGACTACAGCCTCGACCGCACTTCTGTGCCAGATTGTCACACTGCGACTGCTTGCCAGAGGTTGTGGCGGGGACTTTGGCTCTAGATATATTAGTCTTCCATGTCGGTCAGGCTGCAGGTGGTCTATGACATCTGGTCAGTCAGATCGGAAGGGGGCCAAAGTACGAATGAAATGAACTCCGTGTATGCCTCGCCCAAGCGCCGCGGTGTAGGGGCTGTGCTGCGTTGTTCTGTGCTGGGTCGGACTGGACCTGCTTGCCCAGCAGAACAGGCGGAAGCGCTGCAACAATTTATCCATCTTGAAGGCACCAGTCGCGATCTGCTGCTAAAAGGGAGCTATTCGCGATGCTGTCGAAGACCACGAGTTTCCCCGCTTGGAAGCCAGATCGTCGTTCGCCTGCCGGCCCATACCTGTGAAGAAAGTGCAATACGAATTTCTTCGCGCTTGATACCAGTCCTGGCGACGGACGTTTCCCACGGCCAATGAGGTCGGCAGGAATATTGTCCAGCCCGATCCGTATATGCAGCCACTTCCGCCTTGGAGCTGAAAACTTGGGGAACTTTGTTTCCCATTAGCGACATATCGACCGTCGCTGTTGGCTAGATCTGTGTGAGTCAAGCGAGAGCGGCTTGAACAACTGACCGGCGGACAAGAGTCTTCTGTTGACCGAACAGACGGAGATGGCTTTCCTAACCCCGGCCGAAAGAACGCATGCTATCTTCTGCGCGTCCTTACCGTCGAGGAGAGTCTGGCGAGGCATCATGATATGACTCATCAAGGAAGAAAGTGCTCGTCGCGTCCTTTGGTGGTTATGTCGAAGTGCGGTGCAAGTCCAAATGGAGATCAACATAATTGTCGCGAAGTCGCGAATGCTGTTCAGCCTCGTCAGGTGGCGGCATGATCCACAGTATCAGCATTACGGCAGACCAAACGGCCCGCTTGTGTATTCAAGATTTCCTTCGACAACACAGCCTGGCGGTTGTAGCTGGAAGGCAAGACCTAGGGGAGTTTTACTCGTGATAATGCTGGCCCGACAAGACCTGAAAGCTCATCTCCAGAAAGTCGTTATGGTAGCTCCAAGATTAAGCATACAAGGCAATCAATCAACGGTAACCTGGCCGACAAGGTCTTTCTGGTGAAGGCACAGGAGGGAAGCGAGTAGACGATTCAACTGTAGCAGCCGCTCGAACCTTCAAAGGGACAGGGTTAGTACTCCGTACGATTGACGAATGCCTAGTTACTCTGTGAGTAGTACGGACCCCCTGCCCTCAATTCGTGAGCGTCGAAGAGATTGTCCTGCTTAGTCACCCCTAAAAGTCCCACCACGCGCCGATGTTCGCACCGAGTGGCAGGGAATCGGTTATTCGCGGGTAACTCCCCAGTCTCACTTGTGTTCAAATACTTCCAAGAGGTATTCTGCAGAGTCTGGCACGAATGTATCCTTGTAGAAGAATTCCCAGAAACTCACAATGAAGGCCGTACCCTCACCGCAGGCACTACGCTTCTTGCAGCATCTCGCGCAGGGTCGAAGCCCGGCTACACGACCTCGAGCATATCCCCCCTTCCTTCGCATGAGCAGGCACTTCCATGCCACGACACGGTTGGACAGGACAGAAACACATACGCTGTCAGATATTGGGGAGGGAGTGAAAGAGGTGCAGATCATCCAGTGGTTCGTGGAAGAGGGAGCTCCGATCGAGGAATGGAGTCCCCTCTGCGAAGTCCAAAGTGACAAGGCCTCGGTCGAGATCACGTCCAAGTATAGCGGCATCATAAAGAAGATCCACTTCCCCCAGGACGCCGTCGTACAAGTTGGCGATGGCATGGTAGACATCGAAGTCGAAGGGGACGCAGAACCACAAGAGTCGGCTGAGCAAGAAACACATCAGGATCCAGGCAGGACTGCTGATGAAGAACAAGTACTTGAAGGCGGTAGAGGCGCTACGCTGGAGGAGCCAACGTCGCCACCTGAAAAGCCCAAGATACCGAGCAAGCATGCCTCTCTTGCTACCCCCGCCGTTAGAGGTTTGCTGAAGGAGCATGGTATTGCGATTGAAGACATCACAGGAACTGGCAAGGAGGGCCGTGTGCTGAAGGAAGACGTCTATAAATATCTCGAGCAAGCCTCTACACAGACATCAAGCACAGAAGCAGCACCCTCTAAACCAGGTATCGATACAAAGCAAACAGAAACAGCGCAAAGGTTGACACCGGTCCAATCTGCCATGTTCAAGAGCATGACCGGATCATTGTCAATACCACACTTCCTCTACTCTGACACGATCGACATTACCGGCCTTGCTGCCATACGGACACGGCTGAATACTGCCAGGAATCCCGAGACCACGCCAAGGTTCTCATACCTGCCATTCATTGTGAAAGCCGTCTCCCTGGCCTTGAACCAGTACCCTCTCCTCAATGCTCGACTGGATCTGGCTACCGACCCGAAGAAGCCGCAGCTGATGATGCGCTCCGTACACAACATAGGCATAGCCATGGACACGCCAAACGGGCTAATCGTGCCCGTCGTTAAGGCAGTCAATGCTCGATCGATCACATCCATTGCGCAGGAGATACAACGCCTGGCACAGCTCGGGCAAGCGGGAAAGCTAAGCAACAGCGACTTGACCGGCGGTACCATCACTGTCAGCAATATCGGGAACATTGGCGGCGAGGTTGTGGCACCAGTCATTGTGGAAGGTCAGCTGGCAATCATGGGAGTCGGCAAAATCAAGACCATCCCTGTCTTTGCTGATGACGGCGTGACTGTCCGTCCTGCGCAGACGGTGAACCTCAGCTGGAGCGCTGACCACAGAGTCGTCGATGGGGCTACCATGGCAAGGATGGCGCAGTTTGTGCAAAAGTACCTCGAAGAGCCGGGCACCATGATTGTCGATATGAGCTAAAAGAAGTGCCCTGCAAATTTTACAACAGCCAACGGTCCCAAGTCTATATCCACGGCTACCCACTCCCTTTATCTATGTTAGTTACCGATCAGTTTTGCATTCATGCCCACAATGCACCGCACAAGATCCCAATCCCCGCCTAACCCGACCCAGTCGGTCACCACGATCCCAGTACTCCAATCGCCATCCTTGACTTTGCCGTGCTCGCCTATCATATGCCTCTGACACAGGTGCGCCACAATCGCCGGGTTGACTTCAGCGGCAACCTTTTCGGGCCAACAGCCGACATTCCAAAAATTGCTCGCGCTCAAAAAATTCACATACAAGGGGATCTTCTTGCTGCCGACGTTCTGGCCTCTGAGAGCGCAACATCCGCTCCGCTCGAGATGTTCTTGCGCGTACGTGATCTTCTTCTCGATTGACGGCTTCTCCATGACCTGGTAGAAATCCTGCACGCAGATGTCGCCCGAGGGGCACAGCGAGCCGGGCGAGCCACCCGAGGTGTTGTCTTCCCAGACATGGCCGTCGATGCCCCAGCCTTTGCCGTTCCATTCGTGCTTCAGCGGTTCTTCGAGCGTGAACCGGCGGAGCAGGACGATCCGGCCGCGCACTTCGCCCAGAGTCGGCACGCGTGGCTCGGTGAACCATTGTTGCGGGTTTGTGTAATTGTTCTTCAGGATGCGGGATAACTGCTCGTCGGTGCCTTTGCCCGTGCCTTCCCGCTTCAGGGACAGAATGAGCGTTTCGCTGGGATGGTCTTTCAGGAACTGGATGATGTCGTTGTAGAGATCCCGGAAGTATTTGTTGCCGGTAAGCGAGATGGGAAAGACGGCGTGCACGAGCACAAGCTTATCGGAGTGTGGGTCGTAGGGCTCGGGAACCTGCACGCGGATGTCGAAGAAGCGCACGCCATTCTTCAATTGCTCCTTCGGTGACACAGCTTGGCAGCGCACGGACGGGGGTGCTTGGTGATGGGTTGGCGAGTTGTGAGTGCCTGGGATGGAGAGGAGGCCGAGCGGGGTCCGGTCGGGAAGATCCTGCATCCACGAGTCCAGGTGCGACGTGTTGAACAGGGCCACGAACGAGGAATTGGGCAGATAAATGCCCGTGAAGCGCAGCTTCGGATTAGGCGCGAGCGCGACCAGCGAGGCCGTCTCTTCGGTCGGTACCGGGCAGTACATCTGGTGCTTGCCTCCCATCTCCGTCTGGAACGTCAATCTGAGCCTCTCGTTGGGCTTGTTGATGATGGCCTTGATGTCTGTAGGCACGATGGTAAACGGCGGCAGCTTGATCAAAACCTCTCTGGTCGCGAAAGGTTTCGCGTCGGCATGGATCTGAGGCACCGCTTTGCGCGTAGTGGTGTTTGTAAGGCCCAGGCCGTTGGTGATGTTTGCCAATGACGTCGTCACATTTTGCATCTGGAACCCTTCATCTGGAGGAGGATCGAAATGCTCGACCAGCACGAGGGTCAGTGGGTTGTTGCTGATGTTGCGGATCGTGACGGGCGGCGCCATGGTGGATGGAAGTGGTTGAGGTTTGCGGAAGTTGAAGGGAAGGAAACTCATCCTCTGGCTGGATACTCGAGTGTTCAATAAAAAGGGCACAAGATCGATCAGCTATGGAGCTTCGAGCTAGAGCTGCAGCTCTCTCAGCTGGGGATGCTCATCCGCGCAGGAGGAGTTCAGCTCGAACAGGTCCCTGAGGAAGCAGATTCGGTGGGCGGAGGGGTAGCGGGGCATTTGCTTCTGCAGCTGCTCGCCAATCGCGTCAGTTGGCGAACGCCGCGAGCGGTTCGAGATGCTCAACCAGGATCAACAAGATTTCGGGGTGACGACGACTGGAGCATGTCGGTGAAAGGGCCAGATGTTTAGAGGGCGTGACAGCTGGAAAAGAAGCTTCCAGCGTGACTATCTATCATACACTATAGCGGACCTGTTCTCCCTGTGCCATGTTTCCCACTTTCTATGGAATGACCTTCGCCGCTTCCATTCTGGCAAACGCGGTGCGGTGGCCCTGGACCGTATAAATGGTCTCAGTGAACCCAGTTGTCCTGGCTGCTCCCAAGTCATATTGGCGGTCCAACCGGGCTGGAGGATGAAACTCTTTCCGCTAGCAAGACGTGTCTCGAGATGAGTTCATCTTGCAGATATATCGACCTAAGGAATGGTGGTTACCACATAAACCACCAGATCTTATATATGGAGTATACCATATCGGTTGAAGCCCTTTACACAGTACATACAAGTATTGAGAGAGACCATCATGTCATCCGTATACCCTACCCAGTAGTGAAAGGTTTTGAGAACGGGTCCACTTCACTTCAACGGAGTTAGGCAATTTTAAGAAATCACGTGATTGATAAAACTGATATAAGCTTCGCTCCCCAAAATTTGCTCAAAATATCCTGTCAACAGCGATACAGCTCTCCAGCTATCTGGTTAGCAACATGGCGCAGGGGAAGCGTGAGTGAAGTTCCTGCCCCTCTACAACGAGGTGCTAACACGTAACAGGCGCCGGGCTCATACATCACGTGATGTCCACGTGACCCGGAGGACCTTGGATCGAAACCAAGTGTTGCTATTCAACTTCTTTTTGGGAGTTCTGTCTACGTCCCGAGCATGATCTCCGAGCCTTTTTATTGTCTATGCCAGAAGGAATAAGGCCCATGGATATGGCATATCTTGGCAATACTTCAGGAAATGTCTCCACCTTTTTTGATGAAGACATCATGAATATCGAGACTTATGAAGTGCGCCAATAGCAACATTTCCATTTCCAAATTTGTTGTCTGCCTCACCTCACTTACTATACCCTGCACAGTGACACTACCTAACAACCCTTCTTCTGAGCCCCCAGGTGAACAGGATCTTCGACTCGTAATGCCTTTCGTCGCGCCGGAGCGATACTCTCGACCGGTTGAAATCTGCCCGAATGGCTGATGCTCGACGAACCAGACGCCACACCCACGAAACAAATGCACTCAGCTATGGACATCTCGGCACTGCCACTTACGACGAGCAAAGTCATAACTGGACGTTCTTGCGGCAGCCGCAGGGCGACCAAGATCCCAGGAGGGACAAGCGGAGCACTAGCCAGTCTGACCTGCTCCGTTTCCAGCTTGTCGACGAAAGGACTGTGGATTGTGCGGCAGAGGTTCCCATCGGGAACGGTCCAGCCGAGCAGCGCTCGATGAATGCGTTAGGGTTGCAAAACACTTTTCTCAAAAATGTTGCCGATGCCGCCTTTGCCTTGACAAGTTCGCCAGCCTCAGCATCCAGTTCGGAAGTTCAGCGAGAGAATACGAAGGAGAAAGTGTCTTCGGCGAGCTATCTAGCTCTAGGGCACGCGCGACCTCCATTTGAATCTGGCATGCACAACAATGATCCATCTACTCCCGTGGTAGCACTCGCGGCGGAATCACACAAACACGCCCTCCGCCTGCTGGGGTTCGAGGAATGCCAGGTTGCAGTTCGCACCAGTGAGGGCCTGCAGGTCATGTGCACGGTTCCATCCGTTACGACGAGAGTAGTCGGCCTCTGGTGTGAGTCGGCAGATCGGATACTTCAGGTGGCTTCTACGAATAAGGCAAACGGTACACATTTTCTCGCCGTCAAGCCGAGTGGAACGACGATTCTTCAACCCATGTCAGCCGATCCGGCACCGGAGACTACGGTCACTTCTGCAGATTTACTCCTTAACGCCTGTCCAATTGTCACCATACCGACGTCCAGGACGGGTGGAAATCCTCATGTGCATGCGAGCTTTAACCCTCGAGATCAGAACTTGGTGGCGATTGTAGACTCATCTGGCCAGTGGAGTATCTGGAAGCTGATAGGCAGGAGAGCAAGGTCTGCCCGTATACTCTACAAGGTTCACCTGCTAAGCTCAAACAATCTGATCACCAGTGTCCGTCAGGCTCCCTCTACCACGGACCCTTCGCGTGCAGACGGATGGCATCGGATCTGTTGGTTGATCGGCCCCGAAGCTAGTAGGGAACGTCTTCTAGTCTGCGGTCGGCGTATGGCTGCAGTCTTTGACCGAGAAGGACAGCTTTTGGGACAAGTAGACCTGCGTCTAGGACCGACGTCTGATCGAAACATGATTCTTGACATCAAGAACAGCCACCGTCGAGGAGATCACCTATTGGTCCTTAGTACCTCACGTTTGATGGTCTTCAGTTCAACTAAAGGTACCTGGAAAGAGAGGGATCCAGTCGAGCCGCTAGAATTGGTGTGTTCTTGGAATCACTACCGGGATCGAACCGACCCACAGCTGCGGATGAGTATCGTTGAACTACCGACAGGTATGTTGCACTCGACTGTGAACGAATCCGAGACTGATCTTCAATGTCAGATTCTGTGGTATTGATATACTCCTCAAACAGCCAGATCGCCGTCTCATACCGCTTCCGATGCGATTCCTCAAAATCAAGTGTTGTTTCTTGTCAAGACCCTTCGATTTTTCAGTTGCCACAGGTGCTTGCGAACAGAATGCAAGATGTTAGTGACATTGTCCTATGTCCAGTCACGTTCTCGGTCCAAAACCAGCCTTCTAACGCTGTTGACTATGGTCTCGTCAAGCTCATCGCCTGCACCAACGCTGGGGAAATAATTGAAGCGATCTACAAGTATGGTTTATCAAAGTTTGGTCATGCCAAAAAATCGACCGGAAGTCTTCCAGCTCTGGCATTCCACCGACGGTCTACTGGTACACAAGGAAGCTCTGAACACGTTACAACGGGTGATCTGGATGATCTCGTTGTTTCCGATGTGACAGAAGCCGGTGCGATCCCTGTGCCTGCAACAACTGCGCAGAATGCTGCAAATGACCCCAGCTCCATTTCATTACATTTTCGGAAGTGGCAACGTCTTGCAGATCATCTGGCGGTCAAGGACAGAAAGAGTCAAGATGTCCCATTTGGGACCTCTCTGCAACAGGCCGTCGAACTATTCGAGCATGTGCAGGGCCGTGACGAGACAACCTCTGTTCGCCTAATCGCAGACCTCGTTGACAATTGTCGGGTTGTGGATGTGGAAGAAGACTCTCAACATGTGGAGAGCTGGCTTGATATGCTTGCGCTGCATAACGACGTAACCACCGAGTTCGTGGCTTTTCCTGCCCTCCCGGATAATTCGCGACGTCACTTGATAAGTGTCTACGACGACCTGGTCAATGCTTATGTCGAGTCACTGCCCGAAAACTTCACGGATCGTAATCGAGTGAACCGTGAGAGGTTGGTGCGCCAGATTGTCGGTCCAACAGTCTTTGGAAGCTTTATGCTGAAGACTAGGCGGCCTGTCGACCTTGCAGAATCTCCACAGCCTCGATCAGCATCGAGCCCTCCTTCAGCACTCCCGTCTCCGTCACCAGGGATTGACTCGCACCATCAACAGCAGTTACCGACCTTGGCGCCCGAGAGTTCTGTGTCGAACGAAGAGCCAGCAGTTGCACGTCTACGGCAGTATACCACTTTCGCACATCGAGTCCCGCCACTGTTGCTGGACCACAATACTGGGCTCTCAGCACTATTGGAACATCTTCCTGTATCGATCGACGAAGACCCTGCCGACTACTCTTACCAACAGACGAATCAAAGACTCAAACTCTTACAGGAACAACTTGCGGCCGAGTCGCTAGATCCGAAGCAGAGGAACACGGCACTCAAATCTGCTGCTCGGCTGCGGCGGAAGCTGGAAAGGAGCATGCTGATGAGTCAAGAAGTAATGCTGCAAAGAACATTGGTGCCTAGCATTCGTACTGGGACAGAGTTGTCTAACCTACCGGACAGAGAAGTACAAAGCAGCCAAGCTGCTGCCCCCGGCTCCGGTCATCTCCAGAGTCAAGTAACGGACGCGTTGACTGGTCTGACCATGACCCAGCCTGAGAGAGGAGCATTTGGCACGAGGCAGGCAGCGAAGAAAGGCAAGAAGAGGCGTGCCGGCTTTTAGCTAAGGCTACGAGGACTAGGGTCGTGGGGGTGGCCATGCCAAGCCTTCCCCGGACTTTGGATTGTCCATGCTCCGAGCAGCATCCACGCCCCGATTCCTGAGTGGGCCGCCCTTAGCCCTCAAGAGTGCGGGGAAGGGCAAGCTGACAGGGCGCTCCGGTCGCTGAGTGGAGGGAGGTGAGGTGCTTGTCGCGTGAGGACCGTCCTGTGGTACCTCGTACGAGGTACAAGCAGCTCTTGCTCAGCTTCGTGTCAGTTGACTCGGATGAACTGGGTTGCCCCGTACCTCTCCTGCTACTTGCAGCATCTACCCCTCAGTTGACCTTCACTCGTCCACCTCTCCCTCTTGACTCTTCTCTCACTCCCACCTTCTTCATCCCACTATTCTACCGCACCGTCTCGAAACTCTCTTGCAGACGAACTCACCCTCCATCAGGAAACCGATCCCATCGCCTCAGCTATTGGTTGCTGGTAAGCCTCTCTTCAACCTCACATTCGACCGTCTGCCCCCTACCTCACCTGCTTACCATTCTACCATTCTAACACTGCTCTCATCCAGACTCAGCATCCTCTTCCACAACCTCAACTCGCTACCGTCACCATGTCCGCAGACACATCAGATCTGACAAAGGTCGATTCTGCCATTGCCGGCGTCGATTCAACGGCCGCCAAGGATGGAGCCAAAGAGACCAAGCGAAGAACAACATCAAGTGCTCCTGGTGTGATGAACATCAATGACCTTGGTACGCTTGCTGAGCTACACCTTTGTACCACTAGCTAACACGCCGAAAGAGAAAGAAGGAACAAAGATTGCTGTGGCGCCTGACACCCAGAAGACCGGATGGTAGGGACGCACTTCACTCTTACCTCAGCGCAGCCAAGTTTACTGACACGATCTAGGAAACTCAATACGTCGCCTTCCACGATCGAAGATGCCTCGATCCTGAAAAAGCCGCTTACAACTCCACCTGTCAAGAAGATTGACCTTCACTTCCCGCTGGGCCTTGAGGTCACTGCACGGAACCTGAAGGGTGTAACGATAAAAGATGCCCTGGATGCCATTCACAAGCAATTCAAAAAGAAGGTGGGAATGTTCCTACCATGCTTATTTTGGAGAGACAAGACTAATTCAATGACATGTAGGCTGATGACGAGATGGAAGAGCCATATCTGAAAGGCTTCGAGTGGGACCCCGAAGAATCGTGGACGAGACTCAAGGTTCACACTCAGAAAGAAGGTCTCCCAGCTGGCGGCAAGAAGTCCAAGAAGAAGGGCGGTGACGAGTGAATGACTCCGATTGACCACTCGATGTATACAACAATCTGCTCCTGGCTGAGCAAAAAGACCAACTCTCGACACTCCTACAAACGACTGATCGGACTCGATCACATATGCCATTACAGACAAACATTCAGCTCGGTGTGCATGGCAGGGTGCTTCGCGGCGCATACTTCCTCACTCTGGTGGTGCTTGCTCAACAATAAGTTGACAGATATCTAAAGGGCTTTGGCGTGCTAGCTTACACCAGCAATGATATGACCTTGAACTGGATTTGTTACAATTGCCTCAACGTGCCATCGAATCGTGGGAATATTCACGCGTGATGCCAGGCCAGTGCGCCTCACTTTTCTGTCCAGCAGGGGCCACTGTATCTCGTCCACACCGTCAAACCGCTTCCGACCCCAAAGACGAGGCATTCCGCAAAATAGCCGGGATCGGGCAGTGTAGCGTGATCCCTGCTCCAAGGGACGCCTTGCGTGTGAGCAACAATGTCGCTCCCCGTAAAATTGGGTATCACCACCTGGCTTTTGGCCTCGCTCCAGGTCTAGACAGGCTATAATTCTGCTAGGATTTCCTCAGTTTACCTTGTTGTGAATAGCTCGTAGTTGCCGCCAAAGGAAAGATTCCAAAACATGGGGTCAATACCAGAGTCAGAGTCGAACGGCACGAATACTACAACGATCCCAATCATCGACCTCTCACCCTTCACTTCATCGTCATCATCACCCCCCGCAGAGGCATCCTCCGCCCCCCGCCTAAGGGCAGCGCAAGATCTTGTCCGCGCCTGTCGAGAGGTAGGCTTCGTGTACATCAAAAATCACGGAGTCCCACAGGATGAGCTTGACAGAGCATTTGCAATGGCCAAGCAGTTCTATGACCTACCGACGGAAGAGAAAATGAAAGCGCCGCATCCGCCGGGCTGGGCAGTGCACAGAGGCTACTCGTGGCCCGGGCTGGAGAAGGTCTCCGGGGCGTTATCCGACAAGACTGACGAAGAGTGGGTAAGGAAGCTGAGGGAGGTGCAGGATTATAAGGTCTGTTCGTCTGTCCATTGGTGCATCTGCGCTCTATGCGTTGCGATTCCTCTACTGCAACACTTTCGGCGAGGAACAAGCCCCCTACTTGCCGGCTGTGCGGGCACTACCTTGACAATCCACTTTTGTACTGACATTCTTTCGCGTCGCAGGAGAGCTACGAGGTCGGCTCAGAAGACAACCCGGACCAACCTAACGTGTGGCCGCCAGCCGAAGTCCTGCCTGGATGGCGCCCCTTCATGACGTCCTTTTACTGGACGTGCTTCGAAACCGCCAAGCACATCCTCCGCGCACTGGCCCTGGGCATTGGCCTCGAGGACGAGAATCACCTGCTCGCCTACCATTCCGGGCACTACAACCAGCTCCGCCTGCTTCACTACCCGCCTTTACCGGCTGAGGCGGTCGAAGGCGGCAAGTTCGCCCGCATGCCTGCCCACACGGATTGGAGCACCATGACGATGCTGTTCCAGGACGACTGCGGAGGATTGCAGGTCGAGTCTCCGACCGTGGCGGGAGAATTTATCGACGTGGCGCCCATTCCGGGCACCTGTGTGGTGAATGTGGGCGATCTGCTCACGCGCTGGAGTAACGATTATCTCAAGTCGACGTCGCATCGGGTGCAGCTGCCTCCGCGCCAGGATCGGTTTACCGGGGATGAGAGGCTGACGAGGGCGCGATACTCGATTCCGTACTTTGTCTCTACGGATCCTGATACGGTCATTGAGTGCTTGACGAGAGGCGGGCATGCCAAGTACGAGCCTATTACGCAGCGAGAGTATGCGGCTATGAGAGCGAGGATGCAGTATTAGAACTGGTATATAGGGATCTGTACTCTTTCAATCATCACTCGGAGACTGAAGAATGTGGTGGCCCCGGTGAATTGATGCGGGATACCTTGGGGCAGGAAGGCTGAGGTTATCCTCTCTTTCTCCGTGTTGGCTTATCTTCCCGCAGGTTTAAACAAGCAAGACCGGCAAGACACATCTGCAAGAAGAAGGAGATGAATGTTAGGACTTGAGCAAGTATTCCGGGTGGAGCAACTGTGCACGATGAAGATCGTCATTCGACGGCCTTGGAAAAGAGGCAGATACATTCCCACGGCGAGCTCGTTGGGATCAAGCCATAACAGCTCTGTTGTCAGCTAGTCCTGCTCTATGAGGATGGGACGTCCTGCAGCCCTGGAGGACAGGAATCTGGGTCCTGGATGGAAACCACAAGCGCGAGCTTAGTTGATCCTCGTGGTGTTGTTGGGCGTCAGATCGCCGATGAGAGGTCGTTGAGAAAGACACTGCTACCCTAGTCATCCTTCCAACACCTTCTTCTCGCTGCCAAGCTTCGTGTTCAGCAATAGGAAGGCTGCGAGGTATGTTTCCGGGACAAAGGTACCCTGCAGATATGCAGGTCACAGTGCTGGTGATTCCTGGATGCCCACATGGACGCAGGGAACCTTTGTCTGACTGGGCGCCAGAGTATTCGCTAACCTAAGGGGCAGTGCGTAGCTTCCGACCTCTCGTCCCGTCCCGTCTCGTCTTTCGACTTCCGCATCCTGCTTTGTGCAGGGAAGAGCCACGGCCATGGAGTCCGGCCATGGATCCCGGCCGTGAACTCGGGCCATTGGAGCGACGCCGTGGTGTCAGGATGTCTAGAGGGCGATGGCATCTCAGGAGAATCCAGATGCAACCAGGCGCATCAAAGGCTGCGCGACCAGTTATATTTGACTGTAGAACGACTCATGGCTACACGCCTCACTCCTGCCAGGTGTTATATCTGTAGTGTCAGGCTCAGGAAACACTGTGCCTCGCTTAACTCTGGGCGGTTGCCTCGTGATCCTCAATCAGCCTGAGTGGTCGCGGCCCTGCGACGACAAGATGCGGGACAAAACCCTCGACTTCGACCTCACCCCCGAGTCCGCCACCACCCCAGATTCTGTCGCCGATGAGCTGGATGCCCTGCACCTGACGATTAACATGCAAAGGCTGGACGTACTGGGCGAGGCAAGAGCACAGTATCCTCAAGAAGAGCAAGACTGGGACAAAGTGAAAGATGTGATCACCCGCTTGTACCAGGATGAGGGCCTGACGCTGGTCGAACTGCAGCGCAACTTGCTCAAGCATCACAATTTCAAAGCGACGTAGGACTTTTTGCTCTCAAATCTGCAATCCAGCCAAGTTACTGATCAAATTTCCAGTACCAAACAATGGAAGTCGAGGATTACGCGCTGGGGCCTCAGCAAAAACAACCGGCAGCACGAGGCAGAGGCAGTCTTACTGAAGAAGCAGGCACGGAAAGTGCAGGGCAAAGAAACGAAGTTCTCGGTGCGCGGTCGCAACGTGGACATTGCACGCATTCAGAGATACGCCAAACGCAAGAGGCTCGATTTGAGTAGCATCGACGAGGCTTCGTCGCCCATCGTCCGGGCCATGCAGACGATTCGGTGGCAGACACCCTCACCTCAGCCGGGTCTCCTCAACGATGCGTCCAGGCACTCGATGCGGCTTTTCGACAGCATTGCAGCATTTGTGGACGGCACGCTGGGGGAAGGCCATCCCTTGGCAGGGGAGATCTGGAGAAACACCCCTTTCAACGCCGATAAAGCACGAGCACCATTCATGTCGTCGATTCACAGCGCGCAGCACTTTCAAGACTTGGAGCGGTACGACCTTGCTTTCTTGTTCTGGCGCCGCGCGTTCCGGGCACTTGAAGGCGTGATCCAGACCTGGAACCGAGCCACGATCACGTACCTGTTGCGCCGCATGCGCGTGCTGGAATGGAAGGGCAACGCCGATGTTCTGAGGAGATTCCGTGCCTACATCAACCAGTATGCCGTGGTGGCGTTTTCGAAGCAGGATCCCCGCTTCACGCTGATCAAAGCGCTGGCAGAAACCGACACAACTTCTTTGAGCGTTTCGAATTGTGTCCTTGATCAGCTTGTGTTTCGAGGCGGCGAATGGCAAGACTTGGCGTTCGAAGAGCGTACCTTCGTCGACGCCTTGGAACTCGAGCACGACGCCAATCTTCCGGTGGACGAATTCGTGGCGGGGATCGAAGAGGCAGACCGACGATTCGGCTACCACGATAGCCGGACTTGCAGATGCGTTCTCGACCGGACCCGGGTTCTTTCGAAGCGTGGCTACCACAATCGAGCCGAGCGGTTCGCCTATGGAATGCTCCAGCGCGCCAACGGGCTCGCAGACCCGGGCGCCAGACACTGCTACCGCTTCTACGGCTTCATCTGGATGGCCTTATCACAGTACGAACTGGGAAAGTTCGATGAAGCAGAGTTCAATGCTCTCGAGGCCTTGCGGAGCAACGAGGAGTTTGCAAAGATCAACAACACGCGAGCTTCGGCGAGCGAGTATTTCTGGGAGCTGCTCGAGCTGCTGCAGAAGCTCGCGGAACAGGATGGGAACAAACAGAAGGAAGCTATCTGGAAAGGCCGGCTACAGGAGGTCGAGGACGAGGTGGTTGCTGAGGACAAGCAAGCGAATCCCGATTTCTACCGCAAGCAGCGACATTGAGTATCGTGATATAGAGTATACTCGGTGAGATGTATTCTGACTCGTACGTCGTACTGTACAGTGACTGATGTGGTGCTCCGGCACCCCACAGCTACAATAACGGACCACGGCGGCCCTAGCCTAACGGGTCCTAATCACCTATTTTAGGCTTGGTAGTGCTTGTTGGGCACGGATGAGGCTTCCCCAATGATGATGTCAGCCGGCTTTAGATTTCGGCGCTACTGTCGGAACAATTAAATTGGGTGACGCGCACCTCGACACCGCGTGACGTCGCTATCAACTCCATCCCGCCCGCAGCATATGAGGAACGAGTTACTCGAACGGAGAAACCACATCTTGGTTTTGCTGCTGTGCATTGCATTGCATTGATGCTGAGAAGACGCCCAAGCACAACCCCGCTGTGGCTTCCTTGGTCGCCTGCATGTCCCACTCGGGCCTCTAACGCTATTCGACAGCCGGTGATACTCCCGCCTCATCCATCGGCCTGGCCTTTCCATACGAGCTAGTCAGACCCTGACGGAGCTCCGTGCTAACCCAGGCCAGAGGACTCCAGCTCTGGACAATAAACGACGGCGAATATACGCCGCCCCAGCTGTGCGGAAGTAGCTGTTAGTTCTAGGAGAGGTAAAGCTCAGAAGACAGCCGCGACATCATAAACCCCGCTTGTCATTCTCACAGTCAGTCTTGCTTCGAGTCACACACCTTCCCACCGGTGCTATTTTCTCAGCCTTGCTATGATGTCGTGGCTAACACCAGCACTGTTGACTTTGACCGTCCTGGCGTTGGGGGAAGCCTCACCCTTTGATATGCAGAATGTGGAGAGACGGCAAGGTGCAGATGCGCTCTCCGCGTTTATTGCTCAGGAGCAGGCCATTTCCATCCAGGGTGTGTTGTCCAACATTGGCGGCCTGAACTCCAGCTTGGTAGATGGTGCCAGCCCAGGTGTCGTTGTGGCTTCACCCTCGACAGTCAATCCAGACTACTTCTACACGTGGACCCGAGATTCTGCCCTGACCTATACCATGCTCATCGACGAGTTGATCTTCGGCAACCTGACATTGCGAACAACCATCGAGGACTACACGGCTGCTCAAGCGGTCTTGCAGACTGTCACCAACCCGTCTGGATCACTGTGGCCGGCCGGAGACGGGCTCGGGGAAGCCAAGTTCTACGCGAATTTGACCAGGTACGATGGTACATGGGGCCGACCACAGCGTGACGGACCGGCATTGAGAGCTATCGCGTTCATGACACTGGCGCCTGTTCTATTCCACCTGAACGAGACAGACCTGTACAAGCAGATCTACTGGCCACTCGTTCTCAACGACTTGAGATATGTTGGCCAATACTGGAACCAGGTAAGGAATGAGCATCCTGTCGTCCGACCTTATCCTGAGGGTCGAACACCGGGCTGACGATCCGCAATATCTTCAGACTGGCTACGATTTGTGGGAAGAAGTCCATGGGTCGTCCTTCTTTACGATCGCGAACCAGCATAAGGCTCTCGTCCAGGGAGCCCTCCTTGCGGAGCAGCTCAACACGACCTGCAGACCATGCGCCCAAGCACCTCAACTGCTCTGCTTCTTGCAAAACAACTTCTGGAACGCCTCAGGGGGGTATCTCACGGCCAACATCAACGCAAACCAGGTCGTGCGTAGTGGAATCAATTCGGATCCCATTCTGGCCAGTATTTCCGTCTTTGATGCGAATGCTACTTGCGACGCTGGAGGTAAGCATAGACAATCTACAGCCTCTCCCTGCTTGATTTGCTCAAGACGTGTTTACCTGACACCATCATGTAGACTTCCAACCGTGCAACTCCAAGGTCCTTGCGACGCATAAAGCTCTGGTCGACAGCTTCAGGACGCTCTATCCAATTAATAACAACGCATCCGCTCCCAACGCCGTCCTGGTGGGCAGATACCCCGAGGACACCTATTACGGAGGCAACCCCTGGCCACTGTGCACTTTTGCCGCAGCAGAGGTGCTCTACGACGCGGTCCACCAGATCAACCGCACGGGGACCTTGACTGTTGACAACGACAGCCTCGCGTTCTTCCAGGACATATCCCCGAACATCACGGCAGGAAACTACACCGGCACTGCTCTAACCGGCATTCTGGCTAATATGACGACATATGCAGATGGCTTTGTCTCGGCAGTGCAGCAATATCTGCCCCCTAATGGTAGTATCTCCGAGCAGTTCAACCGCACGACCGGTGAATCTACCTCTGCCTCCAAACTGACGTGGTCGTTCGCCTCCTTTGTCACTATGGCTCGTCGTCGCGCGGGCCAATATCCCAACTCGTGGGGTGCGTGGCATCCGCTAGCGAACACGAACTTGACTGCCGCGCAGTGTCGTGCGACCAGCTTCAACGCCACAGGGGCTTACACGCCGGCCCTCGCAGCCGGTGCTCCCAACATCACCAAGGACTGCGCGTCCGAGGTCATCTTTAGCGTCAATACTTCGACCCAATTCGGACAGAACGTCTACATCCTCGGCAATGTCACGAAACTGGGAGGAGCGTTGAACAACGCAGACAACATCATCTTGCCGCTCAATACGGGAAATATCACGTCGGATTCTCCGCAGTGGTATGTTGACATTTGGCTCCGTGCCGGCCAGACAGTGGGGTATCAGTATGTCCTGCAGAACGGGAGCGATTGGGTCTTCGAAAGAGGACCTGTCAGGACGGTGAGGGTCCCTGCTTGCGGAAGTGGACGCCCCGTCAGGACGAGCGATTCTTTCAGGTTTCCTTCTTCATAGATGGGGAAGCACGCGCGTGACCCTAAGCGTGAGCATGTAGCCTCGTGAAGAGAAGGAAACGGCAAAATTCAGGTGGAAATGCGCACGGTCTGGCGGTATTGGGAAAACCACATCGAAGGTGTATACCAGGCCTGTACCTGAAGGGCTTTGACTATACGAACAATCAAAACAGTACATGATGCCGACGGTTGTGCTCTGAATGATGCGTAGCGGGATCAGAGGTATTCTAGTAAGATAGCGAAATAGCGAAGCATCCTGACGGCCCGGTGAACGGACCTAGGCTTACTGGGTCGTGCCAACCGTGGTCTTCCAACATGAATTGTATCTAATATCAAAATATGAAGGTGGAAAGGGTGTATGTGGCCAGTAGAATCAGAGGGCACCCTCAAGCCAGGGCTTGTTCAGAGGTGATCCCTATTCAAAGTGAAAGAGAGACGAGACAACCCCGAGAAGTCAACCTGCACGACCCCGATCTTCTATCTTGCGCATTTGCTACTGTGAGGAAGCGGTGAGGTGAAAGGAAGAGCACAACCCAAAGTTTTTGAGGTCAGTATTGGTAACGCCCGCTAGCCCCCTCAGTGCAAGGAGAATCTCACTTCGCTTTGCCTGGTGGGCAGCATTCCTGGAGATTTTCTTTGTGGCAATTCAGCAAACGCAAACCGGCGCCAAACGTCTCTTGGATCGATTCCCCTTTCTATTGGTGTTTGTGGTATGTAGCGCAGTGGTGAATGACACCAGTGAAGTGCCGGGGGGGCAACATGCGATTGCTGTGCTGCCTTTGAGCGACTTTTCAGAATTTAATTCCGAACCACCAAGGCTTGCTTCTCCTTCACAAAGAGTCACTTCTCCTTCACCACCACCACACTCTTGACCCTTCTTCTACCATTTCAATCAGCCCTCATTCTCCTTCACCACCAAGACTCAATTCTCCTTCACCACCAAGGCTCACTTCTCTATCAACACCAAAGCTCACTTCTCCTTCACCACCACCACACTTTCGCCTGTTCTTCTACAGTGTCAACCAAATATCGGCCTACCCATCCTCTTCCTTACCGCAGCGCACTTCTTGTTGGGTCGATATTATCGCACTACATTGACGACAAAGGTCAGTTTCCTGCTAGATCTACACTTGCCAAGCCGATTCTGAAGCGCGACGCCTGCTAACTCCGACGCGCTCTTTTCCAGCCCGAAGCCACTCGTGCGCCTCGAACCCTCAACCACCACTTTTTGTTCCCAATCCAAAAAATGTCAGACGCAGGTCAAGGGTCGCCGAACGGCGCAGGAGGCGACATGGGCCAGACGCCGGCCGGCAACAACGAGCATTTGAACATCAAGGTCACGGACGGGAACAACGAGGTCTTCTTTAAGATCAAGAAGAGCACAAAGTTAGAGAAGCTCATGAAGGCTTTCTGCGAGCGGCAAGGCAAGGATCCCAAAACCGCCAGGTTTCTGTTCGAAGGCCAGAAAGTGCAGACAGGCGACACCCCAGAATCGGTCAGTGACTATCCTACACTTCATACCTGAGTCATAGCACGGCGTGATGCTAACAGATGCCACCAGCTCGAGATGCAAGATGGCGACTCAATCGAGGTTCATCAGGAACAGATTGGTGGTTCTACATGACGAATTGGGTACGGGGTGGCATTTTACTTTTTGAGGAATTGACGAGTGTAAGAGAGAAGAGTCTTGATGATCAAGAGACAATGACCGAGATGTGGGATGGGGACAGGACGACATGACGATTCCTCTTCTGAGCATTTTATGATGGCACTTGTCGCACGCGGAGATATCAAGGCGTCTGTAGGCGCGAATACAGGGCATTAGCTCAAGATTCGGCGTGCAACAGGATCGTGATTCCCGTGCAGTTTGCTCTGCAACCGTTGAAGGGACATGCTGTCGTCCTCGCTTCCTCTAACCTGTGCATAAGTTGGCACTGTTCTAATGAGCAGCTTCGATATAGTATGAACAACTCTTTGCCCGCTTCTAACGAAAGACCCACTACTAGGGCGGGAAAGGCTAGTGCGGTCCTTCCATCGCGCTCACTTCAACGGCGCCTGAACTTGTTGTCACTTCGTCACTATCGTTACTTTGAAGTCATTGTACAATCGTAAAGAGCAGCTACCCAAACAACGACCAGTTCATCCTCGCTCCAAGGCTGACTCTGGAGCAATAATGCCACGTCGCCGTGGCCAACAACAACTCGCATTGCCTGAAGAGGCCGCTCCCTGGTCTCTATGCGCCCGACTACTGTCATGGACCGATAAACCCAAGCTGCCTCTGAGGCTGGATTGAGGGGTAGAAGGTGCATACAGGCTGGCTGAGGAGCTTGCCTTGTATGGCTGTCGCAAGGCACAACCAGTAAACCTCCAAAGGCTTCTTTTGATCAGCACCACCACAATACCAGACAGCCAATTTCCTTCTGGAGCGATCAAGAGCCTAGCTGTTCCTCCCGCTTCATCGCTCAGCCATTTCTTCCAAAGCTTTTATATGTCGTTGCTCGTCGATTCCTACCATTCCTCCTCTCGGTACCCAACCTCCACATTGGTAGGCTGATTGACTCCGACAAGATGGCATCCCCACTAGGAAATGAAGTGGCGCTCCGCCAGCCTTTCAGCAATATCGGCTCGCAATCCTCGTCCTTCTCCCACCAAGGAAGCTTAGACTAGGTTACCTTTAGTCGAATATAGTATTTAGCTTTTATAGTTATTGTCATGAACAGGACACGCCAAGACCTAGGGGTCACCTGTATATAGCGCGCGGGCCGCATGCGTCTCTTCTTCGACTCCTTAGCTTTCGAATCGAGTCGCATCGTGCCTATAGATAGGTAATGGACTTATTATTGACTGCTGGTGAACCCCGTCCGTGACAGTCATCCTTACTATTGGAAGGCTATCCTCGGGTACTGTTAAGACTTTATACATTCAAGGAGGACCAGCATGTAGCTGGGTCGCTGCTTTTACTGACTTGGTTCTTGGTCTACGACTACGATTACTCTCATGTCAGGGAGATTTGATCTTCAGGAACTACGATCCGGCTCTACTGAACCCGCAAGCCATTATCACCTTTATACTGCCCGGCATAGGACGCTCTACTTTACAATGCACTGGCAGCACAGCCGTTATCCGGTCTGGCGGGACTTTTATCTCCGACTTCTTCGGTGAATACAGTGGTAACCCCCTGAGGAGATCCGGGGATCATGCGTACATGTTCTCAGGCGGTCGCGTAGAATGGGCGAACACGCTTCAAGAGACCTTTGGCGAAGGTTTCTCCGAACTATTGCGCGACTCTGTGGATTTGGGTCCTGATGAGAATTAACGTCCGTCATCGTTGTCAGTCAGACCCAAGTTCCAGAAACACCGCTCTCGGCTCTTTGCCAGGGTTCTTGCCAAGGGAACTTTTACTCTTCTAGAAAGCAGCATGGTTGGTCATCTTCACAAGGGTCATACCGCCTTCATAATGTGGCTAGTGGAGCGGATAAGTGAGCTGCGCCCTTTAACCTCAATCCTCTTGAAAGAGTCCGTTCGTGACAGGAAGAAGGCCGCGGAATCCAGGGACGCTAGCTTTGATTGTTACCATACCGCTCGCCGAAGACTCAAGGAGGTGTGTGATTGTAGCACCGACTGCTCCCAGCGGACCACGCAAACAGGAGCAAGACAATTTTGTCTTTGCGCTATTGCTGAGACTGTCTTGCAGTTATCACGGATTCTATCGGTTTCGATTCTGCACGCGGATTACCGGCCGAGCCGCCGTGGCCTAATGCTCATCCTAGGGAAGAGGCGCTAAACGATCTACCAGATATCTAACAGATGCAGATTTGTTTCGACCCCAGTCTAACTGGAGCGAAGACGTTGAAAACGTCTTGTACTTGACTTTCTGCCTTTATTCTGGGCGGCGATCGATCCCGTTCTCGGACGCGGGATGCGCCTACTCTGATGGCAGTGTTTGCGCCTACATAGGGACCTTGGAAAAGGCAACAGATTCGGTCGAAGAAGCCCGTACTTATACACGTTGGCGCCGGCACGATCCAACATGGTCCAGCCGTTTACAGCACTGTAAGTGGCGTCGTCCCCTACGAAAGTAACCAAGAATATCCCGTCCGGCATACCCGTCCAACAAACGGACTAGCAGATCTCAATCAGGATACGACTTCGAGGGAGCTGCGTCTTCACGCAATGGTGCAGCAAAGATTCGATGATCTAGCTTTCTGGTACAGAGCCTCTTCTGAATATGGAATGATTACGTTCTCGCCCACAGCTCTGGTGCGTTGTCTGATTTCGGCGCGTCGATACATGCAACTCCCTTCAGCACATTACCCTTCCGCCGCTGCCAGCCCGGATGATTCAATATTCGGGAAATGGGAAAACTACACCGTCGAGGGTGAAGGAATACCTTCGGAAGCGCTAGAAGGTGTTACATGCGGCTTAGTACTTCGGCCACTCCGCGAGAACACTCTCGGCCGCTGCGTAGCCATAGCACGCTCGTGGTTCGAAGTCTTTTTAATCAAGAACGATGAAGAGCTTGACGTGTTCTCCCAATACTGCGCAGAACGGTTCGCAAGCAAGTCCGCGGTTGTGCGTCGGCGCAATGCGCAAAGAAAAGTCCATCACGATGAATCAAGCTTGGAAGGAAAAGACGAAGAAGAGGGAGTCGATGGTAGAGAAGAAAATGAAGGCGGTGATGAAGGCGACGATGAAGGCGACGATGCAGGTGACGATACAGGCAACGACGACGATGACGATATAGGGGGCGACATAGGGGACGACATAGGTGACGACGACGATGACATAACCGTCTCAAGCACCTCAAGCATATCTAAAGCGGAGCACATTCCCTTCTTTGAGATAATCTCCTGAACTCAAGTCACTCCAGAGCAGGATCCACCTATCAAGTATAGTCACTGCTGCTGCCGATTTTGCTGTTGCTGCTACTGTACAGTATAACTAGCGCACAGTGTATTCATCCCGGAGAAGACTCTCATCGACTACCATACAATCGTACCGGACCCAGCGAAAGAGGGAAGAGGGAAGAGGGAAGAGGGAAGAGGGAAGAGGGAAGAGGGAAGAGGGAAGAGGGAAGAGGGAAGAGGGAAGAGGGAA